CTCAAAAAAATATTATGGAAAAAATTAAAGTAAATTTATGCATTAAAGAATTGTATGACCCTATTCTAAAAATATCTTTTTTAACAATTTTTTTTAAAAATTTCACAGTAACCTCATTATAATTCAAACCCTTCCAATAATACCAATTGCGGTTTACAGTCTTTATTGTAAAAATAACTTTGCGTGATGATTCCAATACAATAACGTTTCATAAAGGCCCAATTTACAGATAACAACACAAAAAAATCATGGGAAAATCCCTATACCGGATATTGGTGTTCCGTGCTACGTAAAGCTCGCCGGTTTTTTACCTGATCATTAAAAATTACGTACAGGCCGAAAAGATGAAAAATTGGGTTTTAACAAGGAATCTCTGTTTAAAGGCACAACCACAATCAAATTGGTCTGTATTTTATCGAACTGTTTTGTAGAAAAATTTTAGTTTGGTTTCTAGAAACTCAAATTTTTGTGTATTTATGTCAAACTCAAATTTTTGCGTGTTAGTTTTGAATTTTTTGTTTGTTCCTTTGAATTTGTGAAACAAAGAATGCCAAAATGTAGTCAGAAAGTGCCTATAACGAAAACTATTTTAACATTGGTACTACAGCAGAACTTAAAGGAGTTTTAGAGGTGATATGATGTTTTTTAATAATGTTCCATCAAAAATTTCTTCTAGAATCAACAACATTAATCAGAGAACAACATATTCTAGATATAAATTCTAGATTCATTAAAATGTTGTATCCTATGTTATAGGGCTTGTTTCTCTCTACAATTTCCTATCTCACAATGTACCGTTTGTGTCCAGGAAGGGTTCATATTTTCATAGTTGTCGATTTTCGAAAGAAATCAGTACATTTATTTTATTTCGTATATTTTTAATTTTATTGATTTTATGGAAAGCATCGTTCATTAAAATGTTGTATTATATATACAGTGTAAGAGAGTACACTGTATATATATTTTCGAAAGTCATCTGATAAGTTTTATGTTATTACTAGCTGATGTACGAAGATCAGCTCCTGACAGTGAAGTGAAGTAAAAAAAATAAATAACTGTTTTTTATTTAATTTTATTATTTTTATTTATTTTTTACTTAGTTTAAAGCAAAGTAAAATATAAATAAACTGCCAAATCGATTGAATTTAATCATTCTAGATCGTTCGGTAATTCAGTCATTCGTACCACAAGAGTGTCAATAAAACTTTCACTTCACTTGACTGTCAGGAGCTGATCTTCGTACATCAGCTAGTAATAACATAAAACTTATCAGATGACTTTCGAAAATTTTCGAAAAATTAATAACTTCAACTTTATAACCTTAAAAAATCTCTCACGATAGAGAAAAATTGAAAATCACGCGCTGGCTATATTAGTTTTTAATAATCCTTCACGCCTTGTTCCACATTATAATGAGATAATGCTCGAAAGGGGTGAGTTTAACAAGCCCTGATCGATTACTAGCTCGAGGGTCTAGAAAAATCATCAGAAAATGTGAAAACCAATTTTTAGTTTCGAAAAATTTTAATAACTCGGTCACGGCCGGCCCTTCAAAGGGTTATATCGGCGTTTTCTATAGTTAGCTTGTTGATAATTTACCCCTGTATTCAATCGAACGGTTTTGATTAGGCTTGTCGAGGGTTTTTGACGTTTGACATCCAGAGACTACTTCAATACATGGTCGTTCTAGATTTCTGTTTACTTCATCGACATTGTAGTGGAGTGGTAGAATTATACAGGGTTGTTCACCACATACGACACGGAGTATTGTAGCTAAACGATGAGATTTTTACAAATTGTAAGTTTGGGGTTCGTTGAAGGACTATTAGAGCTACAATTTAAAAATATTTTTACAAGATACAGAGTGTCCCAAATAAATAAAAAATATCAAAGTTGTATTTTTTTAAATGGAACACCCTGTATATTATTACATTTTAGTTTCTACGATTAAAATAAAGATAAATTTGAATAAGGTTTATTATACTTAAACCTTACCGTTTTGAAATATTTTCAATTTTGTGAAATTGCAGTAAAAATTTTAAAGCTTCATTTCTCCAAGGGTATCAATGTTTTTAATACTAAATATTTAATGAAGTTTATTTATTGATCAGTTATTGTGTTGCAATAATAAAATAATACTACCTTATACAGAGTGTCTAAAAATTTATTTTAAATAATTATTAGCTTCAAACGGCAATAACTTCTTTAATTTAAATGGAATGCCCTATATATTTTACGAGAATCAGATACACAATTAAATTGTCTATCAAATTGTATTATACCATTTTTTACCTATCCCTTCAAGTTTTCGTAGAAAATGCATTTCTTATAATTTAGACCTCATTTATCAATATATCCATGGAATATTGACATTTTAGATTGTTTTAAAGCAACAAATGTAAAAATGTACAGACTACTAATATTATCGTTTTTAGCAAAACGATAATATTACTAGCCCATTTGTATGCAAAAAGAAAACTATTTAAATCTTTATAAAAGAGTATACCATTAATTAAATATAACACCATTATTTCCGCCCATATACTAATTAATTACATACTTAATTGTGTTCGTTAATAAATTATTATAAATAAATGTGGATTTGAGTCAAGAGAAATCAATATAATAATAAGTTATCAAATTAAAGTCTCTGTTGTTATAAATAAGCATTTATTAAAAAATGAAATATCATTTTTAAGGTGTTACTTTTTATCACACTGTCTAATGCCCATACAAAATTCATTTTTTTAGTATTTGGAGCAATTATTATTAATCAACGCAAACAGTCAGTTAATGTAGTTTGAATACTGGATCATATTAATTGGTCCTCTTTAACAAATATTTGAACAGTTTTTTTTTATTTTTTAATGAAATAAACGAATTATATCGACAATATTAGTATCTGTACTCTTTAAAAATTTGATACATCTTTAAAAATAATCTAAAATGTCAATAGTCCATGGATATATTGATAAATAAGTTCTAAATTACAAGAAAATAAATTTTCTACGGAAACTTAAAGAGATAGGTAAAAAATAGTATAATATAATTTGATAGACAATTAAATTGTGCATCTGATTCTCGTAATATATACAGGGTGTTCCATTTAAATTAAACAAGTTATTGCCGTTTGAAGCTAATAATTATTTAAAATAAAATTTTAGACACTCTGTATAAGGTAGTATTATTTTTATTATTGCAACACAATAACTGATCAGTAAATGAACTTCAGTAAATATTTAGTATTAAAACTTTGATACCCTTTGGAGAAATGAAGCCTTAAAATTTTTACTGCAATTTCACAAAATTTAAAATATTTCAAAAACGGTAAGGTTTAAGTATAATAAACCTTAATCAAATTTACCTTTATTTTAATCGTAGAAACTAAAAATGTAATAATATACAGGGTGTTCCATTTAAAAAAATACAACTTTGATATTTTTTACTTATTTGGGACACTCTGTATCTTGTAAAATTATTTTTAAATTGTACCTCTAATAGTCCTTCATCGAACCCAAAACTTACAATTTGTAAAAATCTCATCGTTTAGCTACAATACTCCGTGTCGTATGTGGTGAACAACCCTGTATAGATCGTTATAATTAATTTTGATTGAGCAAAAAATATTACGTTAATTAAAATTCTGTCAATAATAATCTGTGAAAACAAAATTATATTACCATAGAAACGCGTTTTGGTTTTTGATTTGTAGAAAATTGAACTACATTTTCATGTTTTTTTTTAATTCTCTCTAAAACGGTATGGAACTTTGGAAAAGTTTAAATGAGATTGACTATTTTAGTACAAGCAAAAATTTTTTATGAAGAATGCATTTTTCTCAAAATGTCAATAATAAAAATGTTTTTCTTCCTGTAAAGACAATCCGGGGACATACTGTATAGACAATAATTCACCAGTTTTAACGTATAAATTTACTTTATTTTACACTGTATATTAAAACACCCCTTTACATGCTTGATTTCATTCTGAAAAATAAAGTTTTACAGTGTTGGTTTCGAAATTCTAAAAAATATCTCTCATACTATAAAAGTTGATTTACCACACTTTTTTCGAGTACACGACCTTTACTAAAATCACTTTTATCAGCTCCATCTTTTCACGTTTATTTTTTTCCTAACCTGTTGTTCCTTCCTGTTTTTTTCTCTCTTACCATCGCCCATTTTTTCCCATGGACCCCTTTAAATCTGCCCTATTACCATAAAAAATAATTAATTCAGAATTTCGGAGAGATACAATATAGTTAATTGCGTGGTATCTGTTGTACTATATAAAAGATGAGGGAGGTAAAAAACAGAGTTGGCTTTCTTCTAAACACATGTGGTACCGCCAAAGGGTCGCCATGGTACTATCGTCTACCCCTTCCGGTGCGTTTAGGACGGTACCGCATTTATCTTGTGGTACGTGGATACGAGTTGTGTATGGTACCTGTTAGCATGGCGTTTAAAACAGATTTTTTTATAGCACATAACATAAAAATCACAAAAGTAAAAATACGTTTTATTTAGAACTACACAACTAAATCATACCTCTTCAATATAATATAAAAGTAGAGCAAAATACTTCTACTACGCCAGCTTAAAACTCAAAAAGAACAATATTAGTCGCGTGCTTGCACAAATTACCATTCTAACACCTTATAGACGGTACTGATTGACTTGATAGACTGTACCACCCAAAAATAAACGATTCTTCGATATTCCAATACGTCATGTTCCGTACCATGACGTTAATAGGTCCCTCTATTCTATTATTACGAAAAATTAAATCGAATTTTTCTAAAGGGTAGTGATTTTCAAAAGGCACGCCGCTACTGACCTAGGGCTAAACACGCGAGATTCTACTCTATTTTCTTGATTATTTAATATTTTTCAGTAAAGTCTGTGTTAACGAACACCCTGTGGCTACTAACAGATAAAAAAACTTACTAAAGACACATGGTTCAGTATTTTTACGAAAAATAAAACACACATTTGTTTAATAAAAAACATCGATTTATAATAACAACAAAAAGCGATAAAAATTCTAAAATTACTCTGACATCGAATCTTAAATCTAGAGAGTTAGTAAAAAACAACATAGTCAATATTTGCTTTTTCCCTAAATCATCCGAAATAAAACAACAAGTGACAACACCGCTCGTCTAGAAAAAATAATTTGAATTGATATGCTGCTATATTATGTTGCACAGACGTCGTATTTTTTCAGGAAAAATATAAAAACTATTTTAATGTATAATTATTGTTTATATAAATTCATAAATATGATTTATTTTGTCGAAATTCGTGGAGAGATCTAACTATATATCGTTCGTTTGTAAAGGCACTGTCTCGTTAATAACTTTATTTTGAGTAATTCATGAAAATAAAGTAAATCTTCTGATTTAATTGAGACTTGGCAACGTCGCATTTTTTATCCGGACATGTTCCGATTTTTTGTAAATCTGGCAACGCGGTTTTATCTTTTAAACAGCGATCTTTTGATCCACGAGCTGCTTTTTGATAGGCTGTCTCTGCTATCTTTGCTACTTCTTCTGACGTCACCGTTTTCCGGTGATTCCCCATCGAAGTCGCCGACGATGTTGCCAGATCCGTCGGTCGGGCTGATGTCCACGACAAGGCTCTGTCGGCACAGCGTTGCCAAAGCTTCGCGTCCTTGATTCTTCCCATTTTTATCCTTGTCTTTACCGCGTCTCATTTTCACTTTGCGAAACTTGGCAGCTATGCTGGAAAATGCCGATTTTCCCAGGTCTTTGGATTTTCTGGCTTGTCTGGGCAGTGAGACGTAACCTTCTAGAAAATTGTATGAAAAATATTATAATTAATAAAACAAACATTTGGGATTAGTTTACTAACCTGGTCTGTACTCTGGATCAATAATTTTGTAAGCGTCAGCTTCAATGTTGATCATACCAGCCGAAGCTGACTTGATCAACGCTCCTGGAAGCGATGCTTGGTCATAACTGGTCTCACTTTCCATACTTACTTGACTCAACCTAAAAAAAACATTTGTTCAACTCTTCACACCATTAAACAACATTCTCAGTCCACCTCACCTATTTCTTTGAGGGTACTGTAACCCATCATTTCTAACAAAACACGGAGCTGATATAGGAGTCCTCAGAAACTCCTCTTTGGCTTTCTGTAACTTCCTCATCCTCATTTCAGCAGACATACTTAAATTTTGTAAGTTATTGTTTTGGTTTGCCAGAGAAATATCCAGAGTTAGACTTCTTTTCAACGCTGCTAAATCTGAGGAAGCTTCAGAAGATGAATTTTGAACTGTTGTGTTGTTTAGAGAAGATTTTCTGGCAGGTATAGTTACTTGTTTGGACGAAGAAAACATGGTTGTGGCACTTGAAGATTTTTCAACATCATTTCTTCTTCCTAGAGCAACAAAACTTCCTAAAAAACATTTTAGAACAAATAAGATACCCTTACCGAGTAAAGGAGACATTTTTATGATCTCCTCTTGGTACTTTTCAGTCTGTACTTTAACTCGTCTCTCGGAAACAGGAGATCTCCATGCTACCGGCGAGCTAGAGCCACTGGAACCACCTGATTTGATGCCAGATGCTTGTAGAGCGTTTTGGTTGAATTTAGCCATCATCAGTCTGATGCTTGGTGACACTTCTTTGAAGACCTTCCTCTGAGGAACTGGAGAACCAGGCAATGGAGGTCTTTCTGGTTGTGGTTCTCTATCAACTGGTGTTTTTGGTTCTGAATAATTTTAAATAATGAATGACTTTAAAGACGTTTTAGAATTTGTTATACCTTTAGGAGATGTCTCAGGGATGTTTTTGGATAAAGAAGTTTCTATGAGTGGTGTAAATAGTTTTCTAGTTGTTTTAACAAAAAGAGTCACAGCTGATTCAGAGGGTGATGAATCCAGTCTGGACTCAGAAGTGGAAGTTTCAGGATTTGGTGTTCCTGGACTTAGAAAATTGTCGTCAAAGGTTGGGTTTAAGTTTCCGTCAGAGATTGAGCGAGTTCGGGTGAGTTTCTTGTGCTGGCGTACCATTTTCTGGGGTTCTGCATCCACTTCTTCATCGTCTGTATCTACCAGGTTCTTTTGGAGGGTTTTTTGACGGTATCTGATCCTTTTTTTCACTGCACCTTGACCCACAGTGAGATTGGTTTGACCTAAAAACACCAATTAGTGAATTTATCTTCTGTTTAAGTAAATAACTCACCATTAGTGCTATCCATTTTTATAAACCGTCTCTCTTTGTCACTGCTTTTTCTTGAATTATCACTGCTTTCCATTCTACCATCGTTCGAAGACGTCTTGCGTAGTTTCATCTTCTTCTCCTCAGAAACCTTTCTGGATAACGATCTGGAATCAGTGGACCCGCAAACGTAACTCAGAAAACGACGTAGTTCTGTTATTTTAACACGTACGTCTTTTATAAGTTCAAACAAGGCGGTGGGGTAGATAATCTCAGATGAGGAGAGTCTAATGGAGATGCTTTTCTCCATTTGATCTGTCTATAAAATGGAAATAACTTCAATTAAAATATATATTGAAGGAAGCTGGGTGATATTTACCATTGCCATCATTTCTGTTGGGCTGTTACGGATAGATTTCAGAATTTCGTCCATGCTGGACTGCTCAGGCTGTTCATCTTTTGATATATTGGATGCTACGTTGTTGTTGGAGTCGTGTAACTTTAACAGTTTTTCGTTGAGTTTGCTGACTGATTGGTTTTGAAGTTCGTTGAGGAACTGAAATAGGTTTTCAAATTTCAAATCAATATAGACTAAATATTCTTTACTTCAGACAAATAATACAGGGTAAGTCTTAAATATTTTCAGGGATGGTACATTTCGACCCCAGCCTATGAAGTTTTTTCGCAAAAAAAATTCATATAAATTTTCCTGTATATTTTAGAAAACTTTTTAAAACTGCCTGTCCAAGGCAAATTTTCACACAGTATAATTTCTTAATCTCTGATAGTACAATGGTTACAACCTCAGAGTATATAATATTTTTTCTTGGATTTTGGCTTTAGCATAATATATTTATTCGAACTAGGTATTTCAATAGCGTATCTGATATTTTTGTTATTAAATAATTATTGTAATTTCTCTATTTTAATTAGAAATTTAATTTTTTTAACAATTTTAATGAATAATAACATTTATTGACACATATTCACATATTTTACCTTAAAAGTCTTTTTGTTTTGTCCTTCCTGGAGATTCTTGTTTTCAACAAGACACCTAAAACTCGAAAATTACTTATAAAGTTCTCAGATTTCTGTTATTTTTTATTATTTGTACCGTATTTCGTCTTCAGTTACTTGTAGCTCTGTCAGTAACTTGGAAATAGCTTCCATCAGGTCGTAGCTAGTTTGAGCCCTCGCTGATTCACTTCTACGTATCTTTGGTATAGCTATTGTTTCACTTTCACTAAAGAAAAAGAAAAGAAATATATATTTATTATATTAATAACACTTTTTTTCAAAATATTTGTCTAGAATGTCTTAAATAACTGCAAATATTTTACCTGATACTATATAAAGTAATTAATAAGTATAATTAACCCGTTATAGGTACAGAAAATATGACTTTTTAGTCCAGATTTACCCTCCCTTAAGATACTTGCACTTATTTTCGAGACACTCTATACAAACAACTTTACCAAAGAGGCTTAAACTCTTGTCTCTGGTACACAGGCAACTGCTGCCTCTCCACACAACTGACATGCAGAGGCTCAGCAGTTTCTTCTTCGTAATCCTCAACCTCCACCAAAACTGCCTCTGGTTCATCCAGAAACAGATCATGACTTTCCAAAGAAGACGTTTTAGAGTTTCCTAGACATTCCTTCTCGAGTTCTTCCATGTCGTTCAGTGACAAAGAAGATGGATGACCGGAAAGCAGTGGACATGCCAGGTTTAGAGCTGAAACGGCTATACTGTCAGCTGACTTGGATCTTGTTAAAGACGCTGAGTGTGTTCCTGAGGTGTTCTTGGTGTAGCCTGGTCTGATTTCTGAGGTGTAGTTGGAGGAAGAGAGTAGAGCAAAGGTAGAAGCCTCTGGAGCAATGCCTTGGGACTTTTCCCACTCGTAGAGCTTTTGGGTGAATTTTCTGGATATGCCTTCAAATCTGTGGAAGCCTGAAGGGGTGTGGATCAGTACTTCTTTCTTTGTTTGTCCCCCCAGAACTGATTTTCTTAATTTTGATAACCTATGTAATATAAATTAGTAGTATAAAGCAGCAAGAAGAAAAAAAATAGAAATTAGCAAGACCAAGACTGGACTACTTATTCGACTACAAGGCCAAGACCAAGATCAAAACCAAGAGAGGCATGGTCTTGTTCTGGCCATTCGCTCATCACCAACCTTTCTTCTCTTTCAATAAACTTCTGTCTTTCCCGCTCCAAGCGAAACTTTTCTTTCTCAATTTTCCCAAGTTCTTTCTCAAACCAATGTAGTTCTTTGTTTTGGTCTTTGGACTTTTTGCTCTGCTTGGGCGATGAATTCTTCCTTCATAAAGAAAAAGAAAAGTAAAAAACATAATTTTTTTAAAGGAAATTTTAATGTACCTGCTCAATTTTGGACTCGGAGTTTTTTCCGACATTTTCTTGTGCTCCACGTAACAGGAAGGGCCACCACTGGCTTTGATTTGCTTCCATTCTTCCAGTTTCTTTCTGAACTCCTCAGAAAGGGCTGGATATTCGAACACAGGGTGATCGGAAGATCTGGAAAACGAAATAGTACAATTAAAGACATTTTTTTCGGTAAAAATGATGGTTACCTTGGTCCTCCTAAGCTTTTCCATTTAGGTACGTCTCCTAGCTTTTTCTTGGGTCCCAAACTGGTTTTCTTAATTTTCTCCCACTCTTGTAACTTCTTCTTGAAGTCTGGAGGCAATTCGTACTCTCGAGTCACCTGTGACAACCTTTAAAAAAATATTTTACTGTCAGTCAATGGCTCAAGTATGTCAGAAGGCGTAGAAGCTGGAATATTAAACGTTATGCATTTTTTTGGAGTGATGATTACCTGGGTTTGTTCCCTGAAAATTGGTTCTTCATTTTCTGCCATTCTTCCATTTTCTTAACGAAAGCTGGATCCTTGGCTTCTTCAGAGAAACCACTCACAGATCCAGGACTGGAAGCTCCTGGAGAACTCTTTAACAAATCAAGATAACGATATATAATCCTACAGGAAAAAGTTAACTAAAAGTATCTTACTTGTTTTAGTCTCTCCCATTCGCTGAGCTTGTCTTGGAACTCTAGACTGATTTTCTTCTGCAACCTGACGTAGTTCTGCTTGATTTCTTCCTCTACTGCCCCATCATCAGATTTCTCTTTAACATGAGAGGAACAGGAAGTTTTTGGTGTCCTGTTAAGGAAAGCTCTTCTTACTCTACTCCATCTAGATGGTCTGGCCTCAGAGTCTGACTATTTTTGAAAAATACAAAGGCAGTATTGAAAAAAGCATTAATTTTTTGATTTGGTTTCACTCACAGCACTGTCTTCTGCCAAAGCTCTCTGATATCGCTCAACAACCTCTGGAGGTACTTCAAGACAGCTTGGACTAGTACTTGGAGTACTGCAAACGTTAGGAGATGGTGATAAAGAAAGATGAGTACCTGGAATACAGTTATAATTTATTTTTGAAAGACTCAAAAGTTATTTTCTAGATACTTTTGCTGATTGGGTCGTCACTTTCAAAAACATCTTCGTTATCACTACAGAATTCCACGTCTATTTGTATGTCGTCGCTGGCAGCTGACAGCCTGTGTTTTTTCTTCAGGCTGTTTCTCGGGTGGATGATGTCCTTCATTTTGGCCCAAGGGTTTCTGAGCTGGGACTTATGAAAACTGGATTTGTGTCGGTAATCCTATCGAGAAATACAACATCTAAATTTATTTATTTTTGAGTTAGGGTCTCAGAACAGTTACCTTTTGATGTGGAATGTATTGGTTTGTGTTTTCATCGTCAGAGCTTCTCAGATCTTCACAAGCTGAACGACCTGATAGAAAAAAGTTTATTAATTATAAACAATTATGAAGGTTATAAAATAAAAAGTAAGACAAAAAGTAAGAAAAAAGTATAGATAGAGAACAATTTTTTTTTATGTAAAATTGGACGCCCTCTAACTTTTATTTGAACTTTTTTTTTCAAGGGATAGAAAAAATTGTGGTGTAGTGCTACTAAACATACTAATTCTGTGTTTCATTTGAAATTATTTGAAAGAATATTTTCTCGATCATTAAAATTATATACTAGGAATTTCTGTCAAACTACGTCGATGCTTAAAATACTTCTACAGCATATTTATTTTAGCCTCTTTCTGGCATTACCATAAACATTTCAAAGAACGAATTATTATTATATAAACATGTACGATGGCTTGACCGAATTTTCGATCTTGATTCGAATTATCCGTCGATCTGGAAAATCTGTCGATTTTCAGCAGCACGCGTATTTATTTTAGACTTCTAAATTTAAGTCCCAGAGCCTGTAAATAACAGAAACGGCTGTATACATGTTCGTGCCTCGTTAGAAACCGAGAAAAACTTGAGGAAAAAATAAATACCAAACAGCGTTAAAGTACTGAGAAAGCGTTTCGTAGCTACAGCCCAGTGAGCAAAGTTTTGTCACATTTAGGGAACATTAGGGAACAGATACGTATCTGCGTTTTATTGCTTCATATCAGGTAACGTAACAACGACGTCACTAGAACACATTTCCCTTAAAGGAATAAAATGCTCACTAGGATGATAAAATCTGAATAAATTTTCGATTTATTATAATTTTCTTCCAAGTAGTTTTAGTGATTCGAACGAAATTTTGAGAGTGAAAGTTACTATAAGTGCTACATATTTTAATACTATATGTGCATATATATGTGCGCCAATGACTTTTTTTCTTTTGATATCAAAATTAAGTAGGCCGTTTAATGGCAATTAAAAGTTATCTCTTGAAATTTGGTCGAATTCGGCCTCCTTGATGAGATAAACGCAATTTTATTAATCACAATTAATAAAATTAAAATTGAAATAAAATGAATAAATAATTATATATTTTATCTGATTTCTTATTAAATATTATTACCATTAGTTATTATTACTATTAGTCCAACCTACAACAATTTCAAATAAAAAATAATGGTATTTAAGAATTGGAAAAAAATTGGTAGGCAGTTCTTGTAGTTTCAAAGTAAAGGAACTTTTCCAATTTTTTTTTATCTCAAAAACTGCGACTTTGATATTGATGTTGCAAATATTATTCCTAATCTTAAATTGAAAACCGCGTTTTGCTAGCTACTGTAATTTTGGAGTTACGATTTTTTAAAATTGTTAACCCCCTCCCATACCCCCTTACCAACCCCCCACCCCCACCAAAAACTAATGGCCAGATTCTCGGGTGCCACAGTATTTTTGTGCCAAATTTGGTTAAAATCGGTTTAGCGGTTTTTGAGTTATCGTGTTACAGACGGACAGACAGACAGACAGAGAGACAGACAGACGGACAGAGAGACGGACAGACAGATGGACAGACAGACTGACAGACAGACACCATAAAAATATTTTGTGTGAAATTAAAAACTACTTAAAAATGATATAGTTTACATAAAATATACATAATATACAGTTAATAAATATAATATATACATATACATATACCTATTTATAGTAATAAATACTTTGGCAAATAAACTATTAACCATAGAAATGCAGCAAATGTTTTACAATATCTCAATAATGAATAGGTACCTACATAAGATAATGGGTAAAATGTAAAATATATTTTAAATTTTAGGGTTTGAAAATCGATCTAATTTAACAAAACAACATTCAATATCTACTAATAGTGATGTATTATTATCTGCATTCACAAAATTTATATGTATATTTTGCAGGTATCAATGTTCGAAAAATTCTATTTGCAAATAATACAATATCATAGAAAAAAAGGCGTCAGCGATGGCTATGAAATAAAGATCGCTGTCATTTTAGATGTAAAATTATTCTAAAATTTTTGATTTTCTTGGGATTTAGGTTCGGAAAAAACGCTGATTAAGTTTTCATTTGGTTTTTCATTATTCTTTTTGGTTAAAAAAAACGTTTTAGTATAACCAAAAATACGAGGAATAATTATGTTTTCCATGTATTCTACAACATATTTATTAATCCGCAGTATCTAACTAGCGTGACGTCATAAATCTCGCTCCGAGGCTGTTCTATTAGAAATGGCATTGGTCTAATATTTAGAAATGTCAAAAGCTAATGACATTTTACTTTTGACAATTATGACATTTCGTGTTGATTTTTGAAAGAAGAAGAAGAATTGTCGCTTGTTTTATTATTTTCCTTTTCTATTTCACGAAAGTAAAAAGAGTTACCTATCTGATTCGTTCAGGCACTCAATTTAAAGAATATCAGTAAACTTTTTTGACAGAGGGATTTTATATTTGCTATGTTGGTAAAAAATAACGGTCAAAATTCAAAGTTATTCATTTTATAGACTATATCATGTTTTGTTTCAACGCTGGTTTCTTTTAATGTTTGCAAAATAAAATTTTTAGCTGAAATTTCGGATGGAAGTGCATATTCAACAAACCAGTTGCCAAAAATAATGCACTAAAATTTATTATTGCATAGTTTACAAAAGAAAATACTCGGCATCGATCAGCGCGAAAACGTGTTTTTCACGGAGGAAAATACGCGTTTCCAAACATTTTCGCGGGGAAATGGTTCAAGGAAACCCGCTGCCAGTTCTCGATTTAGCTTTTCCAAAATATTTAAAATATTATATTAGCGAGAACATTCGATATTCGTGCAATAATTTTATTAATATAGTTTTGTTTAATGGGTCTTGCACTGATTTTTGTAAACAGATTATTAAAAAAATCGTTTGATCTTTCAGAGTGAAAATTTGGGGAAAATTGACATGGAAATGATTGGGTGTATCTATCAACAACAACACATCTTTATAATAAGTCATTTTTATTTTATATTTTAGCTATACTTTTTAGTTTACGATAATTCACAATGTCTAAGAAGCACAATTAAAATTAATAGAATTTTTCCTAGCAACAACTTAGGGTAGTCAGTTGTATCCATAGAGAAACCCTAATATTTAGCTTATAAAACAATAAACTTTTGATTTATAACCACAATTTCTCTTGGCGGATGATAATCAAAGGCCAAAATACAATTTCTCGCAAAATTTGAAGTATAATTAGTGGAAAAAATTAAGTGTTAACTTTTTCTAGTAATTGAAAATTACTAGCAATATTATTGACGTTTTGAATGCTTACACTGAAGTTAGAGGAACAAACTTCTGCACTAATTAAAACCACCAATTTCCAGGTTCGGATTGAAGCTTCAGTGTTTTTTTTCCAAAGATATTTCTGGCTGAATTACTAAAAAAATACTGACTGAATGCTTTATGGAAGTGTAACTATAAATTTTGGCACACACTTTCTTTCAGTAAACACACTATTATCACATCATTAAATTAGTGTAGTAAAAGTCTGGATACGTTACAATCTAACAGCCTAACACCAAATACCACACGTAATATAAACAAATACTTAAAAAAAGTTCTATTTTGATTTTTTTGTATTCAGTTGATTTTAGGAGAAATAAATGATTTTGTTTTAGATATTCTCCAGAAAAAAATACTTTAATTTAATCATTTATAAGTATACGAAAAAAAACGGCGTCAAAGACAGCTGGAAAATGTCGATCGATGATAATTTTGGTGGGGTCAAGCTCTAGACGTCATTTATTTAGCCCGTTTTAAACAAAAAAATATTTTTTGGAAATAGATTTGAGTGTTTTGGAAACGTTCTTCTGTCCTTTTTAATCTCTCTATAAGTTTTATGTTAATTTTTATTAAAAGAGATTGACCCGGCCAAAATTACCATCGATTGTCATTCTCCAGCCGTTTTCGACGCCGTTTTTTTTTCGATAATATCTTCTAGATAATCTAGATATATTTGTCTGTGAGTAAAAGCAATCCTTTTAGAGTCTATTAGGCTGTACTTTTCGGGTTGCTTCCAGGGGTCGGGTAAAGCGGGTGTGTGACCGAAGGAAATATATATTATATTTCAGAAATCTGCCTAAGGCTTAGCCGGATCCTGTCGTGTTAAGCCACACCCAAAATTGCAAACACACGTGCTTTAATTAAGGCTTGATTAAGGTTTGCAAAACTTCAGCATTTGTCATAAAATAGCGAGCAATTTGTAACAAAACCATAAAAATTATATATCACTGTAATCACAAAACTATTATTAGTATAGTACTGGAATTTTAAATTATGTCTTTATTTTCGAGAAAATTTAGTCCAAACATAAGGAATATTTTGTTGATGTTTGACCATCAAAATCTTAAAGCTCCATACTCACACTTCGCTCCTTCCTCGCCTTACTTCCTCGCGTTACTTCCTCGCGTTCCTTCGTCCCTTCGCTTCCTTCCTTCGTCCATTCGATGCTTGGAAATTAGTCAGTTATGCAACAACACACCACAAAATATTTTTAATATAGCAGCTACATGTTTAATACGAAATATCTAGTAACCTCTAAATTTTTTAAAAAATCCGAAAGGCGCATAATTTTTATTTTATAAAACTACAATCCTTTGTCGTGTGAAAAATAAAAATTGAATTTTAATAATATATTTTTTTTTTAATAAATCCGAATATTTCAGTATCATGTACAAGGTATATCAGTATGAATGTACAAGGCGAGTCAACAATAGAGTAAAGTTTATTATGTAATTTATATCGAAACCATGAAATATGACATACTAATTAAACGTTAATGATGTCAATCCCCATTTCTTCAGATATTTTTATAAAGGCATCATGCACATTATTTCTATTTTTTTATTTTTGTCGCTACGATTACATAAATATGGACATGCATTTTTTTACAAATATGAAGACAATATTGTTTTTTTCTTCCATTTTTTAGACTATTGTGTGTGAATTATTTTTATATCGACTGGCGATTGCTAGATGTACAGGATGTCCCATTTGTGAGTGTTTTATGGGGTTTCTGGTTTATAAGTAAAGATATAAAGATACTGTTTTCACATCATTGTTCTACTTATTATGAAACTAAATATGCTACATAAGAAATAAGAAATAACTTTGAACTAAGAAGGCTAGGATAAATATGTATTTATCCTAGCCTTCTTAGGTCAAATTTATTTCTTATTTCTTTCTTTTACTTTTTATTTTTTAATTTTACCAGATAATTTTGCTTTGCATCGTGATATTTTGATAAACTACACGGAAACTGAACTTGTGCTGCTTTTAAAAAACATGCCAATAACCAACATTTTACGTCGAATAAATTAGTTGATTGTTTTGATTACCTAATTTAAACCGGCCGACTATGTAATATAGTTAAATAATGCATTTTTACCCCGTTTATGGAAATAAGTATTTTAGAAAGCTCGTAACAAGGAAAATAAAATAATATACAAAATATCGTATTTAAAAAAACATATAAGTTTTAGTCAATTTAAAAAAAGACAGATTCCAACGAAGAAATAGTTACGTCACTGCATTCTACGTGAAAAACTGTACGTGTGACCGTTTTCACATTTTCGATAAGGGGATCGAAAAATGCAATAATTTCAGATTCGCCCTGTATTTTAGGAAGTAAGAGAGCTAGGACATATCTGTATGTAGCATCTTCATAAAAAAGTAACAGCGTAATGTGAAAACCGCATCTTTGTATTTCGACTCATAAACGAGAAAACCTGCAAAACACACGAAAATGACACCCTGTACAGACATACTGCCAAATCAAGAAATCAACTACGAATGAAATCCAAGATCGATTTATATATTTTAATATTTTTTTTGTGTTCGTGATAATTCCTTTGCTACTTCCTCCAAAAACCGACAATACCTGGAAGGAGCGTTTCGAGGAAGTAAACGGACGAAGTAGCGTTTTGACGAAGGAGGAAGGAACACACACTCGCATAAAATCGACATTTTCCCATAGTAAATATATGATTTTTGGACGAAGGGACGCGAGGAAGGAACGAAGTGAAGTAGCGAAGTGTGAGTGTAGTGTGTTAGTATGGGGCTTTTAAAAATAAAGAACTTGTCAAAAAAGTGCTACAATACGGATATAGTATAATCCTCTATCTTTAATTTCCTTCTTCATTTGTGTAAAAATACCTAGCCAGTTTTACATAAAACGTTAAATGCCGAACGCTTATTTTTCTAGTTTTTCAGACTAGTGAAATGGACTCTTAATTTGAATTTCCTCCACCAGAGGCGCTGGTATCGTCCAAATTGGCGGGAAACACAAAGACTGTAATCTACACTTTCTTTTTTGCCTACGGTACTCACCCATTCGTTGAAAATCATCATTGGATGAAGCAGAACTGATCGATCCAGGAGTGGATATACCCGCACCTGAATCTCCAGCGCTATGGCCCATTTCGTCGCTGGTGGATGGTACTCTCAAGTACCTGGCGATCTCGTAGTTCACTGGCACGTGAATACCGCTGTCCTGGGATTTGCTGTCACCTACGTTTGATGCCTTTTCCCATCTGCATACCCGAAAATACATATTTTAACATTAAAATGTGTATTGTATAAAATTTTATGTACTTTTTGAAAATATAAATCTATTAGAGCATATTTACTGTGGTATCGTAATAAAAGCGATTTTTTAAACCCCTCTTTGAGAAACTCACTCACCTAAAAGCTGCCTTAACTTTGGTCCACTTGGACACCTTTGACTGCTTGTCTTTCTTACTGCCATCATCTTTTTCTGTTACCTCATCTCTAACACCATCACTTAAAGAAGGTTTATCCGTTGTAGAACAACTCCTATGCCTTTTCAACAACGAAGACCGGTTTTTATGCCTCAGAGAGTCCTGAAACATGGTATAAGTTACAATTTTTTCGAGGGAAAATATATTAAAAGGACCTTATTCTTTGGATCCTGCAAGATGGATTCCAGGATGACCTCTGCAAAGGCTGTGTCTTTATCTAGGTCGGGGTAATCTTCTTCTACTGAGGCTGGATTGAGGTGGATCTTTTCCAGGTTGTTTAGATGTTCCAAATCACGAATTCTATACAAGGAATTCATTTATTCGACAAATTATACTATAGACACACAATAATTATAATAGTTCCCGTATATAGGGTTTAACGCCTTGGGAGTAGCAAGGTACAGCTTGCCATACTAGAGCCGTTCGGTATACAAGGAAGGTAATGTGGCTAGCACTACGCTTCAACCGCCTATTATTACCTCAGGATTGTGAATCCCAAGTACTCGTTTAAGGCTGAGTCGACCTAGGTACCCAAACTATTTTTATTTTAACAATATGTTTTTCCATAGCGAGTTGCGTTTTAAAAAATATTCAGAAATTATTGTTTCAAGGAATTTATTACGAGTAGAAAAAATATTGTGCTGGGTTGGCGTTGGTTTCTATGTAATTTGACAAAGAATTTGACAAATAAATAAAGCTGTCTCTTTAGTTGTCAGTTTTGAGCATAGACAAACAAATAAAAAGAGACTGATAGATCCCATGGTAAAGAGTGGGACCGCGTTCCCGTAGCGCAACTCAGAATAATAATTTTGAAACCAATTTGCAGGACCATGGCAGGACATACGTCTTTATTGCTATCTTTCTTTATTATGTGTGCTTTATATGAAAAAGAAAGAGATAGGTATAAAACGTATCGTAAGACATTATCGCACATTCTGGCTGGGGGGAAATTTAAATTAACCATTATTAGTAGTATTCTTTCATTCTGAAACTGAAAATTTTCACTTAAACTGATTTATTCTCTATACCACGTAAAGGGAACGTGGTGTAGGGAATAAATCAGTTTAAGTGAAAATTTGCAGTTTCTTTCAGAACAAAAGAATACTACTATTATAAGGGAAATTATAAAAAAAGCAAAAATTGTACTGTTTTATAAACATATTTATTTATACATAAAAATAAATAAACTTTTTATAATATAATAACAAAAAATAACAGTGTTTATTCCACCCAATTACCAATTTTAAATGCAGAAGAACTGACTGTTGCAGGAAACGATCAGCCAATTTTTTTAAAGGGCATTAAAAATCTCATTTTCGAAAAAACTGCCTAATTGCAATAATAAAGTGAATATCCAAGCAAAGAAGACTGCGAGAATCATGATCCTGAACCATTTTCAAGTCCAGTTTTAATCCTAAAACAAAAGTAAAATAGGTATATTAATAAAGTTTCTGGTTACTATAAACCAGCTATAAACTACCTACCCAAAAAATGAAAAAAATTAATTGTATTAATTTGTTATGTTAAGAGAGCTTCGAAATATTTTAGGCACTACTACTTCTACTTTATTTCTTAATAAGATGATAAATATAACTACTTATTTTTATTTTGCCGGGTGCCTTCAACATATCTATCAGAGAAAGGGGGCACCAATACATATAAAAATTTGCTCCCTATCCATATTGGGTAAAACACAAAAAAATAAAGATATAAATACAATTAAAACCGAAGAAGGTCACGTATATACTGATAAATTAAAGATAGCTAATGCGTTAAATGATCATTATTGTACTGTCGCAGAAAAACTAGCGGTTAAAATATGGTCGTCTTGGTCGAATTTGAAAAGATTAGCAGAGGAAGACTTTCAGACAATTAATACCTGGTTTATCAAAAACAAATTAACATTAAACTATGACAAAACCAAATATATATCCTTCTCTATTTATAAAAATAATGAACCAGATTGGGACAGATTACAAATAACCAATAATAATGTAATACCGGAATGTGATTTTATAAAATATTTAGGGGTTACAATCGACAAACATCTTAAATGGAATATTCATATTAATAATGTAACTAAAAAATTGCGAGGATTGTTGCCGAAATTTAATTATTTGAAAAGTTTTTTGGACGTCAAACAGCTTAGAATCCTGTACTCATCCCTTGTACAATCTCATTTGACATATGGAATTCTAGGGTGGGGTGGTGCGGCTGAATGTCATTTAAAGAGCTTGTATTCTGTTCAAAAATGGTTCATAAAAATTATTTACAATAAAAAGAAAACTTTCTCTTCAAACGTTCTCTTTAAGCAGGCGCATCTACTGGATATACGTCAGCTATACTGCCTAGATGTTTTAAAATTCATTTATCAGGGGAAAATATCTATTGAACATGTTGACCATGAATATGAAACTAGACATAAGGCGTTTTATCCTAGTTTATGCTCTAAAACTGTTGGACAAAGATCTTCAAAGTTTTTTGCACCTCGGTTATATAACATCTTACCAACCTTCCTAAAGGATGTTAAAAGTTACTCTGGTTTTAAAAAAGGGGTATGCAAATGGATGGTTGATCGAGGTAGAGATATATTTAATGACCTAGTTAACTTAAAATATACAAAATAAATTTTCATAAGTGCCAGTGAACATTATATATTGTCATAATTAAATTGTATTCCTTTCCACATACAAGTAATTCTATTACTTTGTGGTAATTCTTTTAACGTTTATTTTGATTCTTAAAATTTAAATATAGTCTTAGTTAAATTGTACCTAGATAATGTGTATTAGATATAGTAGCATATTATGTTGTATTGTACTGTACTATTTTATATCTGTTTTAATTTCAAGAAAAATGTTTAATAAACGTTATTATTATTATTATTATTCATAAGTCAATAAAATGGAGAGTTTAGAAAAAAGGTAAATTACCAAAAGAAAAATTAACAAAGATGACGAATTCACGAATTGTCATGATGTTGTCATCTTGGTTGCCATGATGACGAAAACGAAAGGCGATTGTTCTAATTTCTATTTAGAAATTACGTTTTATATGGCTGATTCTTTCTCTCTTGTTATATTAGATTGAGATAGTGGGACCAATAGACGCAATGCGCAGATCAACATAAATTGAACGAAATTTTGCGTTCTGAGCATACTTATATGGTGAAATTTTGATAAAATAATTTAGTACACACTAAAAACACTGTATGTCGCTAGTGGTAGGAAAAATAATTTTTAGAGGTTACTAGTTTATATGGTTGCCTGTGATATGCATATACAGGGTGTTTCCTAATTAATCTAAAAAATAAAAAATCCTTAGAAAACGAATTAAGGCGGGCTCTTAATAAGTATATTTATTTTTTTCTCAACAACCGTTTGATGAACAAGAAAAACTCAAAAGATCAATTTTGTTGAAAAAGGATGGCCAGTCATGAAAAAAATATTTTTTCTTTAAAAAAGCAGTGGTGTACCATTTATGTTAAGCAACAAAATCGATTTTTTTAATTTTTAACACCCTGTAGATCAGAAAGGCAGTACTTTAGACCTAATGGTTATATAAAAATTGTTTTAAGAACACATGAGGAATCACACCATAATTTTTTAGACTAATTCGAAAACAACCTGTATATTGTCAACTTGAAAATGACTGCTGATAAATCAAAAAATACCTTTTCAGTGAAAAAAAGCCTGATTTTCGCAGGAAAAATTTTGATTTTTAAAGAATTTGTGCCTGCGTTTGCAAATACTCGTTTGTTTTTTTAATTTTCTATCTATCTAAATTTTAAATATCATAGTCAGAAATAGTTTTATTATTTATTAACTGTAAAAATGGTGTTTTCTTGTTGTGTTGCATCTTGCAAAGAAACTAACAAAACTGCAAAAATGTACGTGTTTCCAAAAGACGATAAGGTATGTATCTTAGATAAAAGAGAAATATATGGTATGTATTCGTTGTTTGATTTTTTTTTCCTTCGCTTTAAAATCTATAAATCTCGGTCTATTCATTAGACAGCCAGTCGACTTACGATCATTTACATGAAACTCTAAAATAAATAAAAAAAATAAATTGTAAATTATATGTATTCTTATGTTTTATTAAAGTTACTCTGATATACTAATATATCAGTGTAACTTTAAAAATAAATCCTTTGAATTCAAATATAAACATAAAAAAACATTTACAGCAGAAAAGGCGAAGACGCTGGGTTAAACGTAGTCTCCACTAAAAACACGGAGGGGCGCTTTGACCCAAAATTTTACTATTAAGTTTCATATCTATCTTAATAGTAGATTATTTTCTTTTATCTATGGTTCTGAGTTGCGCTACGGGAACGTTGTCCCTCTCTTTGCCATTTAATTTGCCAGTCTCTTTTTATTTGTCTATGGATATAACGCAATTTTAACAGTTGCTATGGAAAAAAAATATTGTTACACACTTAAAAACACCTTAAAATCATCATATTTCATTCTAGTGAGCCGATAAAAACAAAGTCATTTCAAACCTTCTATGTAGCCTGACGTTTTGTTCCCTCAACTCAAGCATCTGTTCCATGAGCTTGTACAGCTTCTCCAGGTGATCAAACGCTTCTTCTGTGACTTGCGCTGGAGCAAAAGTACTGGAAGACCTAGAATAGAGGTTCTTGTGCAAAGACTCGATGTAGTCCAAGACTTCCCGATCATCTCCATCTTCTACAGACTCACTTTTGTGATTTTGCGGCGTTTTTGGACTGTTTTCTGACAAAGCCTCCCATGGATCAGGTGGAGGAGTTGGCAATTTAACCCCTCTTTCAAGCTTGGGTTTTTTAGGAGGTTTCTTCAACACCTCACTGGGAGTATTGTCACTCATATTGGAACCAGAGGATTTACATTTCTTATATTTTTACATTTTAGTATATTTGGTTTATGCCAGTTTTTTATATGTCAATCCTGAGTTTATTCATACTTCAATCGATCTAGATTTGAAATAAAAACCTTATAATGAGGTTAAGCCTTGCTGAATGTATTATATCTAGGGATCTGTTTGACCTGAAATAAAATTGATTAGAATTAATATACCTACGAGGGTTATAAAAAATGATACAATTTTTCTATACGTATGTACCAATCGAAAAAAAAAACGGCGTCAAAGACGGCTGGGAAATTGAATTTTTTTAAAGTAATTCCTGAAGGAACATCAATATTTGGATTAAAATTGGTGTCTGGAAGTTTTATGACGTAAGAAATTTGATTTTGATATCAATATGACTCCTAATTGTAGAGGGCGCCACCTACATAATTTTTAACTGGTTTGAAGAGTAATAACTTTTCGTCCGTACCTGTATAAAACAACTGAGTAAAAAAATATACATTTACGGCATTTTTTAGGTTGAAAAGGTCTCTTGGTAAAAATCGCTACGAGTAATGGTTCTCGAGATATTTGGAATTGAAATTATCAAAACCTGTCTTTTTGTTTTGTTTCTTTTTGTATAAAAAATAAAAAGTTCCCAAAATTTTTTTACCAAGAGACATTTTTTACGCCAAAAATCACAGAAATGTATATTTTTTCACTCAGTAGTTTTATTCAGGTACGTACAAAAAGTTATTACTATTTAAAACAGTTAAAATACATGTAGGTGGCACCCCTTACAAATAGGAGTCATATTGACATCAAAATCAAAATTCTCATGTCAAAAAAGTCCCAAACACCAATTTTCATCCAAATATTGGCGTTAATTATTTTAGAAATTATTTTAAAAAAATCGAAATAAAAATGAAAATTCTACACCCTGTATTTCCGAAACTAAGCATTTTAGGACATGCATTAATACGAACGTTTTTACTTATATTTATCTACAAAATATGTTGCCGAAGTTTCCGGAATACAGTTCCGACCACCCTGTATAGCAGAGGACGACCCCGTCAAAATTATCAACCTACATAGTTAAAATCTTCTACCTTACATAGGAAACATCCAGTATATGTAAACTCCTCTTTATAAAACATGATTACTGTATTCTAAAATTTCTACCAATGGAAACATTTATTTAACATAAAAATAGTATTTTTTAAGATCTTTTCTAGTAGCTTACGAAGAAGAAATATTTATTTCAGGCCGTTTTAAATTTAGTTACGGGTTAAAATCACAAGAAAATCTCCGAAGAAAAACATATACATTTTCCAAGTTTGTTTATAATCAAGGAGAAGGCATTTGGGAAGAAACATTTTATTAAATTTCCCAGATGAAAATTGTTATTTCTCAAGAAAAATGCGTGAGCAAAACATGTTTTTTTCTTTTGTAACTCGGTAATAAACTTACATTTTTACGTACAAGTATTCCTAGATAGATTGTAGATTACATGGAATGGGAGATTTAATCACCGCGACCTAATAAATTTATTGTGTCACTCTTTCTTCAGTTATAACTTATCATACAGTCTCTGGGCTTTGACTAACGCAGTTTTACAGTACGTCTGTCCGTTCTGTGGCTACGGGGTATCCGGGAGAGGGGAAACGATATTCTCTCGATGTTTTTCGTAAAAAATTAGACGACGCGGCCCATCAATAAAAATTCGACAAATTTGCAATAGCCAATAAAATGAGTGTTCGGGGCGATTTGCGGTGACGTACTCGTTAAGTCGACGTATAAAATATATTGCTGTTTATTTAAATGTTTTTTGCCCGCATTCCTTTCATAGACACAGATCGAGCAGACGAACTGTACAGAGGTAAGTTCTCCATCTCCGATCTCAGTCGTACAAAAGTTTAAGGCACACATAAAGAGACATAATATATTCTCTTTACCGTGTTTCAAATAAGTCGAAAATAACCGAGTTATTAAAGTTGAAATTTTTCTGTAACCTCAGAACACATTTATATCCACTGCCTAGGTATTGCCTAGGTTTTTTTTGTTTGAGTCATGGCATTATCATACAAGATGCCAAATAATGTAGAAACGAGTAAAAGTTACGTGATGAGAATTATACCAAAAATTAAAACACGTATACACGACGAGGCTGCTGCTGTACCAGAAAAGAGAGAATTTCTTTCTACAATGTGTAAGAAAGTATATACCGTTAGTAAAAATTCAGATTTCCGATCTGATATTGATCTTTACAAAAATTTTGATCAAGGCAATTTCAATATTTTTAAAAAATCGGAGGCAAAAGAGATTTTTTCGCCCGAACGAAAATCACCATTGAGGAACAGCCATTGAGTTCGAACAAACATCGAGTTCTGAGTCAATTTTTCATGCTACCAAGCTGGCTGGATCTGTACAGACGCATTCCCCACAAATGTCTGCTCTCCGTATCGGTAAACAGTGCGTCGCTTTTGTTGTTTGGCCGCGTCTGTAGTAGCGAAATCTATTTTTACTCCGGCCATTAAATCTGAAATGCGTTTTTAAGAGTCGCCGCTTTATTTTCGGCTGGAGCTGAAGAAAATTGCATAAAAATCTCGTGGATGAGGTTGTATTTGTGATTGATCGGTGTAATATTAAATGAAACTTGTAATATTTCACTGAATATTAGGGTGTATTCCGTTGCTTACCTTGGTGATGGTTTTATGTTCCGTTTCTATCGGTTTCCTGAAAGTTTTCTTATTGCGGACCACGGTTCCTGAAAAATTCGGTTATAACTGTCACCAAACTAACCAGCGCACAGTGGAGTATTTGACAGATAGTTGATCGAAATTTTTTTATGTAGACCTTATACAAATTATTGCTATTTTCAATTAAAGAGGAAATAATATAAACAAAATAAAGGATAATTCGTCGATTCTAAAAAAAGAAAGAAAAATCACTGTTCCATTGTTTCCACGGTCAATGTCACTAATGCCAGTAGTAATATCGCAACTAATACTACTAATGCTACGACTGATCCGTGAGCAATGCCCATACCACTAAAGTCGCTACTAATGCCAAATTGTGCTATACCAAAGAATATTATAGTTAACACAAGTTCGTAGTAGAATTATCTTTGGCTGTACTGCTAATGGCACTAATGCGATCGCTTTGTATACAACAATGCCATCGCGGTTTACACCTCGCATTAGTATATCACTGATTGGCAAATTAGAGGAAACCAAGAATGTTTTTCTCATTTTATCAGCAAAGTCGCAAAAAGTCGTAGTATTTTATTTTACTGTATGAAAGCCCAATGTTTACCAAATAAAACGTATATAAACAATATGCTGAATTCTTCGAAATGCGCAACTAAATCTCTAAGTATAATAAAAATGTCACAAATTTAATCAAATTTTCTGAACGACTAACTTTTAGTTGCAAAAAAAATCGTTAGTATAGAGAATATCAAAATAAATAATACGTTTTTTTAGAATACATACCTGCAGCTTGCTGAGCCATTTTCAATCAAAACAATAATATAAACGTAAAAAGAGCACAAGAACAACAACAATTTATAATTTTAAACATAAAATTTAGCCATTTACCTCTTATCTGTGAGAAGTAACAACTTTGACGTTTCGTTGAAACAAATGAATGCAACTGAACACACTCATAGCAACGCCATTCATGGCAGAGATGATTTAACTTATCATTTATCTTTTTTTCGGAAATCTTAAACACATTTGCTTTTTCGAATTTCTATCACCTTTTTTCATGCTAATACCCCACCGTGCAGCGCGAGAAGGCTGATTTTCTGGTTTTGTTTGTCAATCAATGTCATTTATGTGACAGAAATCAAGCAAATATTGGAAGTTCGAGTGTTCCATACCAATCTATTTATTTTACTAAAAAAAGTTTCTAATAATTTTTTAAGTTAATAATGGATGGGTTTAAATATAAATCCGTCATGCGTCGTCACTTGTTGTTTTTAACCAGTTTTATTGGTTTATTTCAAAAATGACAGATCGTATTTCAATTTTATTGGTTTGACGGAACGATGAACGACAAACGGACGCCGATGCGTATGAACTCGCCTTTAGATTTTTGACGTTTGTCAAAGTCTTGCCAAATTATAGGTTATAATTTTGTGACAACTTTTGTCAAATAACCTGCGTTTTGGAAGATGATGTATTTTGATTCGTGTTATTACGAGTGGTTTGTGTCTTTTGAAGTCAAGTAGAGGAAAAATCGAGTGAAAATTAACTGTAGAACAGAGCACAGTTTATGGTTAATACTCGCTGCCCAGGCAGAAAGTCTTATACAGATAACCAATAAAGTTACTATCAATAAAGTTCGTACACCATCTCGTCGTAGATAAGTGCATCTCGAATATGGTAGAACGACCATATTAAACACATACTAAAAACTGGAGTAGCTGTAAAATATCGACATCACACGATAGGTAAATAATGGATTTTAGTACTGCAGAAAAATACTGTCAAAAGGTACTGGTTTAAAAAAATTAAGATTAAAGTTAATTAATCAACTTGTGAGGTATAAAATTTGGTAAGTGTTATTATTAATAAAATAGTTTGTTTTATTTATGTTGTTTTATTTATTCCTGCGTAATATTACAAATTTGTATTTGTACATAAGTTATATTGATAAATATAATCATAAATGCGGGAAGTTTCATAAAGCTTGAAAGTAAGAAATAGTTTTTTTTATATTTTTTGGTATGTGGTGTCTTGTTTTTGTTTGTTTTGTATTAACACATACCGTTTTTTATTAAATAAAATAACTCGATTACATTTTTTCAGTTTTATACAGTTTTTTTCACAATATTTTGAAGTTACTTGTCAGTCAAATTTTAAATACATATATTAATTTCCTGCTATGCGTTCCAGTCGTACCAACTTATTTCTTTGTAAAATAAAATAAACTACTTTGAAATTAAAATGACAGACACATCTATCACTGTCAAGGATCTTCTCATTGGACAGACCGTAGTTTACCGGTCTGGTTCGCCTGGTTTTGCAACGTAATACAGCCTTAATATTCTCAAATTAGTTTCACCTGACGACATAGATGACTTCTAGACCTAATACCTGCACATTGTTATTGGTAAATATGCCAATATGAGACTGTTCAATACTGGGAGAACTATCAGTTCAGGAGCTTGGAACACCCACAAAAGAAACACACTTTGAAACATCCTCAATATTCCACTCCTTCAACTCCCAGTGGATAACATGAAGAATTGGATAAGACAAACGTTTGCTTAGCAATGTTTGAGCAATTTGTTACAAAACTATATAAATTATATATCACTGTAATCAAAAAACTTCAATCTATTTCCATATTGTAACGGAATTTTAAATTATGTCTTTATTTTCGAGAAAATTTAGTCCAAACATAAGGAATATTTTGTTGATGTTTGACTATCAAAGTCTAAAAATGTGCTAAAATACGGATATAGTATAATCCTTTAATTTGCTTCTTCATTTGTGTAAAAATACCTATATAGCCAGTTTTACATAAAACGTTAAATGCCGAACGCTTATTTTGCTACTTTTTCGGACTAGTGAAATGGACCCCTCTGTAAAACCGTCTCAGATACTGGCCTTTGTCAAAACCCTGATACTATATGATGTATGATCAACCCCTATATATTCTACATTCTCTTAAATGTTTTTTTAACTAGTAAATCCTACCAAATATTGTTACTTCCTATTTCTCCAAATTAATCACTGTTTTCTTTAGTTTGTCCGGCTAATTCAGCTTGATTTTCTACTTGCCCGTAAAGTAACAACACTTTTAAAACGAAAATTTACGAAATCCTAAAAAACGGTCTATTTTTACATCGGTTTTGGTTAAGTTGGTCCGTCGCGAGCGTCCTACATCGCGTTTTTGTAGCGTCACGACGCTTGTTGAACCGACGCGACGTCGAACCAGCCAGCGACTGAATTATGCCGACGCCTAGCGTCTCGGGCGTCGTGTTTTAAGAATAGAAGCGATTCGGAAAAAATAGAGTTCGGATTTTTAATTTCACACTTCCTGGATACTTTTAAATGTGTCTAAAGTCCCGGTCTACATGTAACGGTTTACCTGACAGTTTTGCGTGTCGGGTAAAACGGAAGACCGTCTAAAGCTTGATTTTCATACATCCGTTGTCCGACGATACGATATTAATTTTATTGGTTAAAAAATATTAAAAAACATTCTGTCTGTTCGTAAATCGCGTAGATGTGTACTTTTACTGTACTGGGATCTATTTTTGAAATTATTAAACATCCAACACCGCCTTTTTTCTCTTTGTCTCCTTCGTTTTGCAATAATGATCGCACTAGCAGCCGCTATAAAAATACTTTGGTATCATCCATATCCGAACAGCACGAATAAGCACTACATTAAGGTGCGTATTCATTATCCGAACGAACGAACGAACGAATGAAAGTGCGGTATATTTAGACGAGGACCGAACGCATGCGGCCGTTCGTTCGGTCGTGCGCTCGACCATCCGCTTCGAGTCGGTACATCAAAGGCGTTTAGACGTCATGGTACAAAGAATACAAGGTATGATCGATAGCGGCTCCAATTTCGTTCAGTTCGCGCATACCACCTGTGACGTCACTAGGAAAATAATGAATAAATTAAAAATAAAGAAAGTTGACAGGAGATCTGCATTTTTGAGGTTATGGTTAAGAATTGTTTATTTTAGACTTTTTAGTTCGTTTAATTTAATAATTACTAAAACCAGCAGTTCCAAAAATATATTTAAAAATAATAATTATCTATTAACATGGATTTGGACGATAGGTAAGAATACTGAATTTATTTCTATATTCGGTATAAAATTGTTTATTAGGTTTTTAGTTTGCGATGTTTATGGTAAATAATTTTCATTTTCATTGCCTCTGAATTCACATGAGGACAGAGTTGAGGATATCTATGGAAAAGTAACCACAAGAGGAATTGTTACATCATTTAAAAAATATTGGGAAGTTTATTGTTTCCCATCGAAAAGTAGAAAATGCCAATGCAGATGAACGTATTGTAATTGTGATAGAAGTAATTCTAAGGGTGAAGTTTATTATAATTAGTGGAAGTAATACCAAGGGTGAAGTTTATTATAATTAGTGACCTCTGCTTCTTTTTATATGTAGAAGTTTCTGGTTTTGAGAATAAATCGGTTGAACGACACCCAAAATTTAAAGGAAGTATTTGCATACCCAGAATATGCCCATCAAGGATTATATAGCTCAAATTTCCTTTAATGGTAGGCAATTATTCAATGCAAATTAACTTTTTAAGTGACTAAAATATTAAATAGTTTACAATATGGTATATCACTAAAAATATATTACTTTTAGGTACAATTAGGGCCCGATACATTTCAAAAAGTAGAATATTATTTTATATTAAATGAGGTATTGTACTAACAATCAATTTATATTAATAACGGAGATTAAAAATAACAGAATAAATAGTTATTTTTTATACTACAAAAATAAACTATAGAATACAACAGTATTTAAAAAAATAAAATAAAAAGTGATGTTCCGGCCGAGATTCGAACTCCGGTCTCTCGCTTCCTAGCCCGACTCCTTATGCACTGCTCCATAGTAACTTGATTAGCGATAATTCAATGACGGTATATAAACAAAAAAAAAAACAGGTTTATAACAATATCTTGACGATTTGAACTGGCGCGCGAATGAAGAAATGCGTGCGGTCTTCTCGTGCGGTTCTATCGTGCGGTCCCCGTCCATACCACTAGCGAACATTCGTTCGTTCGTTCGTGCGGATAATGAATACGCACCTTTACAATGTGGACGTCGTTGCTTCCGAGCCGAAAGATCTTGAGAAACACGACAAACAGGAAGCGCAAGCAACGCGAGCACAATCAGAAGCAAGAGTGCGAGCAGGATCACGAGCAACGTGGACGCACCTTTATATTTTCATTTCCATAACTATTTCGCTGTTTTACTTATAGTCTAAGAGCTAGCAGCGTTTTTGAGGGAGAATTTTAAGAAAGCTGCTTTCTTTAATATATCTTTAGTTATACTCTCCTGGACAGAGTGCGGACCGTCTGGCTGCCGGTAGACGTTGCGGTCACTACTGCGCATCACAAATTTGCCCTGTATTTCAGGAATTAAGGAGGCTAGGACGAGCCTATGTGTATCATATTTAGTTTCATAAAAAAGTAGCAACGTAATGTGAAAATCGCATCATTGTATCTCTACTCATAAACGAGAAATCCCATAAAACACACAAAAATGGGATACCCTGTACAGATGTGATGCGCAGTAGGGAACCGCAGTAGTCTACCGACAGCCAGACGGCCCACACTTTGGTCAGGAGGGCATATAGTGTTTTTATTTTGCAGGGCATATAAAAAGAAATATTAAAGAACAAGTTTTCTTAAAATTCTCATTTTCCCGACGTTGCTTGCTCTTGTACTATTATATTTTATTAAGGTTAGATCTATGGGTTAGATTAAATTTGTCAAAAAAGCGTCAAAACGTCTGTTATCGTACGATCTTTCTCCGTTGACGGGCTGGAGTAAAAAAATTGCGGATGAAAAGTGGCGCGAAAACGCTATGACCAATGCCGTCGGACTTTCAAGCTTAAAAGGTAAAACGTTTTTTTTTTTCTAGATAGAGCTTAAGATAGCAAGAAAACCATATTTCCAGAAATTCCGCTAGAGATTCATTCTTTTTCCCAAATTTTTTTTAAAGGAGATTCTCCTCATAAAGTAGAAAATCTCTGACAATATAAGCCATATCACATTTTCACTTAATACTGTGTACTGTATTTATAACCTTATTTACAATCAATCAAATACATATTTCAATTTGACAATTTTGAAAAATCTATTTATTAAAGTACGTGAACTTGTTTAAAAATTATGGATAATAATGTGAACAACAACAATGCCGAAATCAGAGCATTTGAGACATATTCCGATACGACTGGTATAGTAAAATATTTTTTTGATATGATATGATAAAAACTAAAAAAAATATTGTGGATTTCTCCTTGCAGGTTGGGGGTTTTATAACAGATTTACCATTGGAATGCTTTGCATGAGCGCCCTAGTAAATTCATTGTCGTATGTTGCTTTGCCAATGGCTTTAGCGGTGTCTAATTGTAACATGCTTACTGTTCCTATATCCATGGTGCTTAAAATTTTTACCAGTTTTTTCCTAGGCAAGTATATATTATAGATCTTTAGAATATCCGTAATAGATGAAAAAATAATACATCAAAGAAGAAAATATACAGGGTGGTCCGAACTGTATTCCGGAAACTTCGGCAGCGTATTCTACAGGTAAAAATAAGTAAAAAAGTTCCTATAAATATATGTCCTTAATAGCTTAGTTTCGGAGATACAGGGTGTAGAAGTTTCATTTTTATTTCGATTTTTTTAAAATAATTTCTGAAATAACGCCAATATTTGGATGAAAATTGGTGTCTGGGAGTTTTTTGACATGAGAAATTTGATTTTTATGTCAATATGACTCCTACTTGTAGAGGGCGCCACCTACATATCTTTTAACTGGTTTGAAAACTAATAACTTTTCGTCCGTACCTGTATAAACTACTGAGTAAAAAATATACATTTACGACGTTTTTTACGTAAAAAAGGTCTCTTTGTAAAAATCGCTAAGAGTAATGGTTCTCGAGATATTTGAAATCAAAATTATCAATACCTATCATCATTGACATACAATAAAATAATTATTATGTTGACTAAAAGTAGTTATTAGACTAAAATCATAAATTTCAAATGTCTTTGTGTCAAAAGTTTAACAGAAATTGTTTTATCATCATTTTTTCGGAGAAAAATTTATGATTAATTTAAAAAAAATAAAAATTTTCCAAATTTATTATTTCAGTCAATTGCTATACGAACGGATACGAACTTTTTTACTTATTTTTATCTGCAGAATACGTTGCCGAAGTTTCCGGAATACAGTTCGGAACATCCTGTATATTAGTATAAGATAACAGTACAGTGAAATAAATTATTTTTCAAATAATTATTAATATTCATGATTGTATATTTTTTTAGGACGAAGCATTGGAGGTCTAATTACCAGTTCAATCTGCGACAGATACGGCAGAAAGAAATATATGATCTATGGTCTGATATGCATGTTCATGTCACTTTTCACCATGTCTTTTGCGTACAGTGGCTACGTCATCAACACAGCCGTCATTTTTTTGGGAGTAGGGTGATATAAGTTTTTATATTAACCTCTTTCGGAGAAATAAATAAATATTCTTCTTCTTCAAGTTCCGTCTCTTAACGGAGGTTGGCTATCATCATGGCTATTTTGATTTTATTTGCGGCTGTTTCGGAAATTTCTTTAGTTTTAAAAAATAATTTATGGCTATCTCAATCCTGGACTTTATTTCTTGCAATTGTTCGGCAGTTTCATTTGTTATTGTGCCCAAGTACCTATTTGTAGTGTTGGAATCCTTTCCTCTTAGGCCTATAAAAAATAAGCATAATAAACCTTGGACCACTAAAGGTCTACGCATATCTTCTAAAAACATGCGTTCATTATCTCACTTAAAAAAATTCTCAGACAGTCTCTTCTTCCACAATTACGTAAATCTATACAGAAAAAATTATCATAAGACTATAAGAGCCGCTAAGGACCTTTATTATAATAGGAGAATAGTCAATTCTGGTAATGTTGCTAAAGAAACATGGTCTATTGTGAATGAATTGAGAAACAAAGCTTCTTCGTCTAGCAATATCTCTACCTCACCTGAAAACCTTAACGATTACTTTGTAAATGTAGCGAAAAACTTAACTAATACCATATGTCCTCCTCATGATCCACTTTCTTATCTCTCTAATGATAATGTAAACTTACACAGTTTCTTTTTTTCGCCCGTAGTTTTAGAAGAGCTTCGCAGTACAATTAATACCATCAAAAATAAATCCTCTTCTGGGACCGACGCGATGGGCTAACTTTAGAAATGTTTTCGAATCTGCCAGAAAACACTCTAAATCACCTAACAACTTTAATAAACATGTCGTTCCAAAATGGTATTTTTCCAAAATGTCTTCAGACGGCAATAATCATTTCTCTGCATAAAGGAGGAGACAAAGATGAAGCTTCTAACTATCGCCCAATTGCACTCCTTCCAACGCTATCTAAGATCATAGAAAGGTTGGTTAAAAGAAGGCTGGTATCTTTTCTGTTTAAGTACAAAATACTTACTGAATATCAATTTGGATTTCTAAGCAACAAGTCCACAAATGACGCTATGTTTTCCCTCCTTAATAAAGTTTACTCCAGCCTAAACAACCATCACTCTACAGCAACAATTTTCTGTAATTTTTCTAAGGCGTTCGATTGTGTAAATCATAAGATCCTAATTAATAAACTGCAGCACTATGGGTTCAGGGGATCATCTCTCGAATGGTTTAAGTCGTATCTGAGCAACAGAAGTCAACTTGTGAGGGTGGATACCACGTTGTCTTCTAGCAAGCCAATAGAATGTGGAGTACCACAAGGCTCAGTACTAGGCCCTATTTTGTTTCTTCTTTTTATTGACGACATTGCTAACATAAACATCAGTGGCAAAATATGTCTTTTTGCGGACGACACTAGCTTCACTTGGAGCAACAAGGACATCACGGCACTTCATAGGATTATATCAAATGACTTAATCACCATTAAATCTTGGTGCGATTCGAACCTCCCGAGTCTCAACATTTCTAAAACTAAAGCTTTGTCGTATAAAACCTCGTTGCAGCCTTTTGTACTTAACAACACCACCACTGACGTCATCAAATCTGTAAAATTCTTAGGGCTTGTTGTGGACAATTCTCTGAAATGGGACATACATATCGAAGCTTTGTCGAAAAAATTGAGCTCTGCCTGTTTTGCATTAAGGTCTGTTTCTAAGGAGCTTAACTTGTCAGTGGCTAGAACTGTTTATTATGCACTTTTTGAGTCGCACCTCAGGTATGCCCTTCCATTCTGGGGTACGTGTTGTGCGACTAAATTTGACCGCATTTTCAAGCTCCAGAAGAGAGCTGTTCGATGTTCACTGGGACTAAACAGCAGAACTCATTGCCGGGACTTTTTTAAAGAATTAAAAATATTGACTCTTCCTTCCTTATTTATATTTGAATCCGTTTGCCTAATACGTAAACATGTATCAGCTTCTCAAGAAAGGCCATTTCACACTTATCCACTCAGGAACGCGGAGCAAGATCTTTATCTACCTACCCCACGCTCAGAGTTAGTTAAAAGTTCAATATTATACAACTCAAAAAAATGCACAATCACCTGCCATTTGAAATCAAATCCATAACATCATTTTTTTCATTTCGCAAAGCATTGAACTCTTATTTACTAGACAAGGCTTTCTACGCCGTAAATGAATTATATTTTGAAAATCGAATTTGATCTTGTAAACACTGGTCTAATGTTTGCTATTGCTATATTTACTAATGACATCGAAATGAATTTATTTAGAGGTCATTGATATTTTACTATAAACTAGCTAAATATTTTTGAAGATTATTTTTATTTTTTTGTTCTTTGACATTGTAAACATTTATAAATGTTTATTTTAACAGTAAGACTGACAATATTATTTGTATAATGTTTTGTATTATCTTTTGTTTGTTTGTTTGTGTACCTTGTTTTTTACTTTGTTTGTTGGTTTACCTTTGTCTACAAATTGAAAAATTTTTTGTCAATAAAGGCATTTATTTATATTCTCTTGGCGTGCTGTCTATTGATATTGAAGTATTTACATTTTGGTCTTTTGTAATAATCATAAATTTTGTTTTCTTTAAATCGTCAGCGTATCTGATATTGTTGACCATCAATGTTTACTTATTTCTCTGGAGATATGAATATATCAAGGAAAACAAAACTATTCAAAAAATTAATCTTTTTTTCTGATTTTTAGAGTGGAAAGTACCTCGATCACGGCAAAGTTATTAGTGGCCGAAATGCTACCTAAAAATCGAAGAGGACTCTACATAGTATTATACGACTTTTTTTGGATCCTTGGATACATTATTACAACCAGTAAAGTATTCTCCTCCAGTCCTATTCTTTTCAAAAAAACTATAAACTTGGAGACTGAACCATAGTATAAGGAAACTAGTAGCTTTACTCCTTGTCAAATCCTTTGTTCTTTTTCTGCCACTTTATATGACCTTGTTCTCGCGTCCCGTGACCACTGACGTAGCTGTATAGTAGTGGTCTCTAATTAGGCAAAGTATAGTCCTGGCACTCGCCATAGTTTCACAGAGATGTATTTAGGAAAATATGAGTTCACAATAAAATAAAATAAAAAAAATTGATCACCGAGTAAGAATTTGCTTGAGAACAGAATATTTTCACATTTGGTGTAAGTAAAAATTCTCTTCCGTATATGAAAATAATATAAAATAAATTTTTATATTATTATCTATTTCAAAGATTTTTCTACAACTTTTGTAGTAATATATTGGTGAGGTGATTTTCATTGGATAACTAATACATTGAACAACACATTGTACTAAATAAATAATAAAACAACATATTTAAACTTCAATTATTGCTAATAAACATTACAGAAATTTCAAAAGAGAAAAGAAGCAAGAACAATGAGAAATAGCATCACTACTTTCTCACGTAACAAAAGATTTTTTTTTAGTTATTGTTACCGAGTCCCGAAGGTACCGAAAGAACCGGGAATTAATCATTTCGAGTCCCGGATATTCGACAGATTGTAAAATCTGGCAGAAACTATTTGGGAGAGTACAACTACTCTTTTCCTTCTACTATGACTGAACTCTCCATATAAGTTCTCCAGATTGACAATCAAAATATCTTTTAGGTCTAGTAATATTATTGGAAACCTCCGTATTGATAGCCATGACCAAAGACCCGGACAGTCTGGCAACGTGGCGCATTATCCTAGCCATTTGCGGGGGTTTTAACCTAGTCATAGCTTGCGCCTGCGCACTTCTAGAAGAGAGCCCTCGCTATATCCTGCACTCGGGGAGGACATACCTGGCATACCTCATTTTAAAACAAGTTTACGCCATCAATAACTCGTGTTACGCCGACTATTACAAGGTAAGTCTAATATAAAACGCTGTTATGCAGGCACTCGGTTGGTATCGTTACCCAGCGTAGCAATTTTTGAAGACGCGTTCTATATTGTAGGTCAGAGAGGAAAGTCTGAGAAATCTAGTAAAAGGATACGATCTGACGTATTCGGAACCGGCAGATACTTTGGAAATGCTAAAAAGACTATGTTGCAGGACTTGGAATGCTGTAAAAATGTTATTTTCGAAGAAATATCGTTGTATAACACTTATACTCATCTGTATTAAAACCCCTATAATAATCATGGGGTAAGTAACCATATTTTAGCTGTTTTTACATTATTTTATCAGTTTTTTTGCAGATTTTTCCACCTGAACGCGGTTTGTTCCAAGATCCTAACCGCAAATTCATTGGGTGTTTCCCCGAAAACACTTACCGGTACCAATTTTCTTTACCCAATTTACCATGAGATGTCGTTGAACGAGTCCAACATTACTGAACCGAACATGTGCGCAGTAAACGAGGAATCGGAGTTGTACTATCGATATTTTCTCTTACTAACGGGTGCAATGTTGCCGGGTGTCGTTTTTTCTCTCGTACTTATCGAAATTTTGGGGAGAAAACCAATTCTATGTGAGTCTTATACAAATATAAATTTATTATAATATGAAAAAATATCGATATTTTTAAATATGTATATGTTTATAGGGATGTAACAACATATCGATATTTTTATATATCGATACGTGTTAATAAAAGTATCGATATTTATGATTCATTTTTAATTTTTCTATACAGGGTGTCCCAGAAATAAGTGCAAGTATTTTAAGGGGTGGTAGATCTCGATAAAAGAAACATAATATTTTCTCTGTATCGTTTTTCAAATAAGTCCAAAATAACGGAGTTATTTCACTTTCAAATTTCAAAAAAAAAAATGATTTTTTGCTAAAATTTTGAGAACTACTGGATCTTTTCTGGATTTTCTTTCTTGTAAATTTAATCTAATACCTACACCTATGTTGCCATATTATTAAGAAATTATATTTTTTAACTAAAAACTAAAAAAATTTCGAAAAAAATTTCAATTTTTTTTTTCGCGAAAAAAACCTCATAGGCGTGTTTCTGGGGTTGAACTATACTCATCCTAGTTCAAATACTTGCACTTATTTCTGGGACACCCTGTATATTGGTATACAGAAAAATTAAAAATACATACATGTAATACCTGATGATCGTAAACATATGTATGATCGAAAAGAACGGCCTCGAATTGGCTTGGAAATGATGATCTATGACAATTCCCATATAATTTTACATATAAAATAACAGCGATCTTCATTTCATAGCCGTCGCTGACGCCGTTTTTTTTCGATCATATTGTATATACTTGTATATCACACTAATCAGAAAGGTTTATGATTTAAAGAGGAGTTCTTCCACTTAAAAAGAGGTTATAAAAATTCTATTATAATTTCTTACTAAAAACGTTGTATTTAAATCAGTAGAATACACTTATTCTATGAATATAAGTACTACCTAACATGTAGTTTCTAAGATTTTCGTTTATTTTTCCTAAAACTATTTTTAACTTTGAAAACCTACAAACGTGGAACAATCCGAAATATTTGATAGCAAAGCGTAATTTTGCTTTGTTTATGCTCCCTATATACAGAATGTTCGAATTTTATCGTATACATACCACAATAATCAATTATATTTGTGTTTTTAGCTGTATGTTCGCTGGTATCCAACATTTGTTTTTTAATATTGTGTTACTTGAACCTTGAAGAACTCAACTTAGTTTGGTACTCCGTCATTTTGGGCTGCTCAGTTGCCATTTTTTCAACTATATCTGTCGTTAATATAGAATCGTACCCCACAGCTATAAGGTAATCTATAGTTTGTCCCGTGAGAGAATATATAACATTGACAGTAGGTAATGCTGTCTGTCGTCGTTTTGATTATAAAGTAAATAGTTTTTCTGTCAGTTTTTAGATGTCGTTTATCAAACACATATCTTCTCTCAATGGATGCATATTATATACGTAAAATATACACCTAAAATATACAAGCAAAACGTAAACAAACACCGTTTTGTATATTTACAAATATACTTCTTTTTTGGCGATTTGACAACTGTGAAAATCTCGTCAAAATATGAAAATAATATTAAAGAAGCTTTGTATATTTTGGGTTCCATACATTTGTTTCTCTGAGTCTAGAACTGAGAATATTAATGAAAAATAACATTTTATATGTTTTAGAGCAACCGCGCAAGGAGTGACGTCATTTTTTGGACATTTTCTCTGCATGTTTGTCTTCAATTTTATCATGGTTGAACCATCCATATTATTCCTGATAATGGGGGTAGCTTCTTTTGGTCAGTAGTAAATAACTTTAATTTTTATTTACAAGATACACTGAGTTTAATAATTTTTTATGGTATTTTTATGACAAAGACATGACAGTATACAGGATGGTCCAAACTGTATTCCGGAAACTTTGGCAGCATATTAAAGCATATTCAGCAGCAGTAAAAAGTTCGTATAAATATATATGTCCTACAATGCTTAATTTCGGAGATACAGGGTGTAGCAAGTTTGCTTTGGAGCCAAATTTCTCATGTCAAAAAACTCCCAGACGCCAATTTTCATCCGAATATTGATGTTAATACAGAAGTGATTTGGAAAAAATCGAAATAAAAATGAAACTTCTACACCCTGTATCTCCGAAACTAAGCATTTTAGGACATACATTTATACGAACTTTTTTACTTATTTTTATCTGCAGAATATGCTGCTGAGGTTTTCGAAATACAGTTCGGATCACTCTGTATAGTATATGGGATAATATATCATACGATTGAAAAAAAAAACGGTGTCATTCTCCAGCCGTCTTTGACGCCGTTTTTTTTTCGATCGTACTGTATTTTTAAGTATTATTAATTTTTTATATGATTTTATTATCATTTTTAGGTAGTTTTATTGGTACGTTTTTTCTACCCGAACTGAAATCTACGCCTATGGCCGAATAAAATGTATATATCTCCATTTTTTAAATAAAATTTTATCCAAAAAAACTCTTTCTTTGCCTTTGAACATTTTATTAATAGTCAGTCCTTAGCAGGAGCACTAATAGCCTTAAAACAGTATAAATAGAAAATCCACGCTTCTAAACAATATATAAAAATAGCAGAGTGCTATTAAGCTTTGTATACGTATTTAAAAAAATGTTTGCTTACACTAAATTTGATAATTACTTGTGAAATTTTTTTATTAATAAAACTAAATAAAAAAATGTGTTTTTGAAAGTATAAAACACAATTTTTGACTTATTTTCCCCAGCTAGAACCAAAAGTAAGATAAAACTAATAATTTCGGTATTCCGGTATTTTTAATTTGTCCGGTCGTAAAGCACACGAAACTTGCGAATTAGCCAATTCTACTGTTGAACAGAGATATTTAAACGCCCAGTATAATAAGGAATATTCAGATAATACAAACTGATTTTTCAACAGCGGAAAATCCAAAAAAAAAATGTTTTCTCTCATTTTCAAGCCATATGCCTTATCTCTGTGGTGTCCGATGACTTCACATATATGTTTATTTCTACAACATTTTTAAAATAAATCCACTAAACTAGATAATCGACTCGAAAACAATTTTTTTTAAGTTGATTTATATTAAAATTTTTATACAAACTTAAAAAGCAGTCTCCGAAATGTTAGACCATGATATTAGTAAACACATTTTTGCGTCAGTGCCCTGTGTAGCCAACATGGGAACAAGCTTACACCACGTCACAAAAGGGCATGGTATAAAATAAATTTATACTTATCTCAGAGAAATAAGTTAACTTAGAGATGCCGAGCTATGCATAGTGTCTCTTGAATAAATGCATAATGTTTAGGGATGCTCAAAGGTCTTAGTTCTAGACAAAAGAAACAAACTATCTATGCATCATTTTTAAAATACAGTCTCAGTGCTCACATTTTGTACAAGTGTAAATTTATTTTCACTAAATTTACACTTTACACAGCCATTTTCCAACATCTCTAGATTTATTTATTTACTGCTTTGAAAAAAAAACGGAAAAAATATTTTTTAAGTTATTTAGCATTGGTTTTATCATTCTAAACATTTTTTCAAGCATTTATCTATAATATTATGCAAGTATTTTTACTAAAATTATTTTTCCTTCAAAATACCGCCTATACCTCATTCAAGAACGCTTTTATTATTAGTACTAACCATGTATATTTTTCTGTTATGTATATTTTCTTTACCAATAATTATTTCAACAGAAAATCATACACAGGGTGGTAAGTTTTATATTAGTTTTATCTAACTACAATATAAAATAATACATGAACTAAACGCATTTAAGAACACACATGTGGACGGCCTCTAGGCACAGAATTCGTGTTGAAAAGTGATAGAATAGTTGCAGGGTACGACGTAGGGTACTACAGGTACCCCTGGTACGCAGCCCTCATCAGACAGAAGCAAGTAAGCTGTGGGGGAGCCCTGATAGGACCAAAAACTATTCTCACAGCTGCTCATTGTTTCAGAGAGTTTCTAGAAACAAAGTAAGATAACATATCTTGTTCTATATGTTCTAGAACTCATGTAGAGTACTTTCAGTAAATCTACAATAAAACTAGAAGACGTTTATACAGTCAAACTAGGACTGTACAACATATGCACATCAGAACCGACAGTTACAGAATTTAAAGTCCAAAAAGTACAAGTACACGAACTATACCTAAGTAAAAAGCCATACTTTGATATTTGCTTACTAACTTTGACCAACAGTACTGAAAAGTACCATCCAATCTGTCTGCCCAGTGCAAGTACCTTATTTTAACTATTTATTCATCAATATATTCAAATCAAAACGTTTCAGCATTAACAAAGAAGCCCAAAGAAGGCACTGTACCCGGAATGGGTACCTTAAAGTACCAAGGACCCATGCCCTGTACTTTGCACGAAGCCCGTTTGCTTATTTACCCTGATGATGAGTGCAGGAAAATGATCAAAACGACGGGTAACAATGATACAGCGATGAAAAATGCGTTTTGCGCTGGTTATATGACCGGAGGTACTGATACTTGTCAGGTACTGCAAGAAAAACGCTTATTATAATAATATTCTATAGATTTTTCTACAAATTTTAGGGTGATAGTGGAGGTCCATTACAGATATTGGATGAAAACGGCAATTTTGTATTAATAGGTAATTGTTTTAAAACAGAATTTAACGGTAGGCAACCACAGATACACGCTTTTGTATTGAGAGTTGCGTATACTAAAATTTAATAAATTTCTAGTTTAAATTTCCTTAATATTGCTTTTGTAGGGATCGTTTCCTTTGGTTTCCACTGTGCTGTGCCTGGATATTTAGGTCTATACACGGACACTTCCCAATATATAAATTGGATTAAAGAAAAAAGCGGATTAGACTTAAATTTCTTACATTCTCTAGCCCATAACGACTCTAGTGCGCCTCATCATCAATATTTTAACAATTCAGACGAATCTGTTGAATCTTCTGAATCTGGTGAACGCTTTGTATGAATAAGAACGATATTTTTTGTAATTTATATGAATTCTAGGTCCGAAAAAGAAGAAAAAACATTTGAATCATGAACACCCATACAAAGCACCAATAAGAATCATTATTTTAAGAGACAGCGGCCTGGTGAGCGTCAAGAAATCAATGGTGCACTATCCTGTGAAAAGAAGAAACAAAAATCCCACTTAAGTTTATAGTTTTTCGAAAATAAAATGTTTTGATAAAATCCAGTACTTTTTCATACGCCCCCAGTAATTCGACGAAATTGTTTCGATTAGTTTCCTCAAAATTCCACTCTGGTGGCGCCACTATCCGTTTCCATTTCGCGTAGATGAAGTTGTCGTAAGCGTGGCTAATCAAGGCACAAAAAGGTAATTTTCACCATTTCCACCCTTATTTTCCCACGTAAAATTGATCTAGAATATCCCTTGAACCTTATTCTTAACTTATTTCCCGATCAAATTCTCCCAAGGGCTGGTTTCAGGCCCAAAACATTCGCGAAATGCGCTGTTTGGTAGCGAGTAATTGTATATCTCCATCTTTGTCTTACATTAGGAGTTTATGCCCGTAGAGGGGTACCTGGTAATCAGTTCGTTTTGAAGCGAACGAACCGAACCTTAAAATTCTGTTGACACTGACGTTTAGCAAATTTCCCGTCTAACATTAGCCTTTTCCGTGTTATTTTTTCAGGAAAATGAGCAGCTCAGAGGAAGTGTCCTGGATTTCATGGTTCTGCGGACTCAGGGGCAACGAATTCTTCTGCGAGGTACCCAAGAAACGTGCTAATTTTCATCAAAACGTACTTTTTTCAAGGTAATGTTTGTGTATTGTGTGATTTTTAGGTGGACGAAGATTATATACAAGACAAATTCAATTTGACCGGTTTAAATGAACAAGTTCCGCACTACAGGCAAGCCCTGGACATGATATTAGACTTAGAACCAGGTAAGGGACAATAGTTTTTAAAAAAATGATAGATAAATGAGTTATATTAATAGATGACGAGCTAGATGATAACCCTAATCAATCCGATCTAATTGAACAGGCAGCCGAAATGCTTTATGGTCTGATCCATGCTAGGTATATTCTAACTAACCGTGGTATAGCTCAAATGATCGAGAAATACCAAGTGGGAGATTTTGGTTATTGTCCGAGAGTTTACTGTGAATCACAGCCTATGTTACCATTAGGTTTATCAGATGTTCCTGGTAAGGGAGTAGTATATTTACATAATAAAGTAAGTTATTTTGATGGTTTCAATTCTAGGGGAGGCTATGGTAAAATCTTACTGTCCTAAATGTATGGACGTGTATACTCCTAAATCTTCAAGACACCATCATACTGATGGGGCTTATTTCGGAACTGGTTTCCCACATATGGTTTTCATGGTCCATCCAGAATATAGACCGAAGCGTCCAACACAACAATTTGTTCCTAGGTATATTTTATTTTTTTTCTTAATTTTGTATATTAATGTTTACATTTTTTTCTTTTAGACTGTTTGGCTTCAAAATACATCCTCTAGCTTACCAGTTGCAACAGCAGGCTGCTACGACTTTCAAAACGCCTCTAAGAACGTTAAATTTCAACAATGGCAAGCGTTAATATATTTTAAGACAAGAAGAGAACTTTTGTAATTGCTAAATAAAATAAAAACCGTGTTGATTTAATGGACTTTTCTCGCAGGTATTTATGGATTACCAATATTCTAGGCGGTATTATAGTTTTTTTCTCAATAAAATACCGATTTCAGGAACTAAGCTGGGGTTTGAGTTTTACAGCCTTTTAATAGCATTAATAATTTTATTTTGTATTTTTTCAAATCATATTTTTGTAGGGTTTTCCGTGCTTTAAAACTCAAACCCCAAGCAGGAAATAATAAAATAATATCAAACTTTGTGAATATAGATTGGCAAATAAACTTATACGATCTAAATATGATGTATGTACACTGAACGTTTTTTTAGTCATTTTTTTATTTAATTAGTGTAATTTTGCGTTACAATTAAAACCACCTGTTATATACATAGTTAAATAGATTAATAATTATTTAAAATGAGTTTTATTCTACGAAAATTCTCAAGTTAAAAACCACAAATTAAAAACTTGCCCATTAAAGATTTTTAGTGATATATAGATAACCAGTAATACAGTAACCTGTTTAACTAGTTGCCTAATTATATTTTAAAATAAAAAAAAGAAACATAAATATTGTTTTTCAATCGTTTGTGTGTCTCGGCCTTCAATATTTCATTTTTACAGTTCCTTACCTAATAATTAAGTTTTAACTGGTTTTAATAACTTAAAACCATATACTCAAGTCTACAGTTCCTTGAAGCTGTGAAAAAATCAAACTTCCAAATTAACGTGAAAAGATTCGGCTGTTTATACCGCAAGAAACATATATTATTTCGACACTCTCTCAAAAGGAATCAAAATTCATAGGGTATTTTCCAAAGGTAGGTATTTATATTCCGTTGATCTAGAACTATGAAATTTGGCAAGTAATACCGTCTTAAGGAAAAATCTTAAAATTATACATTTGTAGTTAAATCATAAAAATTGTCTATACGGAACCTTCAGTATGTGGGTTGTTTTTTTTGTTAAATAAACCACAAGAATTTGCATAAAATCCAATATATTAGAAAACCTACAGCTAGTACAAACCAACAACTCAAAACACGTCTCATAAGGATTAGTGATAAAATACGTTAATATAAATACGTTTTTCTCTTCAAATATACTCGATATACGAACAAATTAATAAAACGAAACTCTAAATACCGGTCTAATACGAGCCTAGTACTTTCTTTTTTCTTCTTTCTTTTTGCGGTTAGTTATTAACGGGTTGAATCGTCTCCCCGCCTCTGATCTGCCCCCATCCGATGAGACGCCAATGCTTTTCCACCCTCCTACTCAGCGCGATCTTCTCACCGACCTCCGTGCACACGGGGTTGGTCAGCGCTATCTTACACAAGTCAGCTTTAGTCGCTATAACTCTACCGCCGGTACTCAGCGATCCTATGTTGACTAGCAGTACTTCGCTCTTAGTTAAGCGCTGTACTTTGGCTCCTTTCTTGTCACCCTCCGTACGAACACCCAGTAGACGTTTGAGCAGGTAGTAGCTGACTTCCAGCTCGATGAAGATGTTGGGAAGGGCTCCTACGGCACCCAGGACTTGTCCTACTAATCTGTCAGCTCTGCAAAGGGTCGGTTCGATTTTTGTACCCACTCCGATGAGTCCTCCTGGTACTGCGAATTGTAGTTCGTTTTGTTCGGTGTACAAGGACACAATCCTGGAAAAAATATATTTATCTTTTATATAATGACATTCGAAAAAGACTGGAGTAAGAGGGAAGCTTCCACAGTAAGCCTAAACAAAATTGTCACAATCAAATTAGGGATAATTTCTTTTTGTCTACTGTTGTGACGTCATATTACCTCATATATTTATGTTGGCTACAAGATACCCCACGAAATGCTGTATCTAGTTATAACATGTCCTAAGGTTATCAAAACGATAATTTTTGATTTTATTTATTAATAATATTAGTAATTTTTAACATGATTACGTTTGAAAAAGATTGAAATATGAAAAACTTTTCTCAGTATGCCCATTCAAAATTGTCACAATCAAATTAGTAATAATTTCTTTTTGTCTACTGTTGTGACGTCATATTACCTGATATATTTATGTTGGCTACAAGATACCTGTCGAAAAACCGTATCTAGTTATAACATGTCCTAAAGTTATCAAAACGATAATTTTTGATTTTATTTATTAATAATTTTAGTAATTTTTAACGTGAGAAGAAGAACCATTCTCAGTATGCCCATTCAAAATTGTCACAATTAAAGTAAGTAATTTTATTTGGTGTACTGTTGTGACATCACACAACAATTATGTTGGCTACAAGGTGCTGCTAAAAAATCGTATCTAGTCATAACATGCTCTAAGGTTAACGAAAAGTTAATTTTTGAATTTACTGTGAAAAAATTGATTTGAAGGTGAGTTTTTAATATATTACATTTCAAAAAGGATGAAACAATGCTTCCTAATAAAGCCTTTTCAAGGTTATAACATTTATATTAGTCATAATTTTATTCAGTCCACAGTTGTGACGTCATAAAATCTCATGTATTTATGTTAGCTTCAAGATATCAGCGAAAAAAACGTGTCTAATAAAACATCCTCTAAGCTTATCAAAACGATAATTTTTTATTTTGCAGTAAAAAAAATTACCTGGAGAAAATTGGTTTGCAGGTGAGTTTGCCTTCTGAGTCCTTGCTGACGAGTCCGGGCCTGACCTCGATTTCTTGGCCCACTTTGAGTACCCCCCTCAGGATACTGCCTCCCGCAACTCCTCCCTTCAAATCGTCCACTTCGCAGCCGGGTTTGTTGACGTCGAACGACCTGATGACGATCAGACGTGGTTGCGATGTGAAATCGCGCTGAGGGATGGGGATTTTCTTCGTTATGTACTCGCAAAGTACCTGAAAAATTATTTTATTTTGATATGTAGTAGAGATGTTCAGAAATATCGATTTTAAAATATCGATATCGATATTTCAAAATATCGATAAGTTACCTTTTCGTTATATACACGCCAAGTACTTAAAAAATTAGTACCTTTAACAATAGAGCAGAGATGTACCAAAATATCGATATTGTAACAATATTGATAAAGAAATTTAAAAATATCGATACTGTTTTTTTTGCACCTTTATTAAGTACCTCAGTACCAAAGTACAAAGTACCTGACAAAAATAGTATAATTTAATATTTTATAATTCACGAAAGATTTAACTAAAATATCGATATTTTAAAAATGTCCATATATAAAAGTATCGATATTGTTTTTTCTTTTTCGTGATAAAAATACCTATAAAATATTTCGTAAAAAACGTATAGTAGGGATGTACTAAAATATCGATACTAAAAATACAATACAATATCGGCGTTTTAATAATATCAACATGGTTTTTTTTCGTTATATACACTGGCAAAGTACCTAATGTAAATTGTACCTACCAAAGGAGAAATAAGGTCTGTCCAACGACAGGATAGATGACACTGACAGTTGTCTGTCTTTTTAGTTCAGAGGTAAATTATATGTCTGTCATTCTTTGGATGTCCTGTGTCTAAATCTTTCCTTACTCGTTGAACAGACTGGGGATATCGAAAAATATCGATAAATCAATAGATACTAAAAATATATCGATATTTTAAAAATATCGATATTAACTTTTCTTTATGCATTAGAAACTAAAGAAATATTTATTATTAGCAACATTAAAGATTTATTGGCTATGTACTTGCAAAAATACCTAAAAAGAAATATAATTTTAGAATAACTATGGTAGAGATGTCCGAAAATATCGATATCGATTTTTTAAACTCGATATGTTTAATAGATGGTATTTTCTGGTTTACTTACCTCAATGTTGTACTTCAGTTGAGCAGAAATAGGTATAATGGGTGCACCTTCCGCTACTGTACCCTGTACAAACTTGACGATCTGCTCGTGTTGCTCTTTGGCCTGTCCCTCCTTGACCAGATCGATCTTGTTTTGCAAGATAATGATGTGCTTCAGCTTCATAATCTCGATAGCAGCCAAATGTTCGCTGGTTTGAGGCTGGGGACACGACTCGTTACCTAAATAATACGTTTATTTGTTCATTTTTATAGAGTGTCAACAAAATATATTTTTTATTTATTTTCCTGGTATAATCCAAATATATAGATTCTTTACCTGCTATAAGAAGCAAAGCGGCGTCCATGACAGCCGCTCCGTTCAACATGGTGGCCATAAGAATGTCGTGACCGGGACAGTCCACAAAACTAACATGTCGTACCAGCTGAAATCGTCCGGTACAGGCGGGTCTGAGACACGGGAAATTGTCATCTTTAGACGACGACCCTGAAATGTAACAGGCCGGTCTGGGACATTTCGGGTTGTCACACTTGTAGATCTTGGCGTTCGCATAACCTACAAAAAGGTATATTTCAGAAAAATATTTTTTTATTCCTCTACATAATCTCAAAATACAGGGTGGTCCGAAGTGTATTCCGGAAACTTCGGCAGCATATTCCGCAGATAAAAATAAGTAAAAAAGTTCGTAAAAATGTATGTCCTAAAATGCTTAGTTTCGGAGATACAGGGTGCAAAAGTTTAATTTTTATTTCGATTTATTTCCAAATAATTTATGAAGTAACGTCAATATTTGGATGAAAATTGGTGTCTAGGAGTTTTTTGACATAAGAAATTTGATTTTGATGCCAATATGACTCCTATTTGTAGGGGGCGCCACCTACATATTTTTAACTAGTTTGAAGAGTAATAACTTTTCGTCTGTACCTGTATAAAACTAGTGAGTAAAAACATATACATTTACGACGTTTGCAACGTAAAAAAAGGTCACTTGGTAAAAATTGCTACGAGTAATAGTTCTCGAGATATTTGGAATCGAAATTATCAATACCTGTCATCATTGACATAAATTAAACATGTTGACTAAATAGTTATTCAATACTGTCAATAATCCGTAAGGGGGACACGAAATTTTATGTTACCGAACAATTCATAGGCGTGCTATAAATATTTTAAGTAACATTACATACTTATAAAAAAAAATCAAAAATACCAAATAGATTTGATTTTTTCAACGTTTTTCTACGTAAATGAGACATAATCTTTATAAAAATTAAAAAATTATAGAAGAGAAACAATATAAATGAATAAAATCACGCAACTATTTTACCGATAATGACTGCACTGTTCTCCAAGCACGGTCTACTATCATAGTTTAAGGAAAAGAGTAGTTGCACTCTCGCAAATATTTTCTGCCAGTTTTTGCAAGCTGGCAGGTTGCAAAGCGTTTCAGTTGAATTCGGTCCGTCGAGCTGTGAGGTTCGAGCGTTGCGTCCGAGCACAGGGACGGATTGACAAAAAATGAGTGCCTTACTCTGCGCTGCTATTAATTGTGGAAATAATTCAAAAAATTGTTCTTTGAGTCTTTTTAGATTTCCATCAGATATAAATCGGCAAGCTGATAGTAATTATCAATTAACATTTAATTATATTTGTTTATTTTAGAAGCTGAGATATTATGTAATTAATTAAATGTTATTATTTTTTTAGCATGTGTGCAGATTTTAAAAATAGTTTTTTAGATATACAGGTTGTCTCAAATATGCGCATGAAAATATTTTTTTGGTCAGGGATTTTCCATAAAATTTTCATTCCAATAATAATTTACGAGATAATTTATATAAATTCGTTTTTGAAACAATTTTACAGTAAATATTTTGTACATCTAAAGTCTCCGCAAATTATTCATATTTTTTAATTGAAAGAATTTTATAATAGCATAATCTCTTATAAATTTAGCGGACTGTATTTTTTATGTTTTTTTTTTATTTATTTTTTATTATAAGTGGTCGTAATATAACAATATTCAAAATATTATAGACAAAATATTGAGTTTCTATTTGAGGGAAGAAAAGTGCCACACCTAGCTTTAAACCACCGTTAATATACAGGGTGGCCCATTATCAATTATAAGTTCAATATCGTCGTCGTTGTCGAAGATGTGAAAAATGTTTGGTAAAAAGGGTGTATCCTAAAATATTTTGTTATATACAGGGTGTCACAAAAAAAGTTATGGTAAAGTTAGTTTGATTTTTTTTATTATTTTACATCCTTCTATATACATTATTCTATATTGGGTATTTTTTATGGCGTCACCAAAATCGCAGTATTTAAAATGGTATATCTCAACTTTTTTAAATGCGACATTCTGTATATTATTTTTCTGTCAGATGCAGAATTAAAAAGTGAACATTTTTTATTAATTTAAAGTGCTTCTAAATTTTTACCGCTGTCGCAGATATTCGCAGTATTATATTACATATGGCTCTTTCAACAGTAAATTTTTTTCAAAGCCACCTAATATGATCTTTGTCTGTCTTGTCTTGTCAAAAAATGTTCACCTTTTAATTCTACATCTGAAAGAAAAATAATATACAAGGTGTTGCATTTAAAAAAAATGAGATACAACATTTTTTAAATATTACGATTTTGGTGACGCCATAAAAAATATCCTGTATAAGATAAAGTAAATTTTTCTACACGAATTTATTCCAATGTCCTTCATGTTTAATAAAACATAGCAAAGTATTAATAAAGTTATATTCACTCTAGTTTTTGACCACTTTTCATATATAATGTTTTTAACCAAAGTTTTAGTAAATAAGAAATAGATTGGCAACACCGCAGTGTGCTTTAAATAAAGACAGTGTACTATAGCATAATTTTATGCCGAATCCAGTTATCTACAGAAAATTAAACTTGCTTTAAATAAAAAAAAAGTCGTAGAAAATCTCTGAAATAGATAATAATATAAAAATATGTCATTATATATTTTTTCCGCATTTCTTCCCATCAGAAGATTTTCAGATACAGAGGAATAATTGTTACCTACACGAAATGTGAAAATATTCTGTTTTCAAGCAAGATTTTACTCGATGATCATTTTTTTTTATTTTATTTTATTGTGAACTCATATTTTCCTAAATACATATCTGTGAAACTATGGCGAGTGCCACGTCTATACTTTGCCTAGTTAAGAGACCACGACTATACAGCTACGTCGTCGGCTACGGAGGCGAGAACAAGGTCATATAAAGTGGCAGAAAAAGAACAAAGGATTTGACAAGGAGTAAAACTACTAGTTTCCTTATACTATGCTACTATCGTTTTAATCGATTTTTCTCGTAAAAAAATAGACGATGCGTCCCGTCAATAAAGATTCGACAAATTTGCAAGTAGCCAGTTTGCCGTTTAAAAAAATGCTGCAATTTTCTGACTGACTGATTGGTGAACTATGGCCAGCATAGTTACACGCATAGTTATTCCTCTATTTTTCACCGATAGTTTACAGCGATAAGAATAAAACAAATCAATCCAATTTTCGTATTTTTTATTGCATTTATAATAAATTCAACAATGCTCTCTATACGTATTAACGGCTAGATAGAAAATATGTATATCTAAAAAGTTCTTGTTTCTTATACTAAACTAAGTTAACAATAATTCTAATCACATAACTTCTACATATAAGATTATAAAATAGAAGGAGATTCACAAAGAAACGTTTAAAAATGTTAAAAAATAATATTTTTTAAAATAGTCATAATCAAAGCAACCTTGTCAATCTGCCTCTATTTTAGTTATTATACCAGATTGAACACAAGATTTAAGAAAAAAAATTGTATAATTAATTAACTAATAGTAAAAATAACAAGGGCAGTATAAGGTTGTCAATGTCTTTAGGTAGTTTTTAGTTTTAAAAATGATAAAACATTAAAAATCATTTAGAAAAAAAAACACGATTTCACTACACTTAATCTAGGGTTATGTCTGTTTAGATAAAAAAAAGTGTTTATAGCTTCAAAACTTAATATTTTTATCAGCTTATACTAACAGTAATACTTATTATTATTATTTAAAACACCATTTTTACAAACTTAAATTTGTATAGCATTATTTTGCACCTATAGTTTGTCCATCGAGAATATACATGACAGTATATTATCTTGTATTCTTTTAGTCATTAGGTAAATTGTATTTTCTGTCATTTTTTGGATGTACGCTACAGTTCCAAATATAAAACATTAACAGTTGATAACCAATCAATTTGACTTTTTTAATTATAACATTGTTTTTAAAATTAAAAGACTTAAAAATAACATACATTTACTATATAATTAAGGATCCAAAACAAAAATTAAGAAAGGCACCAAGACAGTATCATTTTATATCGCATTTTCTTACAATGCTTTTTAAAAACTCTGTATATTTACAAACAAATTATTTCCATGTGTCTGAGCTATTCTGCAAGTGCAATATACAACATAAAATTTATGTTTTTAAAATCAATAACATTCTGGGATCGAATACAGGGTGAGTCTATATGTGTAAATATTTTAGGGGTAATATATTTTGACACCAAAAACACGATTATAAGGCTTTTTTCAAAGTAAAATAACTTGATTATTTTGGACTTATTTGAAAAAGAAGAAGACTCGCCCTGTATATACTGCATGATCGAAAAAAACAGCGTCAAAGACAGCTGGAAAATAACAATCGATGATATCATTTATTAAAAATTGACATGATTAAAAATCTATTTCAAAAAAATTTATTTTTGGCAAATTTTTAATTAAAAAATAAAGAAGAGTACAGGCCAAGTAAATAACGTCCAGAGCTTGACCTACCTAAAATTATTATCGATATTCATTCTCCAGCTGTCTCTGAAGTCGTTTTTTTTCGACAGTATACCTTCTGTATACCGGGTGCGGCTCAAAAGTGACTCACCCCTATAACTTTTTTACTTTTTTAGATAAAAAAAACGAGATTTGGTATGTTAGTATATGACATAAATTAGGATTGATTGGCATATTCAATTGTTTTTGGTCTCTTCCTGTTTCACCGGAAATGACTACAACTTTTGATTTTTAAATGGCACCCACGGTATTTTTTTACTTTATCCGATAGAAAATGACATTCCGAATAGAATGACATATCATATGTCAACTTTTGACATTCTCGCTTAATAAAAAATTGTATTTTAAAATTCAAGAGTGCCATGGCTATGTTAAAAATACTGATTGTTTATCAAGGAGCCTAGGAAAAATATATTTGATTCTCTAATGTTTTTAATATCTTGTTTTGGTCAGTTAGAAAATGCTGAAATCGTATTTTTAATCATATCTCAATTTTTTCAAATGGAACGAGGGTGGCTCATTAGCATATTTGGAAAAAGCATTTTTTACTAATAATTTGATACCACACACTTGGTATTTCGATCAAATTTTCGTTACAAACTGTAATTTATAATTTCAAATAAACCATATGCAAAAATGTCAAAAGTTGACATATGATATGTCATCCTATTCAGAGTGTCATTTTTTATCGAATAAAGTAAATAAATACCGAGGGTGTCATTTAAAAATCAAAAGTTGTAGTCATTTCTGGTGAAACAGGAAGTAACCAAAGACAATTGAATACGTCAATCAATCCTGATTTATGTCATATACGAACACACCAAATCTCGTTTTTTTAACTAAAAAAAAAATAAAAAAGTTATAGGGGTGAGCCACTTTTGAGACGCACCCGGTATACCTCCGTTAAAAAAAGTTAGAGTCTAAAAAACTAAAGAGTTTTTGCCTAGACATATTCTGAAAACATAACCGGGGTATTATCTTATCGTTAAAACCATTTAAAACTATTCTTTAAAACAAGTATCTTCGACATGCGTCTGCAGCACACTTACAACTAGGCCTGTCGCTGGAAAACTGCATTTTTTTATCAGGAGTATCCAGCTTGGTCCTACCCTTCTCCGGAGTACGTACCTCAGTAGGCTGGTCTATATTCATCATGTAATCAAAAGTCAACTCTTCACCTTTATTTATTTCCTTTAAAGCGAACAGAGCTAGTTTGGGAATGTTTGGATCCTGACAGTTAATCCAGGTAGCGTACACCCCCAGATTTGGATCACACGAATGGTTGATAAAGTGAGATACATTCCCGTACTTTGCCGCGTCCACTGTGTATAAATTATCTCTAGAATTGTAGTCAAGATCAAAGAGATAAGTTCTTCCCTCAGCGTCATACTCCTTACCGCGTTTCTCGGCTTCCTCGTGAGTTATAACCTCACCAACGTACTCACAAACAAACTGTCCACAAAAAATCTTCCTTAGTACCTTGACACCCCATCCACATCCATTGTTAGTCCGGAAAATACACAGTGGTACTTGGCGGCCATGCTGGACCACCCTGTTTCTACAATTTGATGAACACTTGCATAGTTTGTTACATTCGAAGATTGCATTGCCTGGGTTCACGTTCATCCTTCCTACTGTGGTGTAATTGAAGGATCCATGAATTTGCTTGCCACAGCATGATTTAATGCCGGGTCCGCACTCTTTGCACTCACAATGAACGTCGGGGATATCAGGGATTTCTATGTTTCCGGTCGCTACATAGTCGTTAATATAACTAAAATTTTCTGGAGGAAATTCAAGATCTACGTCGTTTCGAACTGTTATAGTTGCTTCAGACTTGTCCATACGGTTAATTATATCTTCCCACCTGTTCAATTTCATTAACTGAGCTTCCCGTTTTACACTAAGAAGGTACAGTAACAAAGCTTTTCGACCATCTTCAATTTTTTTAACATAATGACTGTACATCGGCATTTCAAAGAACTTTAAAAGACTCTTCTGAACCTTTAACTTGTTGATAGTGGCTAAAGAACCCCCTTTTGGTATCGCCCTGAGCATCATATCATCCGTCACAGATTCCACATCCAACTGAAACTTATTCCCCAACTCCTTCAAAGCACTACTGTTGAAAGTTTCGCTAAAAAACTTTTCTAAAACTTCCTCGGCCCCCGCTAAATGTTCCATGGGCTCCCATGTGTTGCACTCGTAATGATAACCCTCCCACTTAACAAAGAACAGGTAATCCCGACTTCTGATGTCGTACTCCATTTTTTCTATAGCCTCTACAATGTATTTGCTTCTGTATGTTTCGCCATTTTGTACCGCGGATTTCCTTTTCCGTTTCAAGCCTCTTTGTTCCCAGTCTTTCAGGTTTTCTAAGGCTTTTTTGGGGTCGACACGACGGCCTTGGAGTAAGGGGGGCCACGTTACGAGGCCTTTATCATTGTACTGTAGCTTGTCTATAACCAAAACGAGAAAAATTTTAACTAACTGTGATGCATCTACGTTGAAATATAGTTAATTTTGCTATATACAGAATAAGAAGGATTTTAAGATACTTTTAATTGTCCCTATATATATAGACAGCTGACAATGACAAAGGCCTCTAGATATTACGAGAAATTGTGAAAAAAAAGCTCTTGAAGATACCCAAAACACATATTACGGAAATGAAGTAGGTATTTTAAGACATTTAAAAATAATTTTGATGGATATTAAACAGCATAATAAGTGGATAGTACTTGCAAAATGGGTTTTTATTCATATTTTAGCATTAGTGTGTAGTTTACATGGAAGAATGATGTACAGGGTGTCGCCTCTCATATTTTTAGAGAGCGCTTTTTTAAAAATATATAGCCTGTCCCCAAAAAAAGTGACGCATCAAACTTGTTTCTTTTTGTAATGGAACACCCTATATATTAAATTATTTTCGTATTCTAGAAAAATATAAAGGTGAGTTATATTAAAGAATAGAGAAGCATATAACTAAAATGTAAGTATTTTGACATATTTTACATTTGGTGAAAATAAAGAATAAGTTTTAAATTTCAATATGTAATTTACCCTGTATAGCCTGATATTTAGGTAAAATAACCATTGTATGTTAAACCAAATTAAAATTTGACCCCAAAAATTCACACAGGGTGAGACAAATTATATTAATTACTCCTTTATTTTGAATGGGACACCCAGTATATTGTTCCGGTATTGAATGTACTTCTCAAGCAAAGATTTTTATTAAAAGTATTCTCATTTTTAAATAAATATTCTTTTGTAAATAACAAACGGAAACTTTAATAGGCCAAGGGTATTTTCAATTATTATGCACGAGGTAACTTAAAAGTATCTTAAAATACCTATATTTGTACAAAGACTCGTTTTAGCCCTTGTAAATTAGACTAAATAGAAGGTTTAGAATATCCTGAACCTAAATAAGTGCTAAAAATTCTTATATTTCTATGTTAGACCTGTTCAAACACCCTCCACTTCCAACTACGTAACTAAACCTAAAGAAAAGTAGAATTTTTACTCACCCAATTTAATAGTAATGTTCCTCTCCAATTCGTTTTTGAAACGTACAGTCTGCACTCCGGATATAGCTTTAACTACGGTAGATTTACCGTGAGCTACATGCCCTATGGTTCCGATATTAATCGTAGCTTGCCTACTGATAACCTCTGGGGACAGCGCTGTTAGTTTAGTAACATCCTAAAAAATCTAATGGTTAAAAGGGATAAACCAATACATATCTATTGGTGAATAGAACTATTATTGAAAGATAAGTTAGTTTGTTGGCTGACAAAGCTGTTCATTTCTTCTAGGTTAGAGCAACCATGTGAAAAGCCGCGAAGAAAGAAGTATGCATAGGATAAAAAAAAACTCTGTAAAATACATACTAATTTTGATAGGTCCTGTTTTTGTAGATTGGGCTGTCCCGTGGTGATTCCACTATTATCAGTAGACGCCATCCTTGCTGATGAAATAAGGCAAAAGAGGCGCTAAACTTTTGCCAACAGATGAATCAACATTGACAACTAACTGACAAGTGTCTCGTGTCAACTGTCAACTGTCAACACATTCTAATACCAACCGCAAATTAAAAACACTAGATAGATATTGTTTCTTAAAAATCATTGTTGATTTAAAAATACCTAAATGATCAGTCATTATATTATTTTAAGAAACATTAGTGATACATTTTTTAAAGTATTTATTATTGTACTGGAAATTATTGATAATATAAAATAAATAAATCTTAAATTTTTGTTTGTATATTTGGTTGCCTACTAATTGTTACTAGTTACTAGATATATTTTAATGTTGGTATTACCTGATGACATTTTTGTCAAATCAAAATGAAAATTCTCAAACTCAAATAAACGCTTAAATTTCAGTATAATGTGAGTAAATTTTCCTTTTAACTTATATACATCTGGATATTTTGTTGTTTTAGGTGCTCTAACCATCACATACATCTACATAAAAAATAAAATGGGCTATAAAGCAGCGGTTCAAATTCTTAAGTAAGTTGCTTCATAGGTTAAATAACTTTTTATAAAGTTTAATTAAAATAATAAGAATTTTGGTTTAGATCTAAAAACTGTATATTTTTAGGCAAGCCGAGGATTTAAAACAAAAAGTCTTTAAGAAATGTGATTTACTCAATGACTGCGAAGTATGGACCAACCAGCAAAAACTTCAAAATATTTACCATCAAGTTTTGATTTTGGATTTAGAATACGCTTTGGATAAGAAAGTAGAACAGGACTTGTGGAATATTGGGTTTAAAAACCACATAGGCGACCTACAAGAGAGAGCTAGAGACAAAAAGGTATTTGTTGTTTTAAAAGTATTATAGTAATCAGGGTTTATTTTTTGTACGCTATTTATTTTAGAATTCGAGAAGATCAGACTTTCAGGCTCTCTTAACATGGGCCTTGGAATCAGCATCTGGATTTTATCTAACATTATTACACGAATTGTGTAATGCTTTTGATATAGACTTGCCATTTAGGTAGGAATTGCTAATATTTGTGAAACTAGTGGAATAAAATTTGATTTCTAGACATAGGGGAATAGCATACGGCCAAATACCGAGTTCCACAGACCAAAACAATGTGCCTCAGTTTGCTTCTTGCTCATATATTTGCCAGTATTGTCTGGTACACTTAGGAGACATAGCCAGGTATAGGAATCAGAGGAGACAGGCTGAAAGTTTTTATAAGTAAGTTTTTATTGGAGCTTGGGGGGTTTGAAAAACATAGAAAAATTCAACAAATTTTATGGTATATAATAGTAGTATGTATACAGTGTGATGCCTCTCATACGAAAGGAAGCTCCAAAAAGAATGATAGTTTGTATTGAAATGAAATATGAGAATACTTAAGTTAATTTAGAATAATTTTTAAAAATATATAGTACTAGAAGGTGTCTCCAAAAAAATATACACAGCAAAGTTGTGTTTTTTTTTATAACGAACCGTATATGTTAATTGATTTTTGAATACATATGAAGAATACATTTTAAATTTCTAAAAAAGCTATTTGAATTGTAAGTTATCCTGTATAGACTGATATTTATTTAAATTAACCATTGTATGTTAAACAAAATTAAAATTTGACCCCAAGAACTGATACAGGGTGAGACAAAATTAATATTGAACATTGGTCATTTAAAAGAGAGTTCCTTTTTTATTTTAAATGAAACATCCGGTATATTATTCCAATATTCAATGGAGAATTTATGTATCTTCAAAATATTATTGGTTGCCTACCCCTCAGACCAAGATTTTTGTACATTTTTAATTTAAAAAAAAACCTTACATTTTAGTCATATACTTCTCTTCTTCTTTATTTTTTTTTATAGATCCGAAAATCACTTAATATATAGGGTGTTCCATTATAAAAACGCAACTTTGATGCCAAAACCTTTAATTATTTTTAAAAAAATACCCTAAATTCACTTACACATGCTACCAAAATATCATTTCAATACAAACTGTCGTTCTCCTTAGAGCCTCCCCTTGGTATGAGAGGCGCCACACTGTATATATTTTATTTTATTTTAAGGCAAGCTATATTGGTGTCCCCTATCAGTGGACATCCCTATAACCAACTAGCATTGCTTGAAGCAAGTCAGGGTAATAAACTCTCGGCAGTATTTTACTATATCCGAGGAATATGTCTAAAAAATCCATTCCCAGCCTCCACGACAAACCTAATAAGTGTTCTCACAACTGCCATAGATAAAGACAGCTCTTCAGAAAAAATCCAGACCAAAATGACAGTAAATGAATTCATTCAATTATTCCTATGCGCTCATGGATATTTTCACACAGTGACCGACCTGAAACAAGCCAAACTAGCTGTCAAAAGTCTGAATTCAGTTATGACAGCCCTGGTAGCGACTCAGAGCTTCAAAAAACACGAACTAATCAAAATAACTATTATAAATCTTTATGCTCTGAGTTGCTTGGATAAAAACGAGGATTTTACTAAAGATGAACTGGTGGTTAAAGAGCTGATTGTGGAGCTGATTGCTGGGTCTTTGAGTGCCTTTCTAATGCCTGTGTATACGTTAAAAGATGACGATACGTTGCTGGAGTACCATGCTTTGCCTGCAGGTTTGTGGTTATTTAATAGAGGATCTTGCAACAGCGCCTCGAGCATCTGTAGCTCCTAGAATAAAAAAAATTGGGAATATTGATTTAATGCAAACGTAAAGTATGTACCAGGATGTATTTCAGGAAAATATTTTAAATTATACAGGGTGGTTCAAAAAAGTGTGAGTGGACTGTGCATGATACTGACAATGCATTTTTTGCTTCATTTTTGATAACTTTACATAATCCTAAGATATTATTAAATATGGTTTGATTGATAGTTTCAGAGATATTAAAAAATAAATAAAAATATATATTTTTAGATCTTTTAAAAAAAAATAAAAAACAAAAAAACTGTCTTGAAATCAAACTCTAGTCAGTCTGTACTTACTTTGCTATAAATATCGTAATCTTAAATCAGACAGGGTGTTCAAAATTCTACGCCAAACTTTCTAAAATATAAAAACATTTTTCTTCGTTTTTTTTTTATACGGAACACCCTGTATATTTTTTTTGTTAGATGGAGAATTGAAAAATGAACATTTTTTGTATTTAAAGTATTTCAAGAAATTTAACGGTTGACGCACTGTTGCAAGACCCTGTACTATTCAGTGACAATTCATATTGAACAGTGTTTTTTTATAGTGAAATTCCTTATGTATTTCCTGTCAAATAAGCCGGAATACTTGAAGAGTAAGATGTTCAAAGAATGGATGCAAATATGGCCAAGTTTATGTAAACTAATTAACGCAGCACAAGATTTATTAAAAGGGTTTAATTATAACAAATGTATGTTGAATCAGAGTGTAAAAAAAATCGTTTTAAACCATTTTTTTGTAGATCTTAAATGTTCTCTGCGAGAAGATATAGATTTAGAAGGTTTTTTGCCTCTGAGCGAAAATTTAAACTCTTTGGAAATCAAACAACAAATTGATGATGTTAAAATTGAGAATATGATAAGGATGAGAAGAATAAGTGATTTTGCGTTGTGGCTCAGTGATCAGGATATAGATGGCACAAAGTTAATCACAAGGTAAGTGTTTTATTTAAATACAGGGAGTAGCCAAAAAATCACGAAAAATAGGTTAAATAAAAAAAAAGTTTTGGAGAAAATTTTGAGCACCCTGTAGTATCTAACTCAAATATTTTTACGTGTATCTTTTTCTTCATCTCTCTAAAATTCTTCTACCAAATTTGAACTCTGTAACATTAGAAACAGTAGCGTCAATGTCAATTTTTTACTGTACTGAAACGTAGAATTTTTTTAAACAAATTTATATTCGGACCTGGACAAATGTATATTACACCCTGTATATTCGGAATTAATTTTAAATTGTGTATCTTAACCTTCCCTAAAGCTTTTCTATTTAACATTTTTCTGTAATCCTCAAATCAAACAAAATAATGAACTGTCTACTTTTAACTTATCCTGTATATATATATATATCTATTTAAGGACTGAAAATAAAGGAATTATTACTTTTGAACCTTCCTTATCCCAGCCTGATCCTACCAAAGATCTTTTGGAGGAAATGAAATCGTTTACTATACAGGATGTTATAGAGGAAAATACTAAAACAGGTGAATTTTTTTTCTTGGTTTTTTTTCCAAAATGTTTTTGAAATAATTTGTTTTAGCGCCTGAAAGGAAAGCGGGAATACTGAAGCCTCAAGGTTCTCTAGAAAAAGCACGGGAAGAGAGAGAAGTAAAGAAATCATCCAGTGTGGAAAGTAAGGTTATGATTACAGATGGATTTCAGAAAAATCCGGATTCATCTAAAAATAAACGGTCAAAACAGAATGTAGCTTTGCAAAGCATCATTAAAAGGATTGAGGAAAATAAACAGGTAAGATAATGTCTATACAGGGTATTTTTTAAATATTGAACGAAAAAATCGCTCTACAAGATTTTAAACAATTTTATTTTCAGGAAAAAACATATATATATATCCTAATAACGTCACTTAATTTTCTTCTAGGTGAAATTTAGCGTGGAAGACCCATCGCCAGACAAAGAAAAATCGGTCAAATTCGAGCAACAACAATCCCCCGTACCCTCCAAACTACCCCAACCACCCTCTTTACCTCTTATAACCTCCATACCCCCTCCCCAAGTCCCTCCTCCTCAATTCACGAATCCACCGCCACCTCTACGAACTCAGAGCTTCAACCAGAACCACCCGGCCTTCCCCTTACAAGGCCCACCTCCAAATCAGCCTCCTCCCCAGATAACCTCCACAGACTACCTTACCAACCTGAGGAATCTTGGTAAAGGAGCTGATAACTCTATGATGCCACAGTTCTCCAAAAATCCCCAGTTCTCCAGTTTACCTCCTTCGGGAAGTATTAATAATCAACAGGTAGTTCAAAATGCTGGGAAGGTTCAGAATTATTCCGGTGTTTTTGGGACACCGTATAATACCTCGTGGGGTAGAGAGGAGGTTAAGTATAGTCCTGGAAACAATCAGGGGACTTGGTGGGGTCAGAACCAAACTCCTCCTCAGTCAAATCAAGGATTTTTTCCTCCCCCTGTACACCAGCAGCCTCCAAACTTCCTACAGCAAAGACCTCCAGAAAATCCAGCGTTTGGAGGCATGCCTTTTACCCAATTTAACCAACAATACTCCAGAAACAACACAGCTGCAGCAAATAACCAATTTGACTTTATGGGTGCTTCATGGGCTGGTCAAAGAAATAACAATAATAATTTCGGGGGTGACGACATGAACCCTACTTCGATGTCAATGCGTCAGGCGATGTTGAAGGAAGCCACGTTGCCAGGAGGTAGGGTTATGTCTGAAAATAACCAGCAAATACCGGGGTATTCGTTGTTTAATAACAGTTGGGCTCCGAATTTGCCTGGATCTTTCAGGGGTAACAAAATGGCGGAAGGAGCGGCTTTTAACGGACCTCAACACTCGCTGTTTGGAGGTCACGGTCCCTCGAGCCTGGCACAGCTTCTGGAGCACCAACAGAACCAGATGGGAGCGAATCCTGGAACGAGGAACAACCAGGATTCGTAGCGACGGTTACTATGTTGATAAAGTGACAATTGACAGGCTGACAAGTTCTGACGTTACGTCAAAGAGAGGAGCGTCTATTTGAATATTAATTTTTGATAACTTTTTTTGTCAAATATTAATAAACAACTTATAGAGTGTCGACCCAAGAGAAGTTATCGTCGGTTCTTATTTTAAAGGCTACCCTGACGCCATATTTTGCGTTTAAGTTTTGTTTGCTCATTGGAAAGAGATATAAAAATATTCTGTCTTTGTTTTATGTTGATATAGATCAAACATATCAAACAAAAACATTCATTCAAAAACACCATGATGAAATAAATTGATTATTAACTACATCAGTCACACTAAAAATCTTTCTTAAATTTTTTATATCGACAAGTTTATTTATGTTTGAAACATATTTATTTTTAAGTGTATCGTTGTTAAAACGATTCTAAGTTTTTATTCTAATTTTTGTTGTTAACCAATAATGCTTAAAATATGATTATTGTAATTGTTTTGTTGAGTTTTTTCAATCTTGTACTGATACACATTTTATGATATAAAATACAAATAAACCACCAATACCGAATATCCTACCTGTTTTATAATTTTAAAAAAATTGTGTATGCACTATGTGTGCATACTAACAGCTGTTAAAGTGAAGGATTTAAAGGACGTGTTTGAGAAATTAATAATTAATTTGATTCATTTTTCAAACTGTCTTTTCGAATTTTTCCTTTGGCGCGCTTAATTGATTACAGCGCCATATTTCTTTAGCGGAAATTTTTGAAACTGTTTTCTAAACGATTATAGCGCCACTATGTGGAAAATTTCAAAAGTATATATATACAGGTTTCTGTTTTTAGTATGTATGTGGCGCCATCATTGATTAAGTATTTAAACTAGCTATTTACAGGTTTCTATAAAAAATAACGGTGCTAGTGATATCTATTGTTAAATAGCTAAACTTGTCTAATAATTTTCTTAAAAATTTACAGAAATCTATTATTTTTAGTTCCCTAAAAGTGTTGAATGAGAGACATCTCTGAATTAAATTTTATACTAATTTTTATTCTAACCTTAGAAAAATATTATTTTTTTATATTGTTTGAGAAAAATCTGATTTAAATTAGTTTTTTTTCAGTTTGTTAATAAATCTCATGGTTTAATTAAAATGTACGATCTATATAACATTATTTATAACTAATTTTTAATATTATTTAACTACAATTCGTATTTTTAAGTGAAATCTATGAGGACAGTATACATTTTTTATTCAGTATAGACATAACATTTTTTATTACAGATAACAGATAAGTAAATAATAAAGTGAAGAGAACTTGCTATGAGCAAGAAAGGAGAATACAGTGTACAGGTCAAAGAATAATTTCATAAGAAAACTTCACCGATTGTACCCTGCTCTTCAATGAAAACATGTGCCAAGAAAGAGTAATGCTGGATTCAGAGTTCCGTAGCCGTAAGACGTAAGCCGTATCGTTAGCCGTAAGACTTAAGACGCAGGGAAAGCAATTCATAGTTGCCGTAAGACGTAACGATAACTTCATCGTAAGCGTGCGCATTACCGTTTTTAATAGGTTATGTTGTTGTTTGGGTTGTGAATGTTGTGAACAAAAATATAATACTCCTTATTTATTTTGTTATTATTAATTTAATTGAACTAAAATGGACACGGACAATACTATTTTCGTTGCCGAAGTGAAATATATTATAAAAGTTGTAGAAATGGCTACCGAGTACCACCGAACCTAGCCGACAACACCCGATTCGATAAGACGTAACGTAAGAATTAAAATTGGTTCATTTCTTACGTCTTACGGCATACGGCTTACGGCATACGGAGATCTATGAACGCAATCATATGATTGTGAAGGTCGATATCCCTTACGTCTAAACGATACGGCTTACGTCTTACGGCTACGGAACTCTGAATCCAGCATAAACCTGGAGCAACAATAGTGGAATCAACAAAACAGCGAGATGGTTTCTGCTTTTAAATCATTCCTGCAAATACCTCTTCCAAAAAGTATACTCTTGAACATTGAAATCCATTCTATGCTGTACCTTCCAAACTTGCTTTTTTCTTTGATATAAAGATGATTTGAAATTACTCTTTTGGAAATGCAGTATTGTTATAATAAGATATGATTGCAGAGTTTAAGGTAAACTAGGTTTTTTGCATTGTTTGAGTGTGTGTTTTTTTTATTTGCTCTGTTTTTCTTTACAGTGAATAATGAAAAGCCACAAATGAAGCAGAATAATGCAAGAGTTTTGAAGAAGGAACATTATAAAATACTTCCTAGTTAAAAGCTTCGCTTATTTGCGACGTTACAGCTTTAAGAAGGCAAATGTAAGAAAATTTAATCTAAAAATGGTCATACTTCAAAAAACACTCAGTAGGTATAGTTTATGGTATTTATATAATAATAAATTCATGGCAAATCCCACTTGATGAAAAAAATACAGCATTTCATTTAAAAACTATGACATAGCGTAAAAATATCTTTCAATCGCCTGAAAAAATATATTAATAAATATTGTAAAAAAGATTTGAGTGCAAATCTCAAAGAGGAACCTGATAAGGATGTTTCAGAACACTGGGTCACCCTGTATTTTTTTTTTCAGAATTATCTGGAGATACTGAGATATCTCTAGAGAGTTACAGTTTAAAAAACGCGTCGAAAGGCATGAGGTCGGTATTAAAAGGCCGATAAAAATGTTTTTTAGAGGCACAATAAGCTTTTTTTACAAACAAATCAGAAAATAGAGGACATATTTGGAAAATGGTTAGGCAACTAATAAATAAAAAAACAGATGCTAAAATATTTTTTAAAATGCATTGACAAAGAAATAAAATAATATCGTTTTATCTTGAAATTAATGCATATTTTTCCACAATCCATGTTTATTTTCCAGTTAAGAAAATTTCTATCATATGTATATTTATTTTTTTTGTTTAAAGTTGTACGCAACCAGTAATACTCAAATAGTGAAAAAAATTGGTAGAGTTTAAACACGGTTTAAAGTTGTTTTTTATTCCTAAAAGTACAGTTTTCAGATGTTTATTCGTACAGGCAAACAATAAGTAGTATTTTCTACGTCTTTTAGAGTAAGTCTTTCTTAAAAGAGTAAGTCTAAATTAAAGGGCCTCCTCCCATTCTCAACAATTATACAATACTCTCAAGAATAAAAAAGCGTTTTTACATTTTTAATATACACTGTCGTAATGCTTTATTTATAATTTTCTTTTTTAGGAATGCTATTATTAATACATAGTACGTAAAGACCGCCTAAAAGGAGAGGCCTGGGTCACCCCTTGTATAAGATGTTTGGCCATTATTCTGATTTACAAGATTGGTTTCCTCCTATTAATTATTATTCCGATTATTAATATCCTATTCCTCCGATTATTAATATCCTATTAAAGGTAGTTAAGTTTCTCTATTAAATGTTTATTACCAGACTAGCAAAAAATGTAATAATATTAATTTATTTTTTACAGATTTGAATTTGAAGAATTGATAGATGAATATAGGGATCCAAGGCAGTAAAATTTGAATATAAGCAACAATGCATCTGGACATATTAAGTATTTTTTTATATCTAAAATTTTATTTCTTTTTGGGTATATATATTTTTACTAGTTTTTAATGTTCATCAGTGTCTTTTATTTATTCTAAATCTCTGTTTTTTTAAACTTACAGCTATTGAAAAAAAAATGTGTTTGATTTTTGTGCATTGTATTTTTAGAACTAATGTTATCTACTTTCTTTTAGTGATAACGCAGCTACCTATGGTTAAGTGTTAGAAGTTTATATTTCAATTTACATAGTCACAGTTTAAGAAATAGAATTATATATTTATTATAACATATTATAATAAACGGAAGGAGAAATGAGGTAATATTGTATTTCACTGTTTTGAATTTTATTTTACTGATTCTGATATTTATTTTTTAGACTTGACTTATTAACCATATATCACAAAAAGTGTTAACAGCTTCTACAATATTATGTAAATTGGGTATTTCATGCTATTGTGCATGTATACAGTGAAGAAATAAGAAGAAAATCTTTCATTTGCATCTTAACAAAGCGTCCTGTCTTTTCAAATTTTTCCTTTGGCGCGCTTAATTGATTACAGCGCCATACTTGTTTAGTGAAAATATTTTCTAATCGATTGCGACGCCACCGTACGGAAAGTTTTAAAAGTAAGCAAATACAGGTTTCTATAAAAAAACCTTCGTCGCTGACATCTATCGTCAAGTAGCTAAACTTTTCAAATAATTTTCTTAGAAATTTAAAGAAATCTATTATTTTTAATTCCGAAAAAGTTTTGAATTAGAGACATCTCTGAATTAAATTTTGTACTACTTTTGATTCTAACCTTAGAAAAAGATTATTTTTTTTGTAATTTTTGAAAAAAATATATAAATCAACTTCTTTTTAGTCTGCTGACGAATCTAATAGTTAAAATTAAAATGTACGATCTATATAATATTTTTTATAACTAATTTTTAAGATTATTTATCTACAATTCGTATTTTTAAGTGAAATCTCTGAAGGCAGTATACAGATGTAACATTTTTTTTACAGATCTAATAATACAGCGAAGAGAGCTTGCTATGAGCAAGAAAGAAGAATACATCAAGTAAAATGGAGAGAAATAAGATTTTCTTTTGAGAAAATATCTTCAGGTCAAAGAATAATTTCATAAGAACACCTCACCGATTGTACCCTGCTCTTCAATGAAAGTGTGTGCCAAATAAAGAGTAAACCTGAAGCAACAATATTGGAATCAACAAAACAGCGAGATGGTTTCAGCTTTCAAATCATTCCTGCAAATACCTCTTTCAAAAATTATATTCTCGAACATTGAAATCCATTCTATGATGTACCTCCCAAACCTGCTTTTTTCTTTGATATAAAGATGATTTGAAATTACTATTTTCTAAATGCAGTATTGTTATGAAGATATTATTGCAGTATATAATATAAGGTAAACTAGTTCCTTTTGCATTGTTTCAGTGTGTTTTTTATTTGGAACCATAAATGGAGGTTCCATAGTGAAAAGACATAAATGAAACTAATCTGTATGGAAAATTAACGTTTTTTGTGTCCGTAATATCGACTGAAACTAAATACACATATATCTTTATGGCCCTTTTTGTTTAAATATTTTTTTTATGAAAATCTTAGTATAATATATTTATAAAATAGTTTTTATTAGAAAAAATTAACATTACATCGCAGTTTCGTATAGACAATTCCATCACAAGAATATTTTAATGAAAAAAAAAATAAAAATGCAATACGGCATTTTATTGAGCATCAAATTGCGCAACTTTGCCTCCATTTAACCGATCCTGTATCTCTTACGGTTTCCGAAATCCCAATAATGAGCGTCGAATTCGCGCCACCCTGTACATCTAAATACTATCAAAGTGAAAAAGTAGGTAACTTTTTATTGGAAATACTTTATATTGTCCTGTTCAGAAGTAAATAAAATACACTGTATTGCACAAAAACTATGTCTTTATTGTAAAAATAAGTTTGAATCGCTCTGTATGTCTGTGTAAATCAGATATTAATCATTAAAAATGTACTCTATATACTGTTGCTCTTATATATTGTAAATAAGATTTCAGTGCAATTCTTAAAGAGGAACCTGATAAGGAGCTTTTTCAGAACTCTGGTTCACCCTGTATAAATATTTTTTTTTTTCAGAAATATCTGCAAGTACTGGAAATATGGACATACGGTATACATCAGAAAGAAAACGGTATAGACGAATCTATAATCGAAGGACTTTCATTCTAGTTGGCTGTTTATATGTCTAAAAATAAATCTATAATTATTATATTAATGTTAATTGTATTTATAAACTATTATTTTTCTAATAAATCTTACTAAAGTTTTAAAATAGTTTCTCATTTGAATCCATTAAATAGTCTTTTAATTTAAGGCAACACAATTTTAATATTGGCATATTACTGGTTGCCAAAACAAAAAAAGTGAAAATATTTAAATATAAATTCAATAAATATTATTAATCAAGTTACCTTTAATATCAGTATATTAATTTAATAAACAACGATACGTTATTCTTTAAAGATTTGATTTCTTTTTACAATCAAAAGATTTGACACTCAAAACAGCCATATCTAGCACCAAAAATGTGCATTTTTAAAAATATTTTTCTCAAGTGAATTAAATCGGAAATCGTTGGCCAACGAGCTCGAACAGTTAGACTCATTTACAAAAACGTTAATTACTCAGAAACTAATTAAGATATCGAAGTGCCCTTGGCGGCAATCGATAGGGAATTCAACCCTCTATCTGTACACAAAATTACAACCCCCTACGAGAAACTTTATTTTTTGGAGCAAAAATGAGCAAAGGGGTTAACCTTAGAAAATTTTTGGCCCAAAAAATAAAGGGTGTCCGAGGGGGTTGTAATTTTGTGTGCAGATAGAGGGTTGAATTCCCTATCGAATGGCAGCAAGCGCGCCCCGATAGCTCTTTTAGTTACGGAGTTATTAGCGTTTTAATTTCGAAAACGAGGTCAAAGTGTTAGAGTCAACAAAATTCAGCGTTTCTCTGTAGTGTTAAAAATTTGTTCGAGGTGTTAAAAAATTTCGACGGGGCAACCAAATCTGGTACATTTTTGTCATTAAAAATTTAATTTTGAACAGAAAGAGACGACATTTTTCTGAATCATATTTCTTAACGTGTAGGTATTTTATATTGCGATTATATTTTTGGTTTGCCAATATATATTTTGTGTTGCTATTTTATTTTTCTTGGTATGTTTAGTAAGAGCCCAAAGAGTTTTTCTTTTAATTATTATAGTAAAGGAATTATGCAATAAATCAAACACAAGTGTAATGTATTAAAATATTTATTAAAAAATATTTGAATAGGGCGATAATGTCCAACGTTTACATAAAATAAAAATGTTTGCCATCAAGTGGCAGGGTAAATAATTGCTCTATAAATTGGGTCTAATAATAACTTCTAATGTTTTTATTTATATTCTCTATTCTAATTATACACAATAAGTTATAAACTATGGATCTTATTAATAAAAAAATGTATATTTATATCACTTATAACGCTATATGAATTTCTTTACACTAGTATAATATACTGCCGTGTTAAGGATAAATACTTTAACTAAAATTGAGATACAAGTGTGTTATTAATTGTTCAACACACCAGCTCAAGGTTTTTTCGTTAACACGGTAGTGCCATACGATCGAATAAAAACGGCGTCAGCGATGGCTATGAAATGAAGACCGCTGTCATTTTATATGTAAAATTATATGGAGAATGTCATCGATCCTCATTTCCAAGCCAACTGGGCGCAGTTTTTTTTCCGATCATATATACCGTATATGTTTACATATTTTATTTTCTTATCTAATTATATAAACTAGACTAAAACATATTCTTACACTAAATATTTTTCCTAACTATAAATATTATTTTGAACTTATTAACTAATAAATATCTACAGTAAAATATTTTTTTTTTGTTATCACTTATCACATTTTTTAACGTATTACATTTTAACAAAGGTAAAAGTATATTAAAATCCGAGTTGTTGGCGGACATACTGATGTCTATGTGGAAGTTAATAAATCTTCTGCTACACTTCTGGAAAGCCTTGGTTCTGTAATAAAAATATAAATAAATAATTAACATAAATATTTAGTATACAATTAAAAGGGGTTAAACCAGAGAAAAATATAAAATAAACACTTCAAATTAGTATATATTTAGTTATAGGTCATCGATGGCCTAACATCAGGGTTAGATGGTGACCCGGTCCTTTCTTGAGATATTGCACAGGAAAATTCATGGGAAAATTCTAGGAAAGCCAGAAATTATATCATGTGGACGAATTAATTTTTTGAATAAATGGCGAATGCGCCAGGAATCTTTGGAAGATTAGTGCTTTTCATGAAATTTTTAGGTATTCATTGGCGTAACTACAGGGGTGACCGGGTGTGCCGCCCCCCCCCCCAGGTTCTGTTGAGCACCCCCCACAGAAATCCTGAATTATGACTCTTGGCTACGTATTAATTTTTATTTGCTTGTGATGCAGTAAAATGACGTTTTCTAGTTTTTTTTTAGTTAATATTATTTTGTTGTGTTCAAAAAATGTGTTAATTTTTATTTTTTGAGAAAAATTTTAGGTATTTAAGTAATCTACGGGAACACGGTTTAATAACCAAGTCTATGAAATTTATTGATAGAGAAATTCATGTAAACGTTTTATTCAAAAAATGTGTTTTTTAAAATTACTTTTCATTTTTAAAAAAAACAAAAGTCCTAGCCCCCCTGGGTACAACCTAGTTACGCTAATGTAGGTATTGGACCGTATCCATCAAAATTAAAGTTCTGTGAAAGAAATTACACAAGTAAAAAAATTTTTCAACGACACTATAAGAAAAATAATACAAATAAAAGAATACTTATAGAAATACAGTCAATGGAACTTTTTTATAATCAATAAATGATATTATTCCCACAATAAAGAAAATATAGGATTCAATGTATTATAGAAAAATGGTAGTTAACCATAAACATAATGAAGCAAAATTATAAGTAGATGGTATATTTTACCACGTATAATACCATTAATATTTAAAAATCAACATCTTTTAGTTTAATTTACCTAAAATTATTTATCTTCCTCTTCAATGATAAACTTCATTCTCAATCCACTGTTGAATGTTAAATTTAATCATTCTAATGACATCTAGAAGAGGGTGGTTGAATTGAAGTGCCAGCTGTCCTTGTCCAAAAATCCTTGTTCCAAAGCAGTACAAGATCCCAATCAAACATTCAGTTTTAAAAGGAAAAGGAAAAAACGGAGATAAAAGAAAATCAATTAGAAAATCAATCCTAAACTACAAATTCTATGTAGGTTTCAATAGAAATTAAATCAAAGACTTGCAGGTCTTAGATGGAATAGCAGTAAAATAAACAATAACACAAATAAAAGAAGAGATTTTCAAATATATTCAATATAGATGAGATACAATAAATTACATTTAATTAAGTTTTACTCTGTATGGGGTATGATGAATTCTCTATAGAGATAATAGAAATAAAATGCCTTGGACAAGTAATGACATAGAATGGCACAATACAAAAATAAATGATACAAGTAAATGATGACTGATAACTCAGATATACATAAATTAATAGATTTCAAGGAATGGAGAAAATATGAGACACAAAGAAACAGTGGTACGTAGAATTGGAAAAAATGGTATGAAAATGTGTGATGAACTTATAAAAGTCTCAGAAGAATGACAAAAAAGATTATACAATTATATAAATATGATTTAGAAGAACAAACAATGGAAGAGTTTATAGCATTGATGAACGATGACATTTCCATAAGTAAAAAAATATGGAAAAAAATGGCATGAAAATGGGGTATAAATTGGTAAAAAATGGGAATGAAAATGAATAAAATGCTATAACTCTATACATAGAAATGATAAAATATATCATAGAAAAGTGTCAGAGGAATGATAAAAAAAATACAAATATATAAGACAATTATTAAAAGGGTTTATAGAATTGATGAATGATGATATTCCAATAAAAAAAAATATGGGATACAAAAATAGTGAAATAGAGGTAATGTGAGCAATAAGAAATGGAAAATTCATTTGACATCAAACACAAAAAGAAAAATCATCCAGAGCATCTAAGTTCGCCTCCCTTCATCAGATTTAACCCTTGTCCGACGATTACGTCAGTTCCCATCCCAGCTAAGCAGCCTCGTCTCGGGTCACCCTCGTCACCCATCGAGCGGACATCCACCGGGACCCCCTACAGGCGGACCCCGCTCGTCATCTTCAACGTGTCTGATATCCCGCCCCCTCTACTGTCGAAACGTCACGGGATACGTGCACGAAGAAGTCTCGTAGCTTGGGTGCCAGGTCGTATCCGGCCGAAGCCTCTAGCGTTAGAACACCTAGCTCGTAAACCAGAGGGTGGTGACTCCCTTGGGTACCTATGCATGCTACATAGGTCATCGATGGCCGAACATCAGGGTTAGGGGGTGACCCGGGTCTCCTCCTCTTAGAGGAGGCTAGCTATGATGCTCTGGAGTCGATATTACTCAGGAAAATTCATTGAAAAAAATTCTAGAAAAGCCAGAAATGATATGTGGATGAATCGGTTTTTTGAATAAATGGCGAATGCGCCAGAAATAGTGTGTTTTAATTCTATTTAAACACAAGCAAACCAAACCACCAAAATCCGTAAAATTACAACAAAGGATAAATGTACTGCCCTGGAACTGTATACATCCATCGATTTGTTGAGGAAAATCTGTAAAAAAGAAATAAATAGTATTACGCTTCAATAATTATACTATAATAATTGTTTTTATCAAGATTAAGTATATCTTAAAAAATATGGTTGGTTAGTTAATAAACATTTAATAGATTTATTAAAATTATTATGAAATAATAAATAAAACTCACTTTTAATCAGATAATGGAAGACCTACTTGTAAACCAAAATCATGGCCAAACATCAGGATTATACATGAGGTCCCTTCTTTTGCACCCAGGTCCCTTCTTTTAGATGGCCTCTATGTGTTTTTGTATATATTATTAATACTCCTAAAAAAAAACAAAATTATTAAGGCCTTATATTAAAACAATGCAAAATTGTTAACTTAAATACGACGACAGTGTCTAGTATTAAATATTATGTGTGTAAAAGTATTTTGTTTATCTAAAAGTATTATAATTAATGAGAATAGGGGCCCTTTTTAGGTATACTTAACACTGACTTATCCTAAAGACGCAGAAAATACTTGTTTGCCTATACAAATAAACACCTAACAAGTTATCTTTAGGAATAAAAACATCTTTAAACTCGACCAAAAAAAATGATTCAAAAAATACCAAATATCTCTAAATATAGAGCAATATTCTAAGTAACTACGGTTTTAATGTACAATAGAGACATCGAGGAAAGTATATATGATTTTATATACTCGATTTTGAAAAAGAAATATATGAAAATAAGAAAAATGTGTCAGCTTCTAATGATATAATTGAAATACTTGAAAGTAGAAAAAAAACTATAGAAAACAGACAAGATAATGGGTACTTACATTTTCAAAAAATTAAACAGGCCTTAGGGAACAGAATAAACTCAAATAGTGCTCAGAAAAATAAATTTTTCTATCAAAAACTCAGAAAAATTGTAACAGCCACATACAAAGACATAACTGCTTGCTGTCAGTTGCTGTTAAATGGAAAATGTCTCACTGTCAACGTTGTCAGATTGAACACATGTAAAACAGAATGGTCTTTTTTTGCTGCATAAATAATGATGCGTCTAAAACAAAAAAGATATTATTTATTCTACTGAAAGAAAGTTTGTATTTTATATTTATTACATGATTTTGTAACGGTTCAATTCATTTTACTCTTGCTCTAAAAATATTGCTAATTAGTTTCAGGATTTCGCCAATATCTTGGCAACCTTGGAAATATTTTAGTTCAAAATTTTCTCACTTTTTCTACAATGGCGCCACCGGCATTCTTCTTCTCTTTTGTATTTCAGGTCTTAAAAGAACATAACCACAGAATAAGAATAATGTTCTTCTTCTTTTTTATATTTACGGCTCGAAACATGGACAACCACAGATTAGATATAGATTTTTCTCTTCTTTCCATTTAGATGGCTTGAACTTATGTAGGTCATCCGGCCAGTGTCCAATAAAAAATAATCTGTGGATGAGAGTCAAAATTATAATCTATGGTTAACTATTAGACAAAGACGACATTAAAAATAAACAAGGACAAGTAGAAAGTAGAACAAAAATACAGATACTCAAAATAAAAACAAAAATTAAAATCAGATGTAAAAATAAAAGTATGCTTTTATTTTACTTTTAAAAATATCCTTTAAAAAGCAGAGGTGGGTAACTATTTCAAATTAAATTATTTAAAATAGCTATACAGAAATGGAGGATTATTAACAGCTTCTTGCTGGATGTTTTTTAATAGATAAAATGATATAATTAGAGATAAAAATTTCTTCAAAGCTTCTTCAAAGTATGTGAACATCTTTAAAGTAGTTCATTTCTTCAACTCTATGATTTCTTCTGTCTTATTTCAAATTATAACCAGAGTACGTAGCTGTTTATAAGCTGTATTTTTTGTAGTTTGTAGGGACCAACATATAATTAATTTTATAAGGCAAAAATGAGTTAAAATCCTCTATAGTTTCCAATTATTTACGAAAAACTATGAGTGATATAGTTGCAGGAATAGAACATCTGTAAGTAGTGATTAAGAGATAATTGTCTGTCATTTTAGTATAGGATACATATATTCCTATTTATATATGTATATATATAAATTACATTAACATTATATGTTGTAAATGTTATAATGTTAAATAGATACATAGTTTTATTTTGGCACAGCTCAGGAGCAGAAGCGAAGAAATCTCTGGTTTTCAAATGCTCCGAGTGTGACTACACAGCCTCCAGAAAGTTTAGAATTGAACAGCACCAAATTGTTCACATACCTCTAGACAAAAGACCTAGGTACTACTGTAACCATTGCCCTTCCAAGTTTATTTCAGAGTACAGCTTCTACAAGCATGTTAAAAGTAAACATAACAGGTATGATTACCTTCTGTACCTAAAGCATGTCAGATATATACTTTTTTTGGTATAGCTCAGAAACAAGGGTGGAAAAACCGGTTTTCCAATGCTGCAGGTGTAGCTACAAGACCCACAGAAGGTATCTCTTGGAACACCACAAAAAATTTCACTTGCCAGAAGAAAGAACTTGGTTCCAATGTAAGCACTGCGGTGCCAGGTATACAACAATGTCAGGCCTCCACAACCACTTTCAAATTAAGCATAGCAGGTACGATTACTTTTTATAGAGCATGTCAAAAATTTTGCAATAAATAGCTAAGAAATTTATGTGATTTATTATATAATTTATGCCTGGTTTATATTTCTGATTTAAACCAACACACCCTCTACACTATATGAAAGTGCCTTTTAAATAATTGCAAATATTTTAAACAGACATATTTTAATAGTTAATTAATATAAACTAAAGTTAATTATTATATACTAGTAATAACAATTGTAACTAATTACTAAATTATAAATCATACCAAATTAACTTTTAGTCACGTGATTAAGCTTGACTGTTAACTCAAAATTATTATTTTTAGTGAAACATTGACTGGTTTTGATTGTAAGGAAGACATTACTATAGAAGAAAAGATAAATATAGCTGAAATAAATGAATCATTAGAAGAGAATTCTAGGTATTTTTTAACATTTTTGTTAGTCCAAATATCCCATGTATTTCTGGAAAAATAACTCAAAATTATTATTTTTCTTTAATTTGAAGTGAATTGTGGACTGGTCTGGATTCTAAGGAACAAATTACCATAGAAGAAGAAGAAAAAACAAATATAGATGAAATAAGAGAGTCAGTTGAATACAATCATTCTAGGTATTTTTTAACATTTTTGTTAGTCCAAATATCCCATGTATTTCTGAAAAAATAACTCAAAATTATTGTCTTTCTTTAAATCAAAGTGAACTGTGGACTGGCCTGGATTGTAAGAAAGAAATTACCATAGAAAAAGAAGAAAAACCAAATATAGATGAAATAACAGAGCCAGTTGAAGATAATTCTAGGTATTTTTTAATAATTTTATTGTCCAAATAGCACATCCACTTCTTTTATTTAAATTTTATATATTTTTTAATACTACACAACATATTATACAGGGTGTGTCTTAAATAAGTGCAAATATTTCGACCCCAGAAACACGTTTATGTTGTGATGAAATAAAATTGGAAGAAAGTATAAAGATAGAATATAATAATGATGGAAGCAATCTTTTTAGGTGAAGACAAGCACCATGCTTCGAAGTTTTTGTTTTGAGATATTGGAAATGTCAGAATTGAAGAATTTCCAGAACTAGTGAAAATTGAAACTTGAAATTAGTTTTTGAAGAACTGTGTTATTTTTCTTTATTGTAATTGTAGATATTTTTTTATATTATGTACAAAGTTCAATACATTTTTACATATATATCAGTTTATTTTTTTCCTCAATAGATGTACAGGGTGAGTGTTAAATAAGATGTTTAGAAAAAACATGTATATGGAGAAAACGCCCTGTATTTATAACTATACAAATAGCACAAGCATCAAATACGTTTAAAATAAAAAAAAAACGTATTTGACAAGCATATAGCACTTCTCTGCTGTCAAGAAATAGAAAAAAATCTAAGAAAAAAATACTTTTTGTCGTCTTTCCTTTTGATATTACTGGTTGCATATCTTTAATGCACATAAAATATAAAAAATGCCTCAAAATAACGACGTTTTTATAATTACCGATAGGAATAATAATATTTTATTACTAATATATCAAATGTATCAATGTATTTGTTTTAATATATGGACATGACGATCAGTTAGTTGTTTGCCATGCCTAGTTATACAATCATTTACATATTGCCCTTAAGTTTCCTCTACCTGAATATATAACAAGAACATGATATATCAGCATATCAAAGAGCGGTAACAATGCTTATCTACCTATACACGGAAATTTATTGTTAACATCCATGTAAAATCATAGAATGAGTAAAACATTTCATCTACTAGGCCTAGACTATTAGTATTTTGTGTGAAACATTTTTATTTTTTTTACCATATTATGTATCATCCCTATCATTATCACCCCTTCATCCATATCTAAACAAGTAGTTCCCCACATTTTTTGGGAACCACTTGATGATTATAGTACAATACCACCCAGTCCATTTCATAAAATATGCGCTCAGCATTTAACGTTTTATGTAAAACTGTCTAGGTATTTTTAGACAAATGAAAAAGGAAATTAAAGATAAAGGATTATACTATATCCGTATTGTAGCACATTTTAGACAACTTCTTTATTTCTAAGAATTTGATGGTCAAACATCAACAAAATATTCCTTATGTTTGGACTAAATTTTCTCGAAAATAAAGACATAATTTAAAATTCCGTTACAATAGGAAATAGATTGAAGTTCTCGCTATTTTATGGCAAATGCTGAAGCTCTGCAAACCTTAATCAAGCCTTAATCACAGCACGTGTGTTTGGAATTTTGAGTGTGGCTGAACACGACAGGGTCGGGCTAAGTTTTAGGCAGATTTCTGATATAAAATATATATTTCCTTCATTCGGGGCCACACACCCGCTTTATCCGACCCCTGAGAGCGACCCGAACAGTACCTACAGCCTAATAGACTCTTAAATATTAGCCCCTGTCACACTTTTTACGCCTACAGGTCTGGTCTATAGATTTATGCCACACTACTAGTAATGAAGTCACTTTGAAGAAACATAGCTTAGTGTTTAAGGCGGTGTTGATTGTTAATTGTTATACCGCCAGAAAAATACTATAAATAGACAAACAGGAAGGTAAACTATTTCTAATGTCACTTGGACTTATACTGGACTTTGTATTAGGCAGGATTAGGCTTAGTTTCACACTTTCTATGCCCACGACAGGCCTGTCCGTATCAGCTTTCTTCTCAATGGACTTTCAACCATTTTCGTTGAGTTTATTATTTGTGTGTGATTGTGTACTTAACTAGGAATGAATAAAGGTTATGTCAGAACAAAATGATCGTCGTTTTCAGTGATAAACAGACCTCCAAAGTGGTATCGTGATATCAGTGAGATATAAATACGTCCTTTTTCTATAACAGACCGATTTTAAAATTGTTTCGTGCATTTTTAAAGTGAAAATAATCAAAAAAATAGGATTTTTGCTATTAAAAACACCACTGCACGGTCATGGAGAACAACCCTAAGATCGAGCTACGTTTACTGTGAATTAGCCTTAACTAAAAGTTTCTAAAAAGGTAAAAAGTGATTATTTTACTAATTACAGTGAGTAAAACTCATAAAAAAACAAATTTCAGATTAGTTTAATGGTTTTGAATGTTTACATTAGGTTTTACTGCACGACCAATGAATTTTTGAGGATTTTTTTGAATTAGAAATATTTTCCAGTTCCTAGAAAAGTTTTAAATGCATTTCATACCAGTGGCGTGGTAATCAGAAGATTTTAACCCCCTATATTGATAGGAAAACAAACAAAAATCGTGTGTCTGTTGAGTTTTTAGTACCCAATTTTATTTTGAAATAGATTTGTGTGTCTGCAAACGTTCTATCTTTTTTTAATCTTTCTATGATTAGTGTTATTTTTGAAGTTTTGTGTCAACTTTTCGTAAATGATGTGTAGAGGTTGACCTAGCCAAAATTGTCGTTGATTGTCATTCCCCAGCATTTGACGCGTTTTTTTTTATCAGACCATATTTTAAACCATTGCCGTGCTTGTTAGACAATATAAAGGGCTTATGAATGTATTTATATGGGCTGATGAATAATATTTAAATATTTTACTACTCGAAAATCTTCATAATATTTATTTTTCCACTTATTTATTGCAGTTTACCTAATTTCTAGTTCACCTTGATGACTATATTTTGATGTTTACGCTACTTATACGACAATATCACGTTTTAGATGGCACCACTTTAAATTTTAATGAAATTATTACTTGGTAGGAAAGTTTTTGATGTTTTTTAGTCAGTAGCGTGCGTGTATTAAAAAATTTGAAGGATCTAACTTAAGAGAAAAGTATAAAAACATTCTTTAAACCTAATATGGGATATTTTTAGTTTATCTATTATGGAGTTATGATATTATTATTAAAGAGTAATAATAAATTTCTTGATGACCTTAAATGGGATAACGAGAATGTAATTGGTTGATGATTATTGTGAGAAAGTTTAAATAAAATTCGTAGAATATCTATGTATAATCTACCTACCTATGTCATTTATTTAACTTTAAATTAAAGGCATTTCTATATATACACTTAATTTGTTTATCTAATATCTAGGTAATTTAATATCTAATATAAAAATTATGTGAGATTAGAATCTTGAAAAACCCATCTGAAAATCTTTAAAATATTAATGATTGATTTATTAATATCTAAATATTTAGTTTCAAAAAAATTAATACTTACATAATCAATTCAAAATGCTATAGTGATTTTTTTGTAATTTTATTTTAAATTTACTAAAAATCTAAATAAATTTATAGCAAAAATTCCAGTTATTTTACAAAAATTATGTCTTGCCTCCAAATATCTGAAGATCAAGGGTCAGTTTGATATATATTTTTTTCTATTGTCATTGAACTTAAAATACTTTTTGATTAATAATCCTTTTGTTATAACATATACAAAGGTTTAGTCATATAAGTACATTTAAAGAATGACTAATATAGGTATAAACTGTGTATACATTGTGACATAGTGTTCCTGTGTGTAAAATATACAGGGTGTTTCAAAAAACAGGTGCCATCTATCGTAGGGAGATTCCTGACTTAAAAATAAGATTGTTTTTTGAAACACCCTCTATTTTAAAGGGAAAATCTGATATTGCTTTTTGCCTATCAGTGTTTCACTCTTAGATTATATGTCATTTAAGATTTCACCCTGTGTTTATATGTTCTTTTTTTTCTAGTTTTATCAAAAATACCGAAAGATATGGCTTTAACTACAGTTATTCTAACAAAATACTGCGTTTTGGTGGTACTGGTTGCTATATCGCAAGCCCAAAATTTGGAAGCTGAAAAATTAGAGGCAGAGCTACAATTGGATGACCTGGAGTTAGCTGATGCCTGTGAAAACCTAGCCAGCGCTAATAAAATCGCTTATTTGGACAAAAATTATCAGGAAAAGGTATATTGAATTAATGGAATAATCATTAACATGAATGATATAATTTATATATAGTCTGTCTGTTTTAACTGGTAGACATTGAGGAATCTACAACACCTATTAAAATAAATATACTTATTTAAGGGACAGTCTGTATATTTCTGGTATCTTATGATTTATATTGTTGGATATTCATAATATACAAATAAAAACCAAAAAATATGTTTTTTTCTATTAAGATTGATGCAGAGAAGTCTTATGGATTCATGCTAAAAACTCATGCAGATATACTGAAAGACTTTAGTGACATACCTTCCGAATTGGATAAAAATTGGACAAGCCAAGTTAAACCTGGCGATGGGTTGCTTCCAGAAGAAAAATGGACCAAGGTACGTACAAAATAAAGAATAATTTTTATAGTTATTTATTATACCGAATGATCGAAAAAAAAACGGCGTCAAAGACGTGGAGAATGACAATCGTTGATAATTTTGGCGTGGTCAATCTCTATTATTATGTTAAGCTGGTGGAAGCTCACTTGTTTTGCTGTACACTCACTATTTCTTTTTCAGCTAGTCACTTATGTCAACCAAATAGAAGAACTGTCCAACCAGGTAAAGTTGCCATGTCTCGACGGGTTGCCGGATTGTTTCATCTCGAAAAACGATTATCAGAACATCTTGGCAACATCGCGAAACTCCACCCAACTCAGACAAGTGTGGAGCTCGTGGCAAGGCACTTACAATGAATCGTCCGTCGAGAATTTTCCTGGACATTTAGGATTATTGAAAGATGCGGCAACACTGAATGGTAAATTTGCGTTTTGTTACCAGAGAAATACGTAAACTTAGAGGAGTTCTAAATTGTCTTAATGTTTTTGTTTGTAGGAATTGAGGAAGTGAGAGAATATTGGGAGTTTTTGAGTGATTTCCAAGGGGGTTATGCCCAAGCTGATGAGTTTTGGGAGCAAATTCAGCCTCTGTATAAGAAATTACAGGGTTTTGTCAAGAAGAGACTATTTAGGTTTTATAATGTTACAGAGGATATGGATGAAATTCCTGTTTATTTACTGGGTAAGTCAGTTAGAAGATTTTTAGGATGTTATTTAGAAAAAATAATCTGATTTTTTATGTTGAGCATGTTTCGAGGTGTTCTTCCTTTCTAAAATACTTTCTACTTCATGACACTTCCTGCTTAAAGCGGAAGTGGCTACTATGTTGCTTATTTTATATAGTAGAAACTACTTATTTCATTTTTATTTAATTCTACAAAAAACTATGTTTTTTTCTAAACAAAACTGATTTTGAGTTAATTGTTCTATACTCATATTTAATTGTTTGTTTGCCTTTTTGAATTATAACTCAAGAACAGTTAACCTAATAGGACTGCTCATTCAGCCAAAAGTGTCCGCCAGGTGCATGCGAAAACTACTCGCTTTGTGACGTCATTGTAGCCCTTGTCATGGTTATTAATCCTTATCCGGCAACCAATAATACACACACGTGCATTATTGGTTACCGAATGCAAAACGTTCATTATTTAGTTTATTTATTTAAACACCTTATATGTATGCAGTATAGAAAATTAACTGTATAAATCGTATTAAATACTCGGATAATGCATTTTTAAGAACAGCAGTTCCCAGCATTACCTTTTGCAAGCATTCTTTTTAGAGTACTTCCATATTTTGCTTTAAAATAATTAATAAACAAAATCGTGGGCACTTAGTATGCACTTTGTCACAATCCACAACACAAAATGAACGTATTTATACACTCTATAGCTCTAAAAACTTTAAAGACACCTTTTTCACATTTAAAATTGACAAAATAATTAACTCAAAATTTCTCAGCTGTTATTTTTATAAGTTTACCATAGGCAACTAATAATACACACTATTATGACAAGGCCACGAAGGCTTTGACAAGGGCTACAATGACGTCACAACTGTCAGCTGAAGCGCGGGAAGAGGCGAACGTACGTCTTATGAGGATGAGCAATCCTATTAGTTTACCGTTCTTGGAGGCAACCTGTTTAATATAATGACCTTGGATCAGTTTTCTACTAGATATGCAACCAACAATACACTAAAGCAAACTAAATCCTAACGAGATCTACTTGGAAGTGGACATTATAAATAACAATATAGTCCTTATGAAGACTACATAAGGCCTATATTGTAATGTCAGATTCTGAGTAGATTTTCTTAGGATTCAGAGTATTTTTGGTTGCATATTCATAAAAAAACATCAAATAATCGATTCTTTTGCCTTATTCTTGAGTTTAATAAAGTTTTTATTTACCTCAAAGCATATTAAAACGTATTTAAAGACAGAACTTTGGAAATGTCGAAAAAATAATTTAGGATTTAGTGTATTACTGGTTGCATATCTACTAAAAAATCATATAATCGATTCTCTTGCCATATTCTCGAGTTTAATAAAGTTTTTATTTACTTCGAAGCATTTTAGACCGTATTTAACGACGGAACTTTGGAAATGCCGAAGAAATAGAGTGGAAAAAGTTGGAAAATTGCGGAAAGCGACCCGGAATTAAAACAAGTAGCAGTCAGGGCAGAGGGAAAACGGTTTTTCCAGCTGGCGATAATTGTTAAAAGGAAAGTTAGGGCGATTTTTAGCTCGAGACGGCAGTTTCCTAACTACATTGGCCGTTTTCATCTTTGTTTTGATTAAGAAGGAATAATTAAAAGTTTTTGTTTTGGCTCTCGGTAATGTCGTTAGGCGGATCCGAGGAAATTTCTCATTACTCAGCTGTAAAAAGCGTATTTTTCTTGAGAGAGTTTCCCAAGATCGTTTACTTTCAGTTAATATTATGCAAATTTCTAACAAATAGTTTATCTCTTACTGTTTTGTTATTTTAAAAAAACAATAAAGCCCTGACTACATCATCCGTAACAATTCGGAGATTGTTCTCGCTTAAATCAAAGAAAATCTTTGATTTTTCTCGGTTGCAAGTTCTGAGAAATTTCTTCGAGTGTCTTATACTTTTGGAAGATTCCATTTTCCATTCCTGGTTTTTGAGTTCAGCTTTACGTCGGTTTGGGAATCAGAATGGTTCTGGTTCAGTTAGTGGAGTGTTCCCTCCTTTTCTAGCTAGATCATTTGCTTTTTCATTGCCTTCTATCCCTTGGTGTGCTGGTGTATTTTCTTTGAAACCTGAAAAAAAAACGTTAGATCTAGATAGAACTTATTAAGTAAATTTATCAGAATAAGTTTGTATTTATTTTAAGGAGGAAATAATGATTGGTTGAGTATAGCAGACATCGTTTTGCCTCATAGACAGCTGCATTATGATTTTGAGACTGATTTAAAATACAAGGTTGGTGTTTTTTTGCCCGTACTGTATATACATACATTTTAACATATTTTTTCCTATAGACTGTACCTGATATTTATAAGGACTCGGAAAAACTAGCTAAAAATTTATTTATGGCATCTTTGGAACAGAAATTTTGGTTAAATAGTCATTTTAACGCGTCATCGTGCGGTCCTCAACTCTTTGAATACTGCAACAGCGGATATACAGAGTAAGTCAAAATACTAATACTAAATTCCCAGAAAAAAATACTAAATTCCCAGAAATAAGTGCAAGTATTTTAAGGGGTTGTAGATCTCAATAAAAGAAACATATTTTCTCTTTATCGTTTTTCAAAAAATTTAAAAAAAAATATTTTTTGCTAAAATTTTGAGAACCCCTGGAATTTCGAATTTTCAAAAAATTTTTTTCGCGGAAAAACTCGCATGTTTCGCATGTCGGGGTTGTGACTATACTACCTGTTAAAATAGTTATTTCTGGGACACCCTGTATAGTTGCCATTATAATAAGAAAATTTAGCTAAGACAAATTAAAAACAAAAAATATTTTTAAAACTAAAAAATCTTTAAAATAAATATACAGGGTGTCTAAGTGCAAGTATATTAGGGGGTAGTACCACCGAAAAAAAATCAAAATTAATTATTTCTGTATTTTTTTCAGACTATTTGAGTGTGATCTCCCATCCTGGACGACATTTCTAGACTCTCAAGAAGCTACAGTGAAAATAGCTTTAAATAATATTGATTATGTCTCTTTACAGAGACAAAAACTAAGATATTCTGCCATAGATGACAGTTTAGGAATCTTAGGTAAGATATTTTTAAATTTGTTTGTTTTTGAAACTTGCACTAAAAGAAAAATAGACTATCTGCACCAATATCTTTGTCACTTTTGTACATTATTCATAAATAGATCGTTTGCACCAATGTTTTATGTCTCTTGATTGTATTGTATTGTTTTTATATCTTCTCTTATACAGAAGGAGGTAAAATTATAATAGAACAATATTCTTTCTATAATATCAAGTTTTATTTTATATTATTATTATAGCTTCCCTGATAACAGTGGAAAATATAAGTCACGAAGAAATTTCTACTGAACATGAACCAAGAATGACAAAACTGTTGCTTGTGGCTTTGAGGTTCCTTCCCAGGCTGTCATACTACTACATGGCGGACAAATGGAGATTGGAACTTATAGAAAGTGAAAATAAAGTTGTCACAGAAAGTTGGTGGCAGTTCAGGTAGATATACAGGGTGGCCCATCGAAAACGTTCCGCAAGGCATAACGGCCAGGGTAATTTTTTTTTCAGAAAATTCAAAAACACGTCAATTTTCTTTGTGAGGGGGACAACTTTTGCCCCAAAAATGATTGCAAAATCTTCAACCCTCCAAGCGGGGGTGTCATCCCCCAACTTTTTTTTAATGGGAAGGGGGTCAAGTGGAACGTTTTCGATGGGCCAACCTGTATGTTCTATTAGATCTTAATTTTAAAATATAATTCAATACCATTACATACTTATATATAAAACTGGAATAGAGTAAGATTTTAAACTGTTATATTTGTTCTTACATTGCAGAAAAGAATACCAAAGCTTGACAGGTCTAACAAACAAGGAACCAGACTTTCTGGAAGACCACAGAGTACTATATAACCAGCCTTATATTAGCAAATTCTTTGGAATACTAGTGGCCTTCCAGATTTTTCAGTACTACAAAAATAATGCCGAAAATCAGACGAATTTTGTCAAAGATATTGGCCATGATGATTCATTTAGGTAAGTACTACCTAAACTCCTCTATTTCAGCATTGTGAACTATTTCGATCATTCTGTATCACAAACTAATAATACTTAATATTTTTTAATACTTCTAAGTTGATTTTTTCTTGTATTTCAGGTCAATGATTCTAGAAAGACACACTTCAGATCCAGCATACCTCCTTACACTGTACTATGGCCTAGAAATCACACCTACCGACATATTAGATTATTTTGCACCCCTGATAACCTACCTAGACTCCGCCCCTGATCACCAAGTACCTCTGGTCACCACTACAACAACCACAACTACCACTACAACCACTACAACGACCACCACACAGAAACCTCCCGTTACTACACGAGAAACAGCGAAAAACCACGAAGCAGACAACGAAATAGCCAATGACGAGCCTAATCTTAACCCTTTCGCTAACAGTGGGAGTGACGATATGATGAACAAGGACAGGCATTGGCCGATGTATCTAGGGGTGGGGCTACTTTCAATGGTGGGCGTGCTAGTAGGCGTGGCTTTGATATATAAAAACGTCAGGAGAAGAAGGAGGAGTAATAATAGGAGATTTGATACGTAGAAAAGTGTTTTTATATTTTTTTTTGGTTTGGTTGATATTTTTTTGAAAAGCATCACTAATTTTTAAGACTTTTAAGTAAAAAATGCGAAAATAAGGTGTAAATTTTGATCTGAGACCTATTAATAGAATTATGATATATATTATGATAGTAGGTGAATAATTTTTATTTATTTAAAAATTAGGTTTATAACATAATGATTGATTTATTTATTGATATTGTTGTTGTTAGGGTTTATTATTAATATTGATTAGTTTCTTTAATTATTTTGAAGTTCCTTTAGCTAAAGATAAATAGAGAATGATTGTACATATAGTTAGCTTAAAAAAATGTATAGTATTTTTATTAAGACTCTGTACTGTTTTGATTTTAGGAAAATATACGAGTTTATGTAAATAAAAATGAGTTTTATTATATAAAAAATGCAGTATTTGTGACCAGGGTTACTATGTTCCTAAGAGCATCAAAAACAGTTAAAAAAAAAAGGAAAAAAATGGACAATTTTTCGACTTTTTTCCGTATATTTGTATAATCATGAAAATTGGTGATTTTGGTCAAGTCACCAATTTTGATAAAACTGCTGTTATTTGCTAATTAGAAGGCATAAATTACAAACATATAGTCCATTGTGGCTTTACCACTACGGTACTAGATATATACAAAGTTTTTACCATTATCAAAAACCGTTCATAGACAAGGGTTCGAAAAATCGATTTTATCAGGAATCCGAAGTATTTTAGCATTAATAGTTATATATTTTTGAAAAGTACATAAAATTTCCTACAAACTCTGAAATTTTTGAAAATTTTGTTTTCAAAAGTTTATGACCGGGTTTACTATGTTTTTAAGAGACTCAAAAACAGTTAAAAAAAATACTTTTTTTCCATACATATATCAGTCAGAAAAATTGGCGTTTTTCCAATGGTAAGAGTAGAAGTTGAAACACCTGGTACTATACATATTTCTCATACTTATTATAAAGAAAATAAACCATAATTTAACCACATTTATATATCAGAAAACTTCTGTTGAAGTTAGAGTTTCTTTTGTATTTTCTTTCGAGAACTTCCTGAACGGAACTTTCGTATGTTTAAATTAGATTTGGGTAAACATTTTCGAACAAATATAGGTATTTGTGTAGAAATACTTCGAATTTTTACCTAAACTTCCAAAGAATACTCCAGGGACCGTCTAGAGGTTGACATTTTTTTTATATTAAACAACAAAAAAGAAAAAAAAGGAAAATATGTCATGTTATTTGTGTGTTTGTAGAGTTTGTCTCCTTTTGAGATATTAGAAAATATTCAATAAAATCGAAAAAAAAACGGCGTCAGCGATGGCATTTTATATAAATCGATATTTTCGAAAAAATCGATTGTTTTTGCACATCACTTCTTACTTAATATCGTTTTTTTGTATCCACAGATAATGCAAACTTATAAAATATTTAAATATATTATCCGAGAATGCTCTATATATTCAGATGCGCTCCGCCTTTAAGGACGAATAAATATAGTGCCTCGGTTCTATTTTCTTTAAGATATTAGAGATGGGCACATTATAAAGAATCGATTCGATGCATTATAGTCAATACTTCTTAGGATGTACCTATATCTAGGAAAATAGTTCTAAACAATTTTTTAGCACAATAATTTATTACTTTGATATATTATGCAAAAAGGTATATAAAAACTATCGATATTTTGAGTTTTATCGATATTCTCAAACATTCCTACATTAGAAACCTTAAAACTAATCAGAATTTACTCATTATCAGTTACATCTGTAAAGTACAGAATATTATTAAAAACTTAGAAAACATAAATTCAGCAAAATTCTGAATCGAAATCTGTATAATCGTTACTAGAATCACATTCTTAATGCTTAATGTATTTCTCTAATCGATATCTTTAAGGGAAATTGATAAATATTTAATGGATAATGCTTCCATTGCTAAGCCTTTCCATTTGGAGGGCTTGGTATTCGTATGAAAATAGTTTCTTGAAAGTAGGAATGTGTCTTGTGTTCCATTAACCATTAGCTCCATTAGATTAAAATTATTTACAAATACGAAACATTTCTAAATAAATAATTAATACTTACATACACTATCTCTAGCTATATATAGTGATCTAGCGAGATATGGAGGTATGGAGGTTCAGTACGAAGAGAGGTTAAAAAGGATGTTTAGAAATACCGCATGATCGAAAAAAACGGCGCCCAGTTGGCTGGGAAATGAGGATTGATGACATATCCCATATAAAATAACAGCGATCTTCATTTCATAGCCATCGACGCCGTTTTTTTCGATCATACCCTGTTGATTTTAAAGGAAACTTTTAATGGAACTTTTTAGAGTACCTACTGTATAAAATCAGGCCACCTATCAACTGTCAAAAACTTCCGTTAAGCAGTTTTAAAATTATTATATTTATAAATTTAGTATTGACATTATATACAGTTGTTTATTTACATGTATGTTTATATTTTATTTATATTTAATTAAATAAATTTTTGACAATGTACAATTTCTATAATTGTATAAAGTATTGTTTTAGTTTTGTATGTTTGCTGTTAGTTTTATATGTTTTTTTTTATTGTTAAGTGAAGTTTTGTATGTTTTTTATATTCTTTTTTTTTAAGCTTTGTCAACAAAATTGTTTAATTTTTTTATGACAATAAAGCAATTTCTTTCTTTCTTTCTTTCTATTTGCAAAATTAGGTTCTTAAAAAAAGTATGTTTTATGATTATGTTATCTGTGATGTAATGCATTATTTTTTTTATACAGGATGGTCCGGACTGTATTCAGGAACTTCGGCAGCATATTCCGCACATAAAAATAAGTAAAAAAGTTCGTATAAATGTATGTTCTAAAATGCTTAGTTTCGGACATACAGGGTGTAGAAGTTTAATTTTTATAACAATTTTTTCCAAATAATTTCTGAGGTAACGTCAATATTTGGATGAAAATTGGTGCCTGGGAGTTTTTTAACATGAGAAATTTGATTTTGATATCAGTATGACTCCTATTTGTTGGGGGCGCCATCTACATGTGTTTTAATTGTTTTGAAGTGTAATAACTTTTCGTCCGTACCTGTATAGAACTACTGTGTCAAAATTTTTATATTTTCGTAATTTTTTACGTAAAAAATGTCTCTTGGTAAAAATCGTTAAGAGCAACCGTTCTCAAGATATTTAGAATAGAAATAGTCAATACATACCGTTATTGATAAAAAATAAAAAGGTTGAGTAGATAGAGTAGTTATTTATGATACTACTACACCCTGTATCTCCGAAACTAAGCATTTTAGGACATACATTTATAGGAACTTTTTTTACTTATTTTTATCTGCAGAATATGCTACCGAAGTTTCCGGAATACAGTTCGGACCACCCTGTATATTTATTTAGTATTTCCATATTAGTTAAACATATTTTTTTAAAATTTTTCATGTATTTCAATGATTTAATTATTGAATAGAATGGTGGCGAGACTATTTTAACAACAGCATTAACTTTTTGCCACAACTGCCTAAAGCCTAAAGCCACGACTGCCATTTAAAGCATTTCAATTTAATATTGATATTAATTTTAATATATAATTCATTTAATGCCATAGTATCGTGTTATGTTATATTGTTTTAGCATTTGAAAAAAATCTGCTGTTATGTTTAATTAATTATTAATAGATATAATTGTCATAAACCTTTATTAAATTATGTTATTAAAAACAAAAAAGTTATTAAAATTATCTCTGTACCTTTTGTCTCTTTTTTATAATTTGTCTCTGGATTTTTTCTGGATTCCTTTTCTTGTAAATTTAATTCATCATTTCTTGTAAATTGTTGCCATATTATGTTTTTTAATTGAAAACTAAAAAAATTCCAAATTTTCAAAAAAAAATTATTTGCGAAAAAAGCTCGTGTTTCTAGGATGGATATACAGGGTGTCCCCGGCTGAGCGTGCATTAGAAGTTTCTAGAGAACCACAATATCTAGATCGGAGATTTTTTACACATCATAGTTTCATAACGAGATCTATCGATTAAAAATATTTTCAATATGGCGGCACTTGACAGTAACTTTTTTATTTTAAATGGGTGCCCCCATTTTTTATTACGTACTTAAATTCTCTGTAAAATTCTATGAATGTTGATGTTAAATACTCTATATCTAACATTAACCGTTTTTGAGAAAAAAATTATTTAAAATTTTTGGACGAAAAAAACTACCTGTCAAGAAAATTTGTATAGCCTAAAAGTCAAATTTAGTGATTACCACAGCCACTGTGACATAAAGAGAAGACATCTATTTCAAAAATTACCTTGTTCAAATGTCAAATAATAATGGCGGTAGCTATCATGGAATTGAGTGATTAAAAAATTATCATAAATCATTTTTTTTTCAAATGGAAACCCAGTTTTTTTAGTCCACTAATGAAACGGTTTTTCAATTTGTTACTTTTTAACTATACATATTCCTATACCTAAAATAACTCGTTTTTAAGTTATTTAAGATTGAGTTAGAAAACGTATATTTTTCTTGATTTTATCTAGCTTCCTTTGACATTAAGTGCCAAACGGTCAGACAATGTATGCAATGTATTTCCATCTGTCAGAAAACGAATTATTTGAATTTCCTCTAGTACAAATACTGCCTGCCTGAAGAGTTTAAAAAGTGTATTTATAAAAATATATCTCGTATTTTCGCTCTTTAGTATATGCAAAAAATCTCCGAGCTAGATGTTGTAGTTCTATAGAAACTTCTAATGCACGCTCAGCCTGGAACACCCTGTATACTACCCCTTAAAATATTTGCACTTATTTAAGTCTCACCCTGTACATAGGTATTTTTATAATAATCCTGGGAATTTTTTGACAAAATTAAGACCACACAGGCACCTGGCGGAATTCAAAAGTTGTGGATACAAATGCTACTGTTCGTTATAAAAAATCATGAAATAAAATATCAGGGACGATCCTACAGGTGACCTATAACAAAACAAAATTTCATCGATTGAATGGAAATAACGCCAACCTATAAAAACGCCAAAATAATTGACAAGTTCATTGAAACATATAGACGTTTCGACTTAACAATTCAGTCGTGACCATCAACTTAAGGAATATAATAAATATTGTTCCTCAAATTTGTTTTGTTCTTTATTCAGAGGATGGGTTAGTTAGAAGATGAACAGGATGAAACAGAATAAAAAATCATAATTTTATTTGTGAATTTATGTTTTTTTTACTGTAAGCTTAAAAGAGTTTTTCTAATCTCTATTTATATCTATCCTTAATTAGGATTTTGTGGATTTTTTTTCTCATATTATTAGCTTCTGTGCTTAAAAAAGTTCTTTTTATAATCACGCTTTTTCAGAGAATCAATGTATGTACTTATGTGGGATTTATTAAAAAAAATAAGCCAAAATAATGATCATGAAAAATATAGATAAGAGTCCAGGTAGAATTTTTCGATTATTTTATTTTTAAATATGATCGAAACAGAATTCTATTTTTTAATGTTAAACAAAAATAAGTATAATGCATATATGCCTTAAGGCCCGTTCAAATACACACACCGGAAAAGTCTAAGGATATTACAATTTTATCCAGCCATCGTCAGTAATTTTGTTATTTGCATTTCTGATATAATAAAATTAAAATAAACAAATAGTTTACAGGACGTATTGGAAATAAAAATGCGAAATTTACCGAATTTTTCAAATTTACCTTGATTTTTATTGAACTCTAAAAAATACACACATTTTTTTTTATTCTAAACTGAATTAAAAAAAAAAAGATAAAACCATTTTTATTTAATAAAGGATATGGCCTCCTCTACTGTTCATTACAGCCCTACATCGGCTCTCCATGCTCCTGATCAGGTTGTCGATCTCTTCTTGAGCTACAGCCTGCCACGCTGCATTCACGGCCCGAACCAGATCCCTACGAGTTTCACGAGGCATACCCATTCTCAAAATTCTTGTTTGGACCGCGTCCCATACGTGCTCGATGGGGTTGAGGTCAGGAGATGTGCCGGCCAGGGTAAGATGTTTAATTGATGAGCATTGATAAACTCACTTACCACTCTGGCTGTATGAGGCCGTGCATTGTCATGCATGAGAATGAAGTTTCTCCCAAAATCATTGGCATATGGTAACACGACAGGCTCAAGAATTAAATCACGATATGTGATTCCTGTTAGAAACCTTTCAAGAAAAACGAGATCGGTTTTTCGGCCTAACTGGACTCCTCCCCAGACCATAACTGTTCCACCTTGATAAGGGTGCACTTCCTGAACATGATCCAACCGAATAAGATTTCCCGGTTTGATGAATTCCAAAGCGTGACTCATCCGTGAAGAGAACATTGGCCCATTGTTCATTCGACCACTGAACATTATCTTGAGCCCACAAATATCGTACCTCTCGATTTCCTCTCGTTAAGGGTTGAGCTCTCCAGAGGCGTCTGCTTCTTAAGTTGACCTCTCTTAATCTATTGCGAACAGTGTCAGGACTAACGGTTACATTATGTGTTTCTTGGAGAATTAAACTAAGCTCTGGTGCTGTAACGGGCGGTCGGCGTCGAGCATTTAATTGTAAAAAATTATCTTGCTGAGGGGTAGTAATGCGATGTCGCCCTGTGTGTCTTTTAGCAACATCACCACTTTCACGGTAGCGTGCACTTAATCGCGATATTACACTTTGCGTTGTATTTAATGCTCTAGCTATGTCGATTTGGAGCATTCCAGCTTCGAGCATACCCATGACCCTCAGCATTTCGTCTCTGTTAAGATGTCTACGCTCCATAATGTCGTTTAATACTAAACAGAGTTATTTGAATGAATTCTGGCCAGTTATCATAAAAACATAGCCAGTACCGGTTAAATTCGAACAATTGATGCTAGGTGCTTTTTATACATTTGACAACAAATGCACAAACACTTCTGCAAATGTCCCAAATTTAGAAATAACTGGTGTGACTACTTCGTTTCAATCGAAGTAGAAAGAATCGGCCTACAAATATGTGGTTGTTTCATCAAAACATTTATTTTTAACTTTAATAAAATGATATCCCTAGATTTTTCCGGTGTGTGTATAACTGTGTTTTCGTCTTCACACAAGGATTTGCTTGATACGTTTTGAACTGAACAAGTAAAACGTTTTGTGTAGAAGGGGCTTTAGGGTCATATTGATTCTTCGCCATAATATTACAGCGTTTTCCCTAATTCAGTTGTGTGAATTATTTAAAAAAAAATCACCCATCGCCTGCAATTCAGTCAATTTAGTATTTTATCGACAAATCAGAAGGTCAAAGTATATGGATTTTTTCGAATTTAACGATGAAATAAATTTACAGGAAATCAGAGAGATAATTATGATCTAATTTATTTTTTAATAACGATTCTTCTCTGTCTTATAGGTAGGTGCTTAATTAATATCCTGCTGAGACTGGTTCTTTTTTAAATGTTCCGCATCGTCCGCATCGCAACAAAAAAAAAACATTATAACTTTTGTATTTCTTTCTTAAAAAGTATATTCTATTTTTTTTAATAATGTATTTTAAAGAAGGTAGTTAGTATTAGTCCCAAAAAGGCCAAATAATGCCTTGAAAAGCTGAACAATTTAGGCAAAAAAAGTATTCCGAATACTGATTGACACCGCGTCTGGTCACTTTGGTCACTTTAGTAAATGTATGTATATATATTATAGTCTAGTATTAAGTTAAAATTATAGTATTATGTTAAAATAAATATAAAATTAGACAATTCAATCCTTCTTAGTTGATGTTTTATTAAAAATTCTCTATATAACGCCCTAACGATAGTCCACGACATAGATGAGAAATAGCTAAACCACAATAAGAACTATGCGGTTTAGGAATTATGAGTAATCGCACTACATGGCTTGAAATAGGGTCCTTTTCATTTTAATTAAAGAGCAAGCGACATGACAGACAATGGAAGGAATTCGGTATATGCCGATGCGGGATGATGCGTTTTTTCGCCAGCCTTGTACCCTGCCAAGAATATATTTGCGACGCTCCTCTTAATAATTGAAGAAAGCCATAGGCGTACGTACATACAGTTCATACCAAATAAGTTTATTTATTGATCAGTTATTCTGTTGCAATAATAAAAATTATACTACCTTATACAGAGTGTCTAAAATTTTATTTTAAATAATTACTAGCTTTAAACGGCAAAAACTTGTTTAATTTAAATGGAACATTCTGTATATTTTATGAGAATCAGATGCACAATTTAATTGTCTATCAAATTATATTATGTCATTTTTTACCTATCTCTTCAAGTTTCCGTAGAAAATGCATTTTCTTGTCATTTAGAACTCATTTATCAATATACCCATGGAATACTGACATTTTAGATTATTTTTAAAAATGTACCAAATTTTTAAAGAGTACAGGTATTAATATTGTCGATATAGTGTGTTTATTTCATTAAAAAATAAAAAAAAAACTGTTTAAATATTTGTTAAAGAGGACCAATTAATATGATTCCAGTATTCAAACTACATTAATTGACTGTTTGCGTTGATTAATAATAATTGCTCCAAATATTAAAAAACTGAATTTTGTATGTGTATTAGACAGTGGGGTAAAAACTAACACCTTAAAAATGATATTTGATTTTTTGACAAATGCTTATTTATAACAACAGAGACATTCATTTTCATAACTTATTATATAATTGACTTCTGATTCAAATCCACGTTTATTTAGAATAATTTATTAACGAACATAATTAAGTATATAATTAATTAGTATTTGGGCGGAAATAATGGTGGTATATTTAATTAATCGTATACTCTTTTATAAAGATTTAAATAATTTTATTTTTGCATACAAATGGGCTAGTAATATTATCATTTTGCTAAAAACGATAATATTACTAGCCTGTATATTTTGTAGATTTGTTGCTTTAAAAAAAAATCTAAAATGTCAATATTCCATGGGTATATTGATAAATGAGGTCTAAATTATAAGAAAATGCATTTTCTACGAAAACTCGAAAGGGATAGATAAAAAGTGGTATAATACAATTTGATAGACAATTAAATTGTGCATCTGATTCTCCTAAAATATACAGGGCATTCCATTTAAATTAAACAAGTTATTGCCGTTTAAAGCCAGACATAATTCGAAATAAATTTTTAGACACTCTGTATGAGGTAGTATTATTTTTATTATTGCAACAAAATATCTGATCAATAAATACACTTCAGTAAATATTTAGTATTAAAAACTTTGATACCCTTGGAGAAATGAAGCCTTAAAATTTTTACTGCAATTTCATAAAATTGAAAATATTTCAAAAACGGTAAGGTTTAAGTGTAATAAACCTTAATCAAATTTACCTTTATTTTAATCGTAGAAACAAAAAATGTAATAATATACAGGGTGTTCCATTTAAAAAAATTAAAGTTTGATATTTTTTATTTATTTGGGACACTCTGTATCTTGTAAAAATATTTAGCTCTAATAGTCCTTCAACGAACCCAAAACTTACAATTTGTAGAAATCTAATCATTTAGCTACAATACTCCGTGTCGTATGTGGTGAACAACCCTGTATATTAATTTAGAAGAAAAAGATTAAACGGCTCAGCCCTCAACAACTCGTAACCGTATACACCAGTGTTGAGGGCTGAGCCGTTTAATTTTTTTCTGCTTTTTTATACATTTTCCTCACTATTTCTTCCTTGTTCATATATTAATTTAATTATAAAATTGTATATGAAATATTAAACTAGATAATAAACTATACCTACGTCTATGTGAACAAAACTGATTGATACAATATGAACGATATCATTCTATAACCTGAGCCCGTTACAATCTCTTTTTGAATGAAGTCCTTGCATATCGTGCGTAATTGCTCCCAAATATTAATCGTATCATCTCGCAGAATGAAAAAAAATTGTAATGGATTCACCTTTCATATAAATACGGCATCTTCTTCAGGCAAGGCATCACAAATTGTTTGGTCTTCTTAAGATAATATTAGAGGTTTTGAAAATAAATTTGTGTTTTATATTAGTCAAAATGAAAGTGGTAAGTTATTTTTGATAAAAACTATAGCAGCTATATCCCTGATTTTGGGCATGGTATTCACTCCAAATTTTGCGTTGGTGGTGCAGAAGTTAACTCACTAAAATATGGTATGGATCCTATGCCCAGAACCGGAGATTATATAGATATACAGGGTGTCCCACGCTGATCTTGCATTAGATGGTTCTAGAGAACTAAAATACCTAGATACCTTTTTGTTTAAAGTATTTAATGTTTATCTAGAGCTTCTTTATATTTTTTTCAGCTAATTTGTTCACTAATGGTTACTTGTGCTCTTGGAGCAAGATTGGACAACACATATTTACCCCCTGCAGGTGCTAGAACTGCAGGCGGCAGTTCAAGCTTCCTTTCAACACCAACCTTTGCAGGAAGTTCTTCAGGTTTCAGATCATCTGGTTCAGCATTTTCTGGTAAATATATATTTACATCTAAGTTTGTTCCATCCCATACGTTCCTCTGTTAATATTCTTATCCGAAGGGTAAGAATATACTTACTGAAGCCAACTAAAATACTTATTGAAAATTAAACTTTGCTTGCATATTTAACAAGCATTTTAAGAACAAAAACTTGTTTTTTATTTTATTTTCTTAATAAATATGCTTTTAACGGGCTTAATAATAGCATTAAAAGCGAACAAAAGCTACGAGCAAACCATCTTAGCAAAAATAACTGGATAATATCGACGGAAATATAATTTATCCTTAATAAGAGCGACTTAACTTGAAAGAAGTTAGTTATTCTTAGAATTTCCGTTCCTTCTAAGGGAGTTTATTAAATTGATCCCCGATCAATCAGCTCGGGGTACTAGGGATGGGGTGATGCGGATATTATAAAATATATCGATATATTAATTTAATTTTTAAAATATCTAGATTATATAAATAGTATATTCTGCAGATAAAATTAAGTAAAAAAGTTCGTATAAATGTATGCCTTAAAATGTTTAGTTTCGGAGATACAGGGTGTAGAAGTTCTGTTTTTATTTCGATTTTTTCAAAATAATTTCTGAAGTAACGTCAATATTTGGATGAAAATTGGAGCCTGGGAGTTTTTTGACATGAGAAATTTGATTTTGATGTCAATATGGCGCCACCTACATGTGTTTTAACTGTTTTGAAGAGTTATAACTTCTCCCTATCCGTATACCTGACTACTGCGTGAAAAAAATATTGTCATGACTTTTTACGTAAAAAATGTCTCTTGCTAAAAGACACGAGCAACCGTTCTCAAGATATTTAGAATGGAAATAGTAAATACATGTCATTATTGACAAAAAATAAACATGTTAAGTAGATAGTCATTTGACTTAAATGGTAAATTTGGGAACTGTTTATTTTTTTTTAATTAATCATAAATTTTTCTTCGAAAAAATGATGATAAAACAGTTTTTGTTGAACTTTTGGCACAGAAACATTTCAAATTTATGATTTCAGTCTAACAGTTATAGGACTACCCTGTATATTAGTATCGATATAATTGATACATCCCTAACTAGCACCTACATGTTTCTGGATTTTCGAAAGCTGGAAACTTGGCAACTGCGCCTTTCCAACCGACGACGTCGAGGCAAGCGGAAAAATTTAATAAAGATCCAAAATAATAAGGAAAATATTTCTTATTTCCTTGTTGATTTATCGGTTGTTTTCCTTTTGAATAACTAACAGAGATCGTTAGAGCTCCAGATATTTTCTTATTAAATTTCCAATGGTTTTCAAGTTCGGTATATAGATTTTAGAAAATTTCATGGTACGCGAAGGAAATATATTATAGTGAACTAATAACTAGCGATGGGAACTATCGAATGAATTAGACTATCGAATGGTTAATGAATGAATGATTTCAACTATCGAATGGTTTTATTCGAATAAAATCATTCATTCATTTGTAAACTAAAGCATATGTGACAACCTCGCCGTGCGACTAAATGGTTATCGTTGAGCCACGACTATCGAATGCGTTCTTCAGAAGATGTGGATATGTGGATAAGCAATAATATACTTCCTTAATATTTTTATTATAACGATTAATCTAATCTTGATTTCCAGGCATATCTCCCGCAACATCTTATGGCGCACCATCATTCGGGGGTTCCCCAACACAATACAGTGGTGCCAGTTCATACTCCACCGGTCCCCAGTTCAGGATTTTGAAGTTTGACAGCCAAAATCCCGGAGACGGAAGCTACAGATTCGAGTAAAGTATTTAAATCGATTTTAATGACTTTTTTTAAAATTATTTTGTGTTTTGCAGTTACGAAACTGAGAATCAGATAAGTCAGCATGAAGCTGGTGAAGTTAGGAACGCAGGAAGTGACCAAGCTTCGAGTGTTGTAAGAGGAAGCTACTCGTATACTGCCCCAGATGGTCAGCATATTACTGTAAACTATGTGGCTGACGAGAATGGGTTCAGACCAGAAGGTATATTAAAAAACTTAAGAGAAAGTAGCAAAATAAGCGTTCGGCATTTAACGTTTTATGTAAAACTTCAAAAAAGAATTTCTGTTCTGTCTTCACAGATTTATATAATTCGCATAAAAGAACTTACGTCATTATATTCGATGATTCCTTTTTGTATTTCTACTAATTTTTCTATTCTAGGAGCCCATTTGCCAACCCCACCACCCATTCCAGAAGATATCCAGAAATCTCTAGCCACCAACGCTGCCAGCTCTTCAGGAAGCTACCAATACCCTTCAGGAGGTTATTCAGATTCTGGAGCATACGACGGTGTAGAGATAAGCGCTGCAAGAAGTACATTTTCCTCTGGACAAGCTTCCGGCAGGCAGTATCTCCCCCCTACTGTAGCCAGAGCTGGTCAAGGGTATAGATATTAATCTGGATCATAGTGAAATGTAGAAAAATCAATAATAAATTGTAGTTAAAACAGGAATTTTCGATACATAATTTTGTTGGTGCTGTATATAAAAGAAAATAAGACTCAATAAATAAAGTTTGAGATAATAAATTCCGAGTTTTCTTTATTGGTTTCAAAGTTTAGTTTATTGAAGATGGCTGAGATATTTTGTAAGAACCTCGCCTGGTTTGGTATAATAAAGATTCTTTGAAAGATAATAAAGCAGAGAATAAGAAAATTCGGTAGTGTTTTAGTAATTTTATAAATAGAATACTGGGTGGGTGTTATTTTAGTTAAACTTAATATTTAATTTTTCATCTTATCGTGAGTTGATGTTGAACAGGAACAAGTCAGGAACATTTTTTAAAGAAAACATGAAAAACAAGACAAGTAATCGTGAATGTTTTGTAAGCTATAAAAATATAAATATTGATTTTTTTTTAAAAGGGTTTTACCTTTTTTTATATATTTTAATGAAAAATTTATCCATTCCTGTTTGTATAAGATTAAGAAAAACAATGCTCGAAGCATGCGCCCTGGAAGCTGGAAATCGGGCAAAGTTTCCTCGCAGCTTTTCCAACAAGTGTGTGCCAGTGGGGAAAGCTCAGTAAGCGCCCGATTTTCGCGGAAAAGACAGCTGGAAGGAAAGTGCGTCTCGGTTTGGTGAATTTTCCGGGAAATTTTCACGTAAAAAACAATAAAAATTTCGAAATTTTTTTTTTGACGATATTTTTTGGTTCGAAAAAAAGTGTCATGTGACTTGTAAGGTAAGTCTAGTAAAATTATTAAAGGAATTATATTAATTGTTTAAGAACTATTTGAAAAAACGAATAATAAATTAATATTAAATAATTTAATATAAAAAAGGTGTGAATAAAATTAGGTTAAATTTTGGTAAAACAAATTGTCTACAAAGTTGTATAAAAATATATATGCAAAATGTGCCTTTATGCAAAAATCCAAATTTAAAAAAAAATAGTTTCACCAGTTCTGCATAAACGTCGAACCTGCCATGGTCGTGAATCGCCCTGTATAGCTTTCCAGATTCTGTGTTCGCTCCATTTATATTTATAAACAAGACCGACTGTTTTGAGTACTGCCTTGACAGTTCGGAATAACCCATATCATGAATTCTTAAAAGGCCATTACAATGACTTATAGATGAAGATGTCTGTATGTATTGGTATATTTTTGAAATTCAAACCTTTATATGTCATTTCTTATTATTATTTTACAATATTTTGTTGTTTTTTTTTGTTTGAATGATTTATAAGCAATTTCTTATGGCAATATTACCAGTAACATTGAGAATATATAATAAATATAATATGTAGTTGTCATGCTGAATAAAAAATTGTATTTTTCATAAATATGCATATTGGAGATAAAAAGTAAAAAATTTTCCGTTTTTTTATATATTTTTTTCATTTTCATCGTTTATATTTGTATACGTATTCTCAGGAATTACCTTTTCCTCGTGTTATGTACATTTGATTTTACATATTTCCCTAGCGGTGTGTAGGTAGGTAGATTAATCAAATTGAAATCCTTGCTTCTGCAGGATTTTTTTTTATTTGAAGGTACAATATGATCGAAAAAACAGCGTCAGCCATGGCTATGAAATAAAAAAAAAGATCGCTGTCATTTTATATGTAAAATTACATTTATTTATTTATTTTATTTGAGGGTATCCTTTACAAGGCTAATTTCCATCTATTTTGAAGGTAAGAAACTACAGAAACCGTCGCTGTGGACACTTTCGATGTTATTTAAATGTGTCTGATAATATGGTGATGGGGAATGTCATCGATCGTCATTTTCAAACCAACTGGGAGCCGTTTTTTTTTCGATCATATGGTCTAAGGTCGATTAAATTAAATATACAGTGGGTTTTCTAAGTCAAACAAAAAAAAAAATACTAAGGCTTCGGGATTATTAAAAAAGTTTAAATATTTTGAGCAGAGTTGTAAATTAGCAGACAAATATTTCGATTTGCTGAACCTGTTACACTCGGGAGATATTTTTTGGGATCTTGAAAATGTCTTTATGTATATTTCTTAACTTTTTTTCTATTCAAATCGTTATTAAATTTACGTTCTATTTATAAAATCAGTCCTTGTAGTAGAAAATGAAATTTAGGCTGAAACCCTTGTCAAAAATGTCACTTTTAGATTAAGACTGGGCTGTATGGGAATTGCTGGTACAGAATTTCATCTAAAAACAAGTCAAACTTTCAGTTAATCGCACCTAATGATGTTATTTATTAAAGAAAATTAGGCTACGAACGGAATACGTGATCTAGAAGTTAAATAGAATGAATAGGCATTGGATATGTTTTATCGTTGCTTAAAGAAATAAGATGCGCAATCTTACGGTCGATTTCGTTGGAACAAGATCTGTCTGAGATGTAGCTGGCGTTGCCGTCAGCCTGTTCGAGAATTTAGAGATTTAGCTTTGCTCTGCGCCGCGCCACTGCGCTGATAGTCGTTTACAGCGCAGCGGATAAAGAATACTGTACCGTAGTTCTGCCACAGTTTAAGGAAAAGAGTAGTTGCACTCTCGCAAATATTTTCTGCCAGTTTTTGCAAGCTGGCAGGTTGCAAAGCGTTTCAGTTGAATTCGGTCCGTCGAGCTGTTCGAGCGTTGCGTCCATAGACAAACTAACAAAAGCAAGACGCGTCAACGCTGTACTGCAAAACGGTAACAAGTTTGATAAGAGTTTATTACTGCGCTTGCGTCAACTGGCCTTTTAGACGAGGACGGTTTACTTATGGATTGTGTATTTTGTAGTAGCCTTTTAGACAAGGATGTTTAATTAAAAAGCGTTTATTAAAATCAAATAAATTTATTTCCATCGGTAAAATAAACAATAATTTCTGGACATAACAGATATAAAAACAAAAGTTAAATAAACGAAAACGTATTCCTCTTATTAAAATAACAAAAAGATGATAAAAACAACAGTTATGGTAAACGAAATAAAAGCATTATTCTTCAAAAGGTACAAAAAAATAATTATGTATATTATAATATTAATAATAGAAACAACAAGAAACATCTTAAAAATATACAACTTTTTCAAATATAAAACAAAAACATAAACTTCATATTTTCACAAGAATTTGCAAAAATATTAACATTTCGAGTCTATTATAAAATATAAAGCACGAAAATTCAAATCATAAAAAGATAAAGATTCTTATAACTTACAGTCAATTTGTAGGACCTTCGTTTTGTCTACGTTAGCGATGTAATCACAATAATATGTATAATCACAGTAATTATTATGTTCTTCATAAATGTAAAATGTATTAAATTATTTGTTTTCGTTTTGTACGCTAATAAAATAATAGTAATAAGCAAACAAAACGCAAAATCAGGAATTCAACAGTTCGTTCAAGGATGGTTCAAGGCACAGGTTCAAGGCAAAAACGTTTTTCGTTTTATTTAGGTTAGGTTTGACGAGTGCGACTGCGCGATGATTTCTGACTCAACTGGCCAGCGCAAAAACAATAATTCGACTTCCTCAATCCTTTGAAAAGTCTTGCTTTTGTTAGTTTGTCTATGGTTGCGTCCGAGCACAGGGACGGATTGACAAAAAATGAGTGCCTTACTGTGCGCTGTTATTAATTGTGGAAATCATTCAAAAAATTGTTCTTTGAGTCTTTTTAGATTTCCATCGGATATAAATCGGCAAGCTGATAGTAATTATCAATTAACATTTAATTATATTTGTTTATTTTAGAAGCTGAGATATTATGTAATTAATTAAATGTTATTATTTTTTTTAGCATGTGTGCAGATTTTAAAAATAGTTTTTTAGATATACGGATTGTCTCAAATATGCGCATGAAAATATTTTTTGGTCAGGGGATTTTCCATAAAATTTTCATTCCAATAATAATTTACGAGATAATTTATATAAATTGGTTTTTGAAACAATTTTACAGTAAATATTTTGTACATCTAAAGTCTCCGCAAATTATTCATATTTTTTAATTGAAAGAATTTTATAATAGTATAATCTCTTATAAATTTAGTGGACTGTATTTTTTATGTTTTTTTTATTTATTTTTTATTATAAGTGGTCGTAATATAACAATATTCAAAATATTATAGACAAAATATTGAGTTTATATTTGAGGGAAGAAAAGTGCTACACCTAGCTTTAAACCACCGTAAATATACAGGGTGGCCCATTAGTGCGAGGAAGTTCAATATCGTCGTCGTTGTCGAAGATGTGAAAAATGTTTGGTAAAAGGGGTGTATCCTAAAATATTTTGTTATATACAGGGTGTCACAAAAAAAGTTATGGTAAAGTTAGTTTGATTTTTTTTATTATTTTACATCCTTCTATATACATTATTCTATATTGGGTATTTTTTATTGCGTCACCAAAATCGCAGTATTTAAAATGGTATATCTCAACTTTTTTAAATACGACATTCTGTATATTATTTTTCTGTCAGGTGAACATTTTTTATTAATTTAAAGTGCTTCTAAATTTTTACCGCTGTCGCAGGTATTCGCAGTATTATATTACATATGGCTCTTTCAACAGTAAATTTTTTTCAAAGCCACCTAATATGATCTTTGTCTATCTTGTCTTGTCAAAAAATGTTCACCTTTTAATTCTACATCTGAAAGAAAAATAATATACAAGGTGTTGCATTTAAAAAAAATGAGATACAACATTTTTTAAATATTACGATTTTGGTGACGCCATAAAAAATATCCTGTATACGATAAAGTAAATTTTTCTACACGAATTTATTCCGATGTCCTTCATGTTTAAGAAAACATAGCAAAGTATTAATAAAGTTATATTCACTCTAGTTTTTTACCACTTTTCATATATAATGTTTTTAACCAAAGTTTTTTAGTAAATAAGAAATAGTTTGGCAACACCGCAGTGTGCTTTAAATAAAGACAGTGTACTATAGCATAATTTTATGCCGAATCCAGTTATCTACAGAAAATTAAACTTGCTTTAAATAAAAAAAAGTCGTAGAAAATCTCTGAAATAGATAATATAAAAATATGTCATAATATATTTTTTCCGCATTTCTTCCCGTCAG